CCCGGCCACCTCGTCCCGCACCGCCCGCAGCGCCGCGTTGTCCGGGTCCAGCGCCAGCCCGCGCTCGGCCGCGTCCTCGGCCTCGGGCACCTTGTCGAGCCGCGCCAGCGCCCGGGCGCTGCGGTACAGCGCCTTGATGTTGCGCGGGTTGAGCTGCAGCGCCGCGCCGCAGTCGAGCGTGCAGGACCGGTTGTTGCGCAGCTCCAGGTGGCACGCCGCCCGGTTGACGTAGAGCGACTCGAGCACCGCCGCCTCGCGCGCCACCTCGTCCGGGTCGTCCGACGACGTGGGTGCGCCGGCGGTCCCCTCCTCGCCGTCGCCACCGCTTACGACGGGCGCCGGCGGCTCCCCCCGGGCACGCCGCCTGACCTCGGCGACCAGGATGTTGGCGCCCTTGGTGTAGAACTCCTTTGCGTCGGCCCACTTCTTCTCCTTGAAGCACTCGTTGCCGCGCTCCTTAAAGTCGGACGCGTTCTCGAGCGGCGTACCCTCGTAGGCCAGGGCCTGCAGGGCCGCCACGTCGTCGTTCTCCTCCAACTCCGTCATGAACAGCGGCGACTTGTTGAGGTCGGCCAGGATCTCCTCGGTCGTCTTGTTGCGCACGGCCGCCAGCGCCGGCGGCAGCTCGGGCATCAGCCCGCCGTTCCGGGCTGGCGGCTCCGGGCCATGGCTGCTGACGCTGGCGCTCTCGGTCCTGGCTGCCAGCTCCTCAATCACGCTTTCGATTGGGGGTATTTGCGCCGAGCCCATTGTGTGTGCCGTCACCGGGACGAATGCGGAAAAGGGAAAAGTGGGCTGGGATGCCTCCCGAGAATAACGTCAGGACGAGGCCCACGATGCGCAGGGGGTCTATATGGCGACCTAGAGATTGTGGTGTTTTATTTCTATTACGCTGTCTGCTGCAGAGACCGTCGTGGAGCGTTGAATGTTGAATGTTGAATCTCCCGAGTTGGAGCTGCGTCATGGCAAGTTGCCATCGATTTTTTTCTTTCTTGTCCCCTCCGCGCTCTCGTACAACCCCACCCCCACAGCCCGCGGCAACTTTAGCTGGTCAGCCCTGTCCATCGTGGCTGCCACGAGGCACTCACTTATATTTAATTGCCATATTAGGCACCAGTCGACGACATCTTGATCTGTGACCTTCAGGTTTATATATGCACTGTAGGGCAGCCCCGCCAGACGAATGGGATGTGTCTGGAAGCTTCCACAAGACCGATCGAACCCCAACCCTGCAGGTCCCAGACTCGACATCCTGCATCGGCGTTGACGTCTGTTCTGAATCTGATTTGTATCGGTTGACATTTACATATCTTAACTGCCTCTATGCACATTTATCTCGAGTTCATGCCGCTTGCTTTCTATTACCGTCCATAGGATGCCATCTCGCAGCCCCCAAACCCTTCCATGCATGCTGTATTCTCCCAAAACAGAAAAGCAAGGAATAGTGAAAGCCAGCCCATTTTAGAATCTCAACTCCTTCAGCGCCGTCATCGCCGAGCAAATGTCGTAAGCTAATCCTCGTGTGTGCGTCCGGCCATCTTGTAGCCATGTTGGTGTAGTTTTAGGTCGTAGGGTCGTAGGGTCGTGGGTCATAGTCAGTCGTTCGTTAGATTACTCCTCGTCCGGAACCTCATCGATGGTCACCCGTGTGCACCGAGTGCCGTCGTCCCCATCCTTGGGGTTCTCACCGCCCTCGCCGCTGGCCTCCTCAGGGGCGACGGGCCGCCTGACCGAGAAGCACTGCACGGCGCCAAAGACGGCCACGAGCGCGCTGCCCCACCAGGCCAGCGCCGTGCAGTCCATCTGGCTGCCAACCGTGTACAGGTAGCCGGCCACGGGCGGCGCCACCATGCGGCAGGCGGCGCCGGCGCTGGCGGCCAGGCCGTTGACCTTGCCCAGCATCGACAGGCCCGGCGTCGCCTCCTTGATCAGGATCAGCAGTAGCGGGTAGGCCAGGATCGAGAAGAGGTTGCGGACCGATAGGCACGCATAGATGGCCGGGAACAGCAGCGAATCGGGCACCAGTAGTAGCAGCGGCACGACGACGTACACGATGGGGTGTAGCAGCATGACAGCCACAAACAGCCGGTACACGCCTAGCCGCTCGGCCGCCACGGGGAACACGACGGCCTGAATGAAGAGCGCGATGGCGCCGTTGACCGCCATGATCATGCCCACCGCCCGCAGCGACAGGCCCAGCCCGCCGGGCGAGTACAGCATGCCCGGGAGGAGTGATCCGAGGGCCGACAGGACGCCCAGGGGCTGGGCGCGCTCGTCCTCGAGGAAGATGGGTAGGAGGTGGTCATACGTCATGGAGTGGTATGTGAAGATGGACAGCGATAGGATGATGGCCATGATGCGCTTGTCAAAGACGCTGTGCGAGGAACCGTCCTGCTGCTTCTTGTGGCCCTTCTCCTGCCTCATGACCGCCACCACCGCCGCCCTGCCGCTCCCGCCCATGGTCGAGGCGTCGCTGCCCCGCCTCGCCTGGAAGGTGCCGTACGTCTCGGCCCGCAGGTCGACGGCCGGCCGCTTCAGTGCGTCCGACGTCTCCATCAGCGGTGTCTCATCCGAGACGTAAGTGTCGTCGGGCATTAGCACGCGGGGCTGCATGTCGGGGTGCGTCTCCTCCAGTAGGAAGTAGCCCAGCACGATGCTAACCAGGAGCAGCAGGGCGCAGATGAGGTTCGGGAGGAGGTAGGGGAACTCGTCAAAGAGAGAGCCCTTGGGGAACAGATCCGGAAACGCCTCGTTGGGGTCGGCAAAGGTGCCGCCGATGGCGGGCCCAATAATGGTGCCGATGCTCCAGACGAAGGGCATGATTGAGTAGGCACGAGCTGCCAGGTCGTTAGCTTTGGTCTCAGTCGCTGGTATGCGAAGGGCCACTCACGCTCGTGCTCTGGCTTGGTCACTAACTCGCCGACCATGGTCTGGATGACACCGATGTTGCCGTTGAGAAACCCGCCAATAGCGCGGCCGGCGAGCGCCACCCAAATGTTGGATGCAAATCCGACCGCCACCATGCTGAACATGGTGCCGATGCAGCCCAAGAGCAGGACGGGCTTGCGGCCTATCCTATCCGAGAGGCCGCCCCAGTACATGCCCATGCAGGCCTCGGCGAGCGAGAAGCTCGAGATAAGCAGGCCGGCGTGGAACGAGGCATCTTGCTCGTTGCCGATCTTGAAGCGCTTGACCAAGGCCCAGGCGTAGGGGAAGATGGAGGTTAGGGCAATGGGCTCCGCAAGACGGACGATGGCTGTTTCATCATGTTAGATCGAGACAGTGACAGTGTCGGGCAAATTGTACTCACCAAGTAAGAAGAGCTGGACAGCCGGAAAGTCGTCAGGGTTGCGAGTGTATCTCTGTCTTGTCAGACCCATTTTCGTATCTTTTGGTTTGCCTCCTTACGGTCGATGTGTCTGCGAGGGTGCAGCTTTTCGTCGGCTGGTCGTCTCGGATTTATATCTGCCCAGCCGCCGAGCAGCGACGACAGGACAAGACAATTCCCAGCACTGGGCGGAAACGAGAAGGAAGGAGGTGTGGTCTACAAGCGCAGTGGCAGGAGCAGGGTTGCCCGTGGATAGGGCTATTTATTTACGATATCGGTGGAGAAGACAGCGAAAGTGACACGAGCAACAGGCCGGGGAAGGCGCGCAACACATCCGACCAGGATGGACGGGCGTGCGCAAGCCCAGGCGGCTCGAAGGGCCCAGGACGGCTGTTGAACCACAGGCAGGCGCACAACGGGCGGTGGTTGAAATTGGATGGCAGATATCCGGAGGCGGCGGGCAGGGGTGGGATTAGCGGCGAGGGCGTGTCGGCGGATGGAGGGTTGCAGCGGCCAGGGAAGTTGCATGTAGCCGGATGGAAGCTGCAGTTGAACGTGCGACTGGTGCGACTGGTGCTCGTTTATCAGGTGGGCGGAAGGTCAGACTCCCTGAGAACCTTAACACCAAGTTTTTCCATGCGCATATCCTGCGCCTATCTACTCACTGCTTATCCGTTGCCAGCCTAGCCGAGGCCACATTAGCGTATTTTGTGGGAAGGCGCTGGACATGAAAAAAGGGTGTTGGTGCGACAGATAGGGTCTGCACACCTCGTGCAGTCTAAGGGAGCACTGTAAACAAGCCCTGTTCGATAAGGGCAAAGCATCGCTCGCCCTCGCCGTTTCCCGCTGTGCTGTTCACATGTAAACCCGACGGCCCAGCCGTGCGACTTGTGTGGTCTCGTGGACCGGTATTACTGTTAGCATGCACTGTTAACATGCCTATCACTTGGATGTGGTGGCTGGTCGCAGCTTGATCGGCAGTTTGGCTGGTTCGAGACTTGTGGTGGCTCCCCACAGTAGCTTCCAAGCGCTTCTTTCGGTCTGTTGTTTTGCAGGTTTCCTGGTGGTCAACAGCCCACATCCCGATAGCCTAGGTTTTTGATCCTTGCCCTCGTCTTGACTTCACATCCATGACCGGCGGTCGCCTGGCTCAGCCGTTCCCAGCTCAGCCGTTCGCGTCAGGGAGTTAGTTTGCCGGTCAGAAGGTCAAATTTACGGGAGCGGGAGTGTCGACGTGACCATGCGAGGAGACTGGGATACTGCACTTTGGCGCGAACTCAGTCAAAGTTGTTGTCCGCCCAGGGCATTGATGAAAATTCTGGAGCGTTCGAAAGCAAAGGTCGCACTCCAGCGATCGTTGCCCTGTCCCAGTAGCGCAGCCAGGATGGCACAGACCCTGGAAACTGCTTCATTCCGTTTCGGCGGGGTGAATTCATCCTGTGGAGGTCCTGTGGAGGCACGGAGGCTCTGGAACCACCTCGGGAATAGAAAAAATCGTCTCGCCTACCAACCTGCATGGAACACCAGCACTAGCACCAGCACTAGCACAGAGCAGGGGTTTCTGTCGACCCCGCCCATCGATCACCCTCTTTTTTCCTAGCGTCCGGCTGCTTTTTGCAGGCGCAGCGACTGGAATGGGAAGCCGCATGTCGGCTGCACGGAATCGAAGCGGTGAGCGGTGTGCACGCGAAGTCGGAAATGCGACCCAAGGAGGCAGGCGAGTCGAGATGGGATGGAACATGAAGCCAGCAACTGAAGCCAGGCAACCAGGGGGGCACCCAGGCACCCCTCAGGTTCTGCCGGATTTCGCCGTTGGTTGACGTTTTCTTGACTCCCAAAAGCAAAAACAACCAAAAGACCCACCCCACCCAACATCGGCATTCGGTTCGCTTCTGATAGCGGTCGTCCTGATGGTGTGTTGCTCCATCACACCGCCGGATTACCATAAAGAGCATCTTCTTTCATGGTCAATTACTCGGTCGCTGCACACCGCGCTCGCCGGTCTCGGCCGACAAGAGAGTTGGCTGTCTCACCGGCTTCAAATCCTATCGTTTCCATTACTAACTCGCACACAGAGGTCCAAGCAACCCCGCTTCATGGCGTTTTTGGCGCCAGGGAGGAAGAAAAAAAAAAACCGAGAAAAAGTCAGCCACCAGAAGCCAGACGACAGAAACCGTCACAGCATCCAACCTCACTCACGAAACACATCGGGAAATACTCACGGAGATAACAGTGGCAGCACAGCAGATCGCGATCACTCCAGTGGCCAGACTGCTTGTGGCTCGTCAGATCGCTATCTCGCAGGCCTTATCTGGCCACTCGACCTCGCATCAAGAAAGATGCTGCCCTTGCTGCACGCTGCGCAAAGGAGAGCCCTGGCTGGCTGTATGCAGGTGCGTACCTACATACAACATAACATCCATGGCACGTCCACGACATCCATGGCTCCATGCACCGCCATCGCCGTCCTCGACCAAACAAAGCGCTCTCGTCGTTCCCTGCTGCATGCAGCGGCTCCTGCTCCTGCCATGCCCCCGCCAATCCTGGCCGCCCCGGCCCACCACCGCGCCGGTTTGCCTGCCGCCAATACAGCCACCAGAATTCCGGCCCGAGCACCCATCCGCCGCACAACACTAGCGCGTCCAGGGGGCGTGTCCACTACACCCCCGTCCGCCCGGGGTGGGCATCTCCATTGTGACGCCTGCTGCCCCTGGACCGCCTGCTAATCGGCACGTCTGGCCTGACCTGCGTATGACGGGCGCCTGGCTCCCGTCCGCGATGGCGACATCACTTTATAGCCATAGCGACATTCACCGGTGGCATATCAATCGGCAACCTGCAGCTTTCTTATCAGCCAGCTTCGTCAAAACACGCAGCGTCTTGTCCCGGCCGGAGTCGCCGGTCCCAACAGGTATCGATCGTCGCGATAGCCACGTTGAGCAAGTGCCCAGCGACACGCCGAGTGGCCTGGGCTGTCATCGCCCCGCGCCATCTGCTTCTAGCCGGTGGCAAGGATTGCTGTCAAACATGAGACAGGGCTCGGCTCTTGTGGCACGCAGTCGTAGTATGTCCCGTCCTCCTGGATACCTACCTACGGACTAGCCCTTGCCGATGCTGGCTCTGGGCCACAAGTGTGGTGTGCGACCTTTTTTCTTTTTGCTGCACAGAAGCTGCGAGCAATAACGTTTCAGGGTCCTGAGTGGCGAGATGTCGGCTCCGGCCCACGATGCCGTGGGGGGCCATCTCAGGGGCCGTGGGGCCTAACCCAGCAAGCCGTCATGGGGTGCGTTTTGGCGTGGGGGTTCGCTCGCTTGCAGGGCTGAGTTTGACGGCAACAATCCGCACAAGGACTGTACGTGTCTGGGAAATAGGGCTATCTCTGAGCGAGACTGTCCCCCACGCTAGGATCGTGGCGTGGCCTCCAAAAGCCCACAATGGGGAGCCTCCAGGTTAGGGTCGACTGTGGGAGTTCTCTGCAGCCACGGCCCGAGGGCATTCCAAGCCGGCCCTTGCCGTGGGGTTCGTTCAGGGGTTTGAGTCAAGCTTATATAGCCGCCGTTGTCGGCTGCCTGCTCGCTTGAGTGCTGCGGGGGACGTGATGTAAACGTGGTACCTGCATTCACGATGGCGTATGTCTGACACTTGTCGCCTTGGTCGTAGTAGGCATGGTCACGTTACTCGTCTACTTATGGCGCTGTCATCATGTTGATAGGACAGCGATCCACAAAGAGGGGTTGTCTATCCACCGCCAGCCGACGGAACCGTCGAGCGAACATGCATTCCCAAGCGCCCATCTATTCCACACGCCACAGTGTTCCGGTCTGCCACTCCCAGCTCTAGTGCTCATACTCCATGGCGCCGTCACCGATAACGGACCAAAACTCCTCGACCAGCGCGTTCTGTCCCGACGGAGCGCCGCGCACGGCGAGGTACTTTCGCGAGTCGACGGCCGGGTCCCACACGCCCGGGTTGCCGCCCGCCATGATGCCGCCGGCCTCGGTCAGGATGCACCAGCCCGCCGCCACGTCCCAGGCGTAGCAGCCGCCCTCCCAGTACGCGTCCAGCTGGCCTGCCGCGACGGCGCACAGGTTCAGCGCCGCGCTGCCCATGGATCGCAGCGAGTGGCACATGCGCCCGCCCTCGGTCCGGTCGCCCGCGGCCAGGCGCCGGAACACGGACGCCTTGAGCTCAAAGTTGGCCCCGTCCCGGTCCGCGCCCCACTCGACGGCGACCAGGGCCGAGCCGAGCCCCGTCAGCGGCGCGGCCTTGGACGAGTCGCCTTCGGGGCAGCGCAGCGGTAGCCGCTCGCGCGGGACCGAGAAGCCGGGCGCCAGGCCGCCGCCGATGACGAGCGAGGCGCACCGCTGCATGTAGGCGCCGCCGCCGCGCACGCCCGTGAAGAGCACGTCGTCAAAGGGGCTGTAGACGACGCCGGCGGCGGGGAGCCGGTCGAGCAGGAAGCCGAGGCTGACACACACGGCCGGGAAGCCGTGGATGAAGTTTGTGGTGCCGTCGATGGGGTCGACGACGAAGGTGGGGCGGTCCGTGACCGTCGTCGTGCCGCGCTGGTACGACTCCTCGCCCACAAAATCAAAGGTCGGGTAGGCCGTCTGCAGCCGCGCCATGACGAGCCGCTCGACCGCCTTGTCCGTTTCGGTCACCATGTCGACGGCTTTGGGTGGGTGCGGGGTAAGCGACATGAATCAGGGCATCGGGGAAGTGACCGGCTCACAGTTCATCTTAGTGTCGGCCGTCTTGTTCTGTGGCTTCGCTTCCCGCACCATGCGCCCGGCCTCGAAGGCCACGGCGACTAGGGTGTCGTGGACGTGCTGTAGGTTGAGGCTGGACATGGTGGATGCGGTTGGGGGGGACCCCTTTGCAGTGCTTATCGTCGGGGTGTTGTGGCGCCGGCGCGGCGGTGGTTGGGCACGGCCGTCTGATGTCCGACGAGATGGTCAACTCCGCGTTGGTCAACTCCGCGTTGAAGTTCTGTCCTAGAGGCGGCAGTGACGTCCCAGCATAGTGCGGGGTCATCACGTCAGACGTGGGGCCAGTCGTTGCCACTTCCTCCAACAGTTCCTGTTCATTGGTCTGAGTGGATGAAAGAAACCAGATATAGCCAGCACAACCATTGTGGCCATTCTTGCTAGCATAGTCGATAGCTATTTGGATCTCGTCCTTGGAGAACCCAGTTTCTTCTCGCGCAGCCCACAACACCCCCAGCACGTCGAGCCGCACATGCTCCGCCGCCGCCTGCAGAGCAGTTCGTCTGTTGAACTTGGCCCCGGCTGCGTGGACACTGGCCCCAAGTGACAGCAGCCGTTCTACGATGCGTGTGTGTCCCCCGATGGCGGCCAGCTGCAGGACAGTCTCGCCACCACACTAGGCAGGTGCCGCATCAACATCCGCGCCCTTCTCTAGCAGTATCTGGACCATCTCCCAGCTGCCTCGCTCGCAAGCGGCCTGTAGGGGTAACCGCTTAACCCCCATCCGTGCCGCCCGGTTGGCGTCGGCACCCCTCTCCAAGGGGAGGGTCACCACGTCCTTTTTCCCGCACCTGATGGCGACGAGGAGTGCGATCTCTCTAGGCCAGGCTGTGGCCTTTGTATCGCTGCTGACCTGCCCGAACCTGTGTGGCGCTGCGGCTATGCTGTTCACGTTAGCCCCGACATCTGTCAGGACCCGGATCGCACCGAGACTGTGAGCGCCCGTGGCTGCATAGCCGAGAGGGCTCAGGTTGGAGCCAGTTTGGAAATCGTTCGCATCCAGGCCTGCCGCAAGGAAAAGCCGCAGTGCGCGGATATTGTTGAACTTGATGGCGTGGAAGAGGAGGTGGCATCCGGACTCTCCGGGGATTGCAGGGGACTTTGCCTTGTACGCCTCCAAGAGTGTCCCAAGATAACGGCTATCTTTCGTGATTGCGTCCTGGAATGCAAAGTTGTTGAGGCTGGAGATCCTCCCAGAAAGAAGGATCTCGATCATCTCGTCGTCACCCAGCTCCATCGCCTTGGCCAAAGGGTTCAAGTTGACCGACGAGAAGCCAGCACCCGCGCCATTATCCACAAGCAGCTTGACCACCTCTTTGCGCTTCGTTGAGACGGCTGCGGCGAGGGCCGGCCCGAGGTCGAGTGCAATAGCCTCTGCCTTTCGGTTGCGGATGGCCGTGATCAGTGCTAGGGTCAAGTAGGTCCCCGAGAACCCAAGCACGGCATGTGGACCATGGAAATCTGTCTACATGTTCACACGGCGGAAACGCAGTATCGTGTCCAATATTCTCTGAAGGGATGTAAGATCCCCAATCTCTGTTGAGGCGATCGCGGCAGCTTCAAAGGGAGATACGCTCTCTTCAACATGACGTCGTGCGCCGATCTGCTCAAGTCTCTCCGCCAGCTGGTGGTTCCGAGACCGTATGGCCTCGGCTAGCGGCGTAGCGGGAAGTTTGAAGAGTAAAAGGTGAGATTTGTCAGGGCAAAAAGACTCACGGAACCACATTGGCAAATCTAGCTGCTTTTCAAGAGGCACGTCGTTATCGAAACCTTGGTCGAGTATCAGGTCGACTATAGCAGAATTGCCACTCCGAATCGCCCAGAAAGCGTCATCATAGTTACCGGGCACCCATGACGCAGGAAAACCTTGCACAGCTCGAGGTTTCCAGACGTCGCAGCCAGAACAAAGGTCGGCCCAAAGCGCATGATGCATTTATCGCACCCGGACATCGCGCACCGCCCCAGCAGCAGTCGGAAGACGATGGTTGCTTGCTGGTGATCAGGATGATATGCGGCCCTGGACACGCCGATGCCCATCGTGGTCAGATACAGGGAGGCGACAGATAGAGGCGTAGGGACGGAGATTGAAAGAGTATGGGTGCGGATTTTAATATTTATGGGTTAGTTTGAAGTCCAAGACAACGACGTTTTTGCTTCCACCAGCGTCCAGCCTCGCAAAGACCGACAAGGTCTCATCATTTTGTAATCTGCGGACGTCGACAAGGGGTTCCCCCGAAAGGCCGCTGCCCTGCCAGACCTGCTGGAACTCTGTATATTTACTCTCCTTCACCGCTCGAAGGATTCGTAGGGTAGACGCATCTGAGTCGGGGAGGATGGCGAGCAGATCACCCGACTTGGCGACGGCGAGCCTGCCTCGCTTGCTGCCGGTGACGGGGCCAATGGTGTGCTGCTTCCAGGCCCCTGCGGGCTCCCTATAGAAGTGCCTCCACATCGGCCGGCCCTCGCCCTCGAATGTCCTATTTAGGACGTGCACACCCCCCTCCGCATCGACAGCCTGGCTCTCCTGGTTTGTGAGCCCGGAGCCTTTGGGAATGTCAAAGACGACCAAGCCCGGCGCGTCGGGCGTCACTCCGCGGCCATCGCCAGGACCCAAATCTGCAACAAGCGCGCCGTGCGTGTTCCGCCACGTGCGCCCATCGTTGTCGCTGTACGCGTAGCACAGATTATGGTTGTTCTCGGCGCCATTGGGGCCGGCCTGCTGCTTATGCTTGGTGTCGAGCAGGTCATCCCAGCCGTCGTAGTGCACGAAGCCGCGGTAGACCCACGTGACGTGCAGACGACCGCCGTCTTCGCGGACCTGGTAGTCCATGCCGTGTACATAGGGGTTGTTCTGCAGGCCGACGAGGTGGGTGCCGACAAACTCGAAGCGACCGCCGTCATCGCCTACGCGGTAGACATAGAGGTGGTCGTCACCCAGCCCGGCCTTCCCGGTCCGGAACGACAGGAACATGTCCCTGCCGCCGCCGGCCGGGCCGAAGCGTGGGTAGGTCACGTAGCCAAAGTGCTCATGGGTTCGGGGCAGGCCCGGCAGGTGGTCCAGCGTTGGTGTGAAGAGGGCCGAGGTCCAGGGGAAGCAGTCTGGGTCCGAGGCGAGAGCCTTGACGGAATAGCGGTACCGTAGACTGTCGACCACCGTCAGAGCCCTGTCGGCGAGCACCAGAGACGACAGACGCGCACTCACACGTCACAGTGGTGGTCATATGAGAGATGGATGGTGCCGTCGCCGGCGCAGATGCCCATCTGGACCGTGTTGTGGCCGTCGTCAACGGTCTGCGGGTAGTCGTCGAGGACGAGCACCTCCCATGGCGCGACGGGGAGCTTGCGGCGGGCGACATGGACGAACACTTGTTCGGACGCTTCGGCTCGAAGTGGGCTATAGAAGACGGCGTACTGCCAGCCGTTGTGCGAGGTGATGGCGTCTTGCTGAAAGGCGTTGCCGTTGAGCACGCATTTCCGGTGCCGGGGATCTGGGCCCAGCACCGTGACCAGGGGGTCGCTCAGGGGGGTCGTAGACGCCATTGCGCGTAGCAAATGTCGATGAAGTGGCTGACGGGAGTCGACGTGTTTTGTCCATGGTTGAATGGCGAGACTGGAAGCGCGCAGGCATAATTGGTGCAAGAAATCCGGAGAAATTGGTCCACCAATGGGCATTGGGCTTGACGACAATATTGCTGATCCTGTGAACGGAGAGCTAGTGTTTCGATATCGCAGCAATTCCTTTCTGGAATTTCAGGTTTTGGCAGGCGTGGAAGGAGCTGTGGCCGAGGGTTAGGGGTTTCCAGTCGGTTGGCGCCAGGCGGTTACATTGCATCAATTCATTCGACGCTGCATTGATTGCTCCCCATTGATCGACTTTCCATTGATTAACTGCCCATACAACCAACATTGAACCGCCCAGCGGACTGGCAGATTCAGCACCATCAGAATGCCACATTTCCATCTCCCAACGTCCCCGCCCATCTCAGACCTCAGCCCCACCTCCCCGCCTCGCCCATCATCACTTGGCTTCCCCGTGAAATCCCCAACATCCCCATCTTCGCTTTCTGGGGACGGGTCTGACGCCGATACGCGTGGGACGTCTTTGCTCGAAGCTGGCGATGCTCATGTTCGTCTTCAAAGCTCTGAATATCCAACATGGGTTCATGCTGGGTCCACTTCCACACGGCCACCCATGCTCGCCGAACCGACGTGCAGCCGCCGCAACCCCAACTTTAGCCTAAAGGCCCGAATTGCGAGCGGGCTTGGCCTGATCCTGTCCCTTCTCACGGCCAGATAAGTCTCCTGGGCGCAAGACAAGTCTCCCCGGCGCGAGACAAGTAGCGAGTGCCTCGATTTGGCGTTCTTAGTCGCTCCAGTGCCGTCTTGGATTTGATAAGTTGTCAACCTACTTTTCAGCATCCGCCTCTATCTGCCTTCCAACATGTACAGCACCACGAGCGCGAACCGCCTGCCTCCCGAATCTGTGGTACGGCAGAAAGCCCTGCCACCTAATAAATGCACCCTGGAGGCTGAACGATGACGGCCTCTGGTTGGTGGAAAATATTTCCCCACAACAGCGTGCTGGGGTACCTCAGAAGTCTCCAAATCCCAGAAAAGGTTTGATTGGGGTAACGGCCACATGGATCATCTGCCCGCTCCCCCAACTCCAGATGGTGCTCTCACGGCGGGTTCGGCAGCAGGGCTTACTCCTCACTAACGAGATGTCCATGTACTCGGTCAGCCAAGTGATTATGGGCCGAGACCTGTCGAGCCAGTTGCTTTGCGAGTGACAGCTAAAGATCGGCTGTGAAGCTCACACTCTGGACTCCAATTTTCCCCCTCGCATCCGTCTGTCGGCGGTTTGCTCGATTGGATGGATGTGTGGGGAAACCAGGGCCATCCCCGTCCATAGGAGGCTGCACGTCGTATTTCGCAGGGTGTAATCTATGGACGTGGCAACCATATATCAGGAGTGCCTCCCGGCCAACTTGCCTGATCCTGCTTGCTGATCATCCGCCTCCCCTTGCGCCTTTGCTGCCATCTGCGCACCTGGCGAACAGCCGACTTCGAGGGCACCGCCAAGTCCTGGCCAAAGTCAGCATCACCGTCACCCAAACGCAAGGGAAGCCCGCCGACCGTCACAATGGGGAAAACTTCGGTCAAAATCCTGGAGAAGCTGGTGAGGAATGATGCCATGCGGCATGATCCTCCCGAGATCTACGGATGGAGGGTCTATATGCTGGCCGTGTCGGTAAGTTTACTGCCCGCTCTTTGATGAGCGCTCCGGGCTAACGACAACAGGCATGCTTCGGCGCCATGTGTTTCGGCTGGGACTCGTCCGTCATCGGCGGCGTTATCGTCATGGACCCTTTTAAGCGAGACTTCGGCCTCTTCGAGAATAAAGAAGTCGCCGCCGACCTCGGCGCCAACATCGTTTCGACACTGCAGGCCGGCTGCTTCGTCGGGTCCATTATCGCGTCTCCCCTAACGGACCACTTCGGTCGCAAGTGGTGCCTTGTCGGCACCGCTGTCGTCATCCTGGCCGGTGTCATCATGCAAGCCGCTTCCCTCGGCAACCTGCCCGCAATCTTCATCGGCCGCTTCGTCTCGGGCCTCGGTGTCGGCGCCGCCTCGTGCATCAACCCCGTCTATGTTTCCGAGAACGCGCCCCGCGCCATCCGCGGCCTGTTGACGGGCATGTACCAGCTCTTCATCGTCACGGGTGGTATGATCGCCTTTTGGGTCAACTATGCCATGAGTATCCACTACGTCGGCACCAAGGCCATGTACATCCTGCCACTGGCCATCCAGGGCCTCCCCGCCGTGCTGCTGATGTTTTCCATGCTGCTCTGCAACGAGTCGCCCCGTTGGCTCGCCCGCAAGGATCGCTGGGAGGAGGCCAAGGACGTGCTGTGCCATGCGCGCAACCTGCCAGTCGAGCACGCCTACATTCAGGACGAGATCCAGGAGATCGCGGATGCCCTCGATCACGAGCGTCGACTGGTCGGGGATGCCTCCTGGCTGCGCCTCAACAAGGAGATCTGGACCCACAGCATCCACCGCAAGCGCGCCATCATCAGCATCGTCCTCATGATCTGCCAGCAGATGACGGGCACCAACGCCATCAACACGTACGCTCCCCTCATCTTTGCGAACCTGGGCATCAAGGGCCTCGAGGGGCAGCTGCTGGGCACCGGCGTCTACGGAATTGTCAAGGTTTTGTCGTGCATGGCCTTCCTCCTGTTCATGGCCGACTCTCTTGGTCGCCGCCGCTCGCTGCTCTGGACGTCCATCGCCCAAGGTCTGGCCATGTTCTACATTGGCATCTACGTCCGCATCCTGCCTCCCGTGAAGGACCAAGCGGTGCCCCCGGCGGGATACTTTGCCCTCGTTTGCATTTTCCTGTTTGCTGCGTAAGTTCGCCCCGACCCCGGATCCAGGAACAGCTACTGACCTGCCCCAACAGTTTCTTCCAGTTCGGATGGGGACCAGTGTGCTGGATTTTGTCGTCGGAAATCCCGTCGGCGCGCTTCAGGTCCATCAACGTCATGTACGCGGCCGCGACGCAGTGGTTCTTCAACTTTGTCGTCGCGCGCTCGGTCCCGGTGATGCTCATTACCGTCGGCGGCGAGACGGGCTACGGCACCTACCTTATTTTCGGCAGCTTCGCTTTCGCCATGTTCTTCTTTGTGTGGTTCTTCATCCCCGAGACCAAGGGACTGTCGCTCGAGGCCATGGACGAGCTGTTTGGAGGCGAGGCCGTCGGGACCGGGAAGGCCGGCGCCGAGACCAATGCCGAAAGCGGCTCTGGCGGAAACGGGGCGGGCTCGGAGAAGCTTGAGATCTCGCAGGCGGAGAAGCGAGTCTAGGGCCTAGGATGTCTGGCAGCTTGAGAACAACCTCGTGGTGCTTCTACTTTATACCTACCTTGACTATGGACGATTTTAGTGTCAACTGTGGAACATTCCATCTCGGCACTTGCCGGTCTTTACGTGTTCAGCCGCTGCTGTTGGGTTAAGCCTTCGATTCTCCACAGTTCTCGCCCGGGTTCGAAGAAGTGCCGTTCTCTGCACGCTAGAGTTATGCTACCTTGCACAAGCGGCAATGGTATTGGCTATCTCCAATGTCTACCTGCAATATTCAACTGCCCAGAGATCCGAGCTGATGCCATGCCTCGTCACGGAGAACAGCCCACGTCACGACGATAATGCCAGGCTCAGGGACATGGCATTGTTAGGGCTGATTCAACTTTCCTTCATATTCTCCTCCTGTTCCCACATATACAATGCCCAGAATGCATTGCGAAGTAGCCTTTATCCCCTATCGGTCACGCAGCGGCTGTATCATGTGCAAGGCATGGCCACTCCGAAAGCTTTCACACGAATGCTGCCACAGGGTGTGGAAGGAAGGCAAGGCACGATAGGGGCAAAATCCATACTGTATAGCAGAGATCCTGGCACCAGCACTCTGAATGCAGTCACGGCGTTCCAACGTCACCGTTCCAACGTCACCGTTCCCACACCACCGAGCCTCCGTTACGTCCAAGGTAACGGCGAGATCTAGTCCTGCCCCTAGTGGCTCCTGACGGTAGCCACGACGTCAAACCCTTCGGTAAATCCTGCCCACCCCAAGCACAACGGCAGCTCTTCGGATAACATTACGAGGGCAGCAACCTCGAGCTTGCGTCGGTCTTTCGAGCCCGCCATTAGGGCGGAAAACACATCCGCGACCATGGCCGTCACAAAGAGAGCCTGAGTCGAGTCTCGCCCACACACCCGAAGCGATATTTGCCCACCAGGCCGCAGAGGACCCAGCCAGGAGCGAGCGGTCTAAGCGCATGAGCCTATCGCGCAACAGTGGGCGAACGGTCGCGTCCAGGGGGCCGCAAGGTGTCATCCCCTTCTCCACTTTCAAGGCCCGGAGCCGCACCCAAACCACCGTGGCGGTCTGCAAGGCGCGGGAGTGGCACAGCCCTATAACCCAAGATCAATGCAAAGCAAGCGGTTGTGGGGATTCGGGAGAACCGGTAGGGATTCCAGGTGTTCCCGGACGAGCAGTGAGCCAAGTTGTCCAACGAGAACTCTTCTCTGGTCCAAAAAAAAAAGAAATAGGAGGGAAAGGGGTCGAGGCCGGGTTCAAAGCTGGCAAGCTGGGTCTAGCCCGTGGGTCTTGCTCTTGGCCTTCTGCTAGCGTGGCTGGAGGAGACCGCGGTCGCTGGGCGGGACCGTTGGAGCACGTGTCGGGGTTCGCAGGATATTGCGCTTGGCGATTCCTTGGTCCCCTGGCTGTGAGTTTTCCGCCATGGTCACATCGTCAGTTGATCTTGTTGACGCACACGTTTCCGCCAAGTGCCAGCCGCGTCCTCTCTCGCGAACCGCAGCATACCTAGCAGCGCATCCCATAAGCGCGCCAACGAGGCCACCAGCCACGCATGAAGCTGCGTGAGCCGACCTCCCTCAAGGTCAAAGCGGCGGGCTGGACAGCTAAGCCGGCACGCTCGGAAACAGTCTGACAGGGGGGCGGCGGATCCTATGCAGAATAGAACCTCCCCGGATCCCAGGGCGACGTCACCAATCATCACCGCCAGGGGTTGAAGGCGCTGATTTAGACAACTCTATGCACGTTCACTCGCCTGCTCGCCCACCGCGCCCTACAGAAAATGGTTGATGTGGCTGAATTCCCGGGGCGGGCGAGTCGTTAGCTTAGCCAAGATGGGCGAAGACCTTAGACAAGGTATGAGTTTAAAAAATTCTCCAATTAAGCTAAACTACCCAATTTTTCGCCCATTTTGGCTAAAGTACGTAAGTTGAACTCAGGCTTTGCATATGCATCGCTTAAGCATTATATTAAATATAATATAAAAAAATTTATTAATTATTTAGCGGTAAACGAAAAATTAAATAAGGAACGTATTGTGATAGGCAGACCACCAGGTGGTGCCTGGCAGGTGCCGAAGTGGTGTTATTCTACGAGATAAGGAAGAAGGGGAGAGAGTTGGGTCCTTGTCCTTAGAGGACTCGGGGTGGTTCCTAATACATGAGTCTGACCCAAGGGGCACCCCTTGGGTCACGTGATCCGTGCCCAACACGGATCCATAACACGTATAAGCAATGCATAAGCTTTTAATGGTTAAATTTAATTGGGGGTTTTTTTTGGTTTTTTTAACCCTTTCAACTTTATTTAAAGTGTTTTTGCAATTCGCTTACCTTGGCTAAGGTTTAAGGGTCCACTTTTTCCCACCTCGTTCGAGGTTTTCGCCCACCTTGGCTGAGTTATCCCTCGGGCGTGCCGCCTGCTCCAATCAAAGGGCTTGGCAACTGTCGTTGCAGCCGGGATGAGGACCCATAAAGTGGACGCCTGGATAACCTCCAAGACCAGAGCCACGGCTGGCCGGTGCAGAAGGCGACTGACGTGCCCCTTTTTCTCCAGGGCAGTGTCGGTTCAGCCCAGCCGACCCACCCAACGGGCTGGCTGATGGGTCCCAAGATGTTTTCCAGCCTTGACAGAAGCCCTGACAGGAGCCACGAAGCTTGGGACAGGGCAAAGGCATGGAGACGGGAGCGTCAAGCACGGGGCGACATGAGCTTGAACGCGGTGAGGCCGTCTGGGCTTTGTCCTGTGCCTGGTGCCTGGAGACGGAGACGGGATGGAACCGAGGCCAAGAGGCTCAAGTCGACGATGGCCTCGTCGACTATAAGTAGAGCGGCATCCCGCCCTCCAATGCTGTGTAGTTTCTTTCCTCCCCATCCCACTCGGAACACAGTCTCTTTCTGTACCTTCATTTCATTCCCGTCTTTCCTTCCAGTCTCTCTTTCGTCATCTCATTGACTTCAGTCTCGTCTCTTCAACTCCTCAGTCTCTTCAACTCTTTTTACAGGCAACCAACCACCAAAACAACAGCCACCACCGCAAACATGCAGTTCAAGAACATCTTTGTTCTCGCCCTCCCCGTTGCCGTCCTGGCCGCGCCCATTGTGGCCCCGGCTGCCGACAACGTGGCGGAGCTCGTCGTCCGCGACGTGGCTGCCGCCGAGCACCAGCTCGGCGCGCGCCAGGACATCAAGCAGGAACTGATCGCCATCGTGATCTCGGCCGCCAAGGACATCGTCAGGGACGTGGCGACGGCCGTCGCGGCCGAGGGCGTCAAGAAGGCCGGCCAGGCCATCAAGGCGCTCAAGAACTGGACCCCGGCCCGCGAGGCCTTCACCAAGGCCACGTCGGCCGAGATGTGGGCCAAGAACCCCGACCCCACCAAGTACGCGGCCGCCATCTGCTACAACATGGGCTACTCCATCACCGACCCTGCCGGCGTCGAGGGCTTGGTCAAGGCTCAGCTCAAGAGCGGCCTGCTCAAGACCGACTACGACTGCTTCTTCATGACCGCCGGCAACACCATGAACCTGAAGGGCGACGGCGGCTTCATCAACCTGTCCTTCAACGCCGACAAGCGCTGCACCTACGACAAGAACACCAAGGTCATCCGCTGCTAAGCGTATCGCCTTCTCCAGGTGTGGGGTATTTGGGGAGATTTTCAATTCTTTGGGGCGCTTTTTAGATGGTGGTTTGGTGGCTCTTCTGTTCAGCACCTGGTGTTGAGCCGTTGACGGTGCCTGTAAAGTGTACATATTAGAGTATAGAGCCTGACCCGGAGACGCGGCTGCAGTCTTTGGCGATGCAAATCCAACTTTTGTCTTTAACTTGCGCAAATGCCATCTGTGAGGAAACGTTGCAGCAGGCGGCTGACATGAAAAATGACGCATAAGGGTGCGAGTGGTCGAGAGGGACTTGTACAAGTCTCTATGGACCTCACTAATCTGTTCACCACCCGGGCCGTCGTTGGCGGCATCATGTTGGGCCTGCTGGCCAATGCGCCTCTGCCTTAAGACTGGCATCGGTTTGTTGACCAGGATGTTGGTGCATCTCCAGTAAGCATCTATATGCCGATGCTGGAGGCCAGCTCATCCAAGGCCGTGACATCCCGAGCTCCTAGCGACTTGACCATGTCTCGCGTATGCTTCTTTATTGGGCTCTTCTTCTTCGTCATGCCACTGCGCAGGTTCCTCGCCATCCGGGCCGCCCGTCGGGTCCAGCATACTCGTCAGCCTCACACGGCCCTCTGTCCATGTTTTCCAGAATCACCATAACCCAAGGCCCCATCAGTCTCCTGCTAGTTCACCATGGCGAGTCCGTCGGCTCCCAGGCCTGCGGTGGCCAGCCGAGTGGCGTTCGGTGCTCGTTCGCGTCGTTCGGCAGGTTCTGTAGGGAAACCTGTGGCATCGCCCTGGGTCTGATCCACACGGCCAAGGACGACCGGTGCGCCAAATCCCCAAGATGAAGCCGCACTCGCCTAAGGATAAGGTATCGGAAGCACGATGGAAACAGCGACAGGAAGCAGGTGGAATTGCTCACGTTTGGTTAATGGGCTCTAGTCAGCGTTAGGTTGTTGGAGGCGCATGCTCTACTGGCAGGCCGTAAATAAGCCGCCACGACCGGCCGTCGACATTGCGCGCAGCTTCGGCGTCGCCGCTTGCCTGTTGCCGTTCTCAACCTGCCGCAGTCCCAGCCGCGTGTGCCGCTCAGCCGCTCAGCCGCTCAGCCGTCCATCCGGCATGTCTTCTTCAGGAAGTAATTTGCTTGCCGGCCCATGCCGAGCCGTCTTCCGCGGTGGCCGAAAAAGGGGTAGGATGGTGGGCGGGATTGTGGGTGGTGGCCTTTTATATCAACCGAGTTAGATCCTGCCAAGCCCCGCTTTCGGGTGACGTGCGAGTCGAGATCCGAAGACGAACCCCTGGGCCCCTGACTGCCAGCCAGGCTCGAAGCCGAGGGGAAGGCGGCCAACAGCCACTCAGATAGGCAAGGATGGCCGCTGTCGCTGGACAGGAGGCAGCCGCCAAGCTCTCGGCCATTCCCGAGCGTGTTAACTTGGCAGTATCGAGTAATTCCACGCGGCGGCAGAGAGTTGGAAAATTGACATGCAGCAGCCTTGCAAGTAAATGTCCCGAACAGGAAACATCAGACGGGGCACCACGCGATTGTGCCTCGGTGGTGATCATCGCGTTGACGGTCAGTGAGCGTGGCCATGGTGGACATATAAGGAGCTGCGTTCGGCAAGAGACCTTTCGTATCTTTTCTTCCGGTATCTTCCCGACATTTTCTTGCATTTCCCTACTCACTAAATAAGCACAGCCTTTGGGAACGCGATAGATTCGCAGCGAGACGAAAATAGAATCACCCGGAAAGGCGCGGACGCCGATCACCGAAATCACCATGAGCGACCCTACAAAAGGCCTCAAGACCCTCTTCCAGACCGAGCGGCTGGTTTTCCGCCGCGTCGAGGGCGACGAGGACCGCGACTTTATCCACAACTACCTGCACAGCGACCCAGTCAACAATGTTTTCAGCGGCCCGGGGCTGTTGCGGCCGTCGAGCGTGCAGGACGCAGACGAGATGGCCGGTATGCTCAAGACGGTCATCCTGGGCGTCATGATTTGCCTACCTCCCGCGGCAGAGGCAGAAGACGGGGCAGCAAACGGCGCGAAACAAACGGCAGCTCGGCACCTCCGCCCCGAGAAGCTCACAACAATCGGCTACCTGTGGATCATGGACGGCGATGGCATGCCCAGGCAGGGCGACGGCGAGATTGCGAGCGGCGGCAACTTTGCTGGGTCGGCGGACCTGGGCATCAGCATCGCCGAGGCGCACCAGGGCAAGGGGTACGGGGCCGAGGCCATCAACTGGGCGGTGGACTGGGCCTTTAGGTACGCGCGCCTGCACCGCATCGGGCTCAACGCCGTCGAGTTCAACGAGCGCGCGTGCGCCCTGTACCGGCGTCTAGGCTTCAAGGACGAGGGCCGCCTGCGCGAGCTGCAGTACCACGACCGCAGGTGGTGGGACGTCATCTGCTTCTCCATGCTGGAGCACGAGTGGGAGGAGCTGCGGGGGTGGAAGAAGGCGTAGGCCCGGCGGAGGGACGTAATTACGGCTTGGATGATAGAATGCAATCAATGGGTATCATTTGTTCCGTCCAACGCCTGTGTTGCTAGCATTATCTTTGACTGGCCAGGAAGCCCGTGGCGATGATGGAACCTGTGCGCTTACTCCTCTTCCTCGTCCAGGCTTGGCCACTCGACAACAAACTGTGGCGCGTCGTCGGCATCTTCTGGAGACTGCAGGGCAAAGGCGACGTCCATGTTGTCCTTGAGACCTTTGGCGACGGGCGTGTCCGTGTCGCGGACCTTGAGATTCCGCCACTCGGCGGCCCTGCTGCTGTCGCCGCCGCGTCGGCTCTGCTGCTGGAGTATGCCGTAGCTGACGGCTGCGTCTGCGGGGACGGGCGTGTCGGTGGCCCCGAGGGTCGAGCTGAGGCCTTTGGGGTAGCGCTCTTGTAGGATCTCGAGCAGGTCGGCCGAGATCTGTGCGAACGTGTTGAGGGGCGAGACGAGCATGTAGATGGTGTGGATGCCGTACTTGAAGCGGAGCGAGAGGTCGACCTCGATTTGGGCCGCTTTGGGCGGCTGGGGGGTCTGTTAGTTGGCACAAGGCGGGCAGGGCAGGGCGGGGAAACGGACCATGGTGTAGACGGTGGCGCGGATGGCAGTGCAGTTGGTCTAGATGAGGTGCTGGGACTGTCCTACCAAGTCCCGATTTGCCCTTATGTTGTGCTTGTTCTGTGTATGCTGTGTCCAAGGGAGGAGTCGGACGCTGGAGCTGAATCCCAGAACTGATCGAGCTGACGCGACGTGGGGGTAGCGGGCGGACGTACCCCACTAAAGCTAGCGGACCCACCCATCCACAGCATCAAGAGCCGAGAGGGAGCTTGGGCCGCCAAGCACTGGGAGAGAAATTTCATCATCTCGGTTTCGATCTGGCGACGGCCTCAGCCGAGTGCCGACCTCCAGCTGTCCATTCTCCGACCGACCGCCCAACCTACGCCATGGCGTCCGAACCCGCAGACGATGCCCCCAAAGACCCCCGCCGCAGGGCCCGGCAGATTACTCCCGAGGAGATGGCCGAGTTGGCCAGGAACTCGCGCCTATCGACCCCCAGCTTCGTTCGAATCCCCGCTGCCGCTCTCACCTCGTTCGGAGTAGGCATGACCCTAGGTATCATGCACGGCAGCAAGATGAGAGGCCTGCGCTTCCGCGCCGAGCACGCCCACAAGCTGCCCTCGTCCACAACAGGCTGGTACCTCTACCACCGCAGCAAGAACTACCACATGGCCTTTGGCGGCATCAAGGAAGGACTCAAGATGGGCGGCCGTATCTGCTTCTGGACCACAGCCATGTTTGCCATCGAGGATATGTTTGACAGCTACCGCAGGTCCATGGACGGCATCAACACCGTCATGGCCTCTGTCGCCGTCGCCGGCGGCTTTAGTCTGTGGAGTATGTTGCCGGGAAGCTCTGCGAGCTGGAGCTTTAATGTGAGCTAACCTTGGTAGACCGATTCCCCCTGATCATGGCCGCGCGCACAACCAAGACGGCCCTGGTGGTGGGCCTGGTATACGGAGGCCTGCAGGACTTGGTCAGTGCCGCCAGGGGCCGCCCGATCGGCTACGTCGAGGCAATGCGCCGCCGCATGACCAAAGCCCAGGGCACTACACATCTTGAGTGAGCCAGTATTTAGCCTCATCGTGCCTGTGGGGCGGGCGCCCCTCCGCCCTCTTTCGGCTTACGCTTGTCAGGGCTCTGTTGGCGCCATGCAGGGGCCGAGGGCGCGTGATCCGACAGCCTCCGATGACGGAGTTGAGCTATGAGCAACTGCACGGACCGAACAGCAAGCCGTGACACCGAGGATGCTCGTCTCACAGGCAACCATTCAATGCTGGATTGCATGGCTAGCGACGGCAGTGGCTGCGACGAATTGGCCAGTCAGATGAGACGAGGGGCCGAGGCAAATGTCAGATTTGTGAGCAATCCAGCAGACCGCTTACATTCGCTGCATCTAGACACTTAGATGCGCTGATCCGTCGGGATTAACCTATCTGGACGGCTTCTGGAACCCCGCACTCTCCCCTCAAGTCGGTGCAGACCAACCACTGCGGACCAACCATTGCAACCGTGGGGTGCTTGAGGCGGGGAGCCGACTCGAGACAGAGGACGACGAGGGAGTCGTGCCATTTCTGCAGTGGCTTGGAGGCGATCTGTTGCATGGCTGCCACGGCTATCCACGGCTTTCAGAATCCCCATTCGGCGCACGTGACGGATCCGCCGTCTTTGATAAGAGCCAGCTCAGTCAAGCATCCAGTAGCGTGCCTCGGATCGCCCTGGCATCATTACAATGCAATCTGCGGGGCTCCGGAGGCGAGGGTCCCATGGGACAAAGCAGGCGGCATGCAGCATGGCCAAGCAAGGAGATAGCACCGATGCTATGTTTCGTGCATGCGGCGAATAGCTGTGCTCCAGGAGCCCGGGACATCATACCGCCTATCAAGGCCGGGCCACCTTTGTTGCGTTGGGCCTCCGATAGAGGAAGGGCACGCACTTATTATGTACCAGGATGCTTATCCCTCTGTCTTAGCGGTTCCTGACCCCTCGTCATATACCTAGGGTGCTGCCAAACGGCCAGGACCAGCGACAATCACCTTTCAATATATAAAGCATCGCCCGACGCGTTCCATCCGCTGCTGCGTTCTAGCTTGCAAGAACAGAGTATACATCTTCCTAGACTCGATCGAGCCCGCCAATGTACCTCAGACCTACGATATCGCACGGCAGCAGGCCTTTACAGTACTCGGCAGGAGGGACCAATTTGATAAGATGGGTCGCCGTTTCTTCGCGGCCGGCGCCCAGCGCCATCGCCCGCCATAGACGGAACTGCGCGGCTCAGCCGAACAGAATGAGTTCCACCAGCACCAGAGCCCTCCATTCATCGCCGAGCAGGGCGTCCGCCCCAGCCATCGCACCGGCCTTGGGTGCCGAGACGCAAGCACTGCTGCCCGAGGCTGCCAGCAACGCCACGGCTAGAACCAACCCACTGTCTGTGCTGCCGCTAAAGGTGGTGCTGCGCTCGCTGGCTACGACGACTATCTCGTCGTCACCGCTGCTGCTGCGCCCGTCCATGGCCATCATGTCGGCGCTGGCACATAGCGCCAGCCCGCTGCTCGACCCGGATAGGAACCCGGTGCTGCGGTTCCTGCTCAAGCACACGTTTTACGCCCAGTTCTGCGCGGGCGAGGACGCGGGCGAGGTGCGGCGGACGATTGCGAGCCTCAAGCGCGACATTGGCTTCACGGGCGTCATCCTCGGCTACGCGCGTGAAGTGGTCATGAGTGAGGCCCAGACCCGGGAGCTGACGTCCGACGCCGGCATCCAGAACTGCGCCACGGTTGACGAGTGCGTCCGCAATGAGATCGTGCCGTGGGCGGCGGGAAACATGGAGACGGTGCGGCTGGCGAGCCCTGGGGACTTTGTGGCGCTCAAGTAAGTGGCTGCGCCTCTGGAGCGACAGGAACAATATCTGACAGGCAACAGGTTCACCGGAGCAGGCCGCATGGCGCTCTATGCGCTCTCGGGGCAGCAGGCGCCACCAAAGGCGCTGGCGGACGCAACGGACCGCATCTGCGAGCTGGCGGCGGCGCGCGGGGTGCGGCTTCTCTTTGACGCAGAGCAGCAGGCGGTGCAGGCGGGCATCGACGACTGGACACTGCGGTACATGTCGCGGTACAACACAGACGGCCGGGCCGTCGTCTACGGGACTTACCAGGCCTACCTCAAGGCGACGCCGCGCGTGCTGTCGGCGCACCTGGGCGCGGCGTCGCGCGGCGGCTTCGCGCTCGGCGTCAAGCTCGTGCGCGGCGCTTACCTGGGATCGGACCCGCGCCACCTGATGCACGACTCCAAGGCGGACACGGACGCGGCCTATGACGGCATCGCCGAGGCGGTGCTGACGCGGCAGTGGAGCGGGCCATTGGCGGGGGCGGGATCCGGTGGTGTCGGGTTCCCCGTTGTGGACATGGTGCTGGCGTCGCACAACGCCGAGTCGGTCCGCAAGGGCCGCGCCATCGTCGAGGGTGGGCGCGCGCGCGCGACCGATGTGGCGTTTGCGCAGCTGCAGGGCATGGCGGACGAGGTCAGCTGCGAGCTGGTGGCGAGCCGGGCGGCGGCGGCGGCGGGTGCGGCGGATGGGCCTGGGAACGACATGGGCGCGCCGGCGGTGCGTTCGTACAAGTACCTGGTCTGGGGCACGACGGGCGAGTGCATGAAGTACCTCCTCCGGCGGGCGCAGGAGAACCGCGACGCGGTGCAGCGGACGCGCAGCGGGCGGGACGCCATGGTGGGCGAGGTGGTGCGGCGGATCCGGGGCATGTTTGGGCAGTGCCGGTAGCTGTGTTCTTTGAGCCTTGATTTCACGTATTCCCCTGATATAGTAGCCTTTTCGAATTATTCTCTTTTTGAAGAAGAAGAAGAAGAAAAACGCCCAATGATGCACATCCCCGGCGCCCAACGCCGAATGAAACCCCATACTTTCAGACAAACGCAGTCACACCCCCCGCAAGGCCATGGCACCGAGTATCAGCATCTCCTCATCCCTCCTCCTAGCGCCCTCGTCCTTGATCCCCGCCAGCGCCGCGGCGCCGTTGAGCTTGTAGTATTTCCGCACCTTTGCCCAGTCGGTACACAGCGCCACGTTCTCGTCCGTGAAGGGCACGGCGGTCCCCTCGACGCTGGCGCACAGATGTACCCAGACGTCGTCCGCCGTTGTGTTGCTCCCCGCCGTTAGCACCTTGACGGCCACGACGTCCCTGCTCGCGGGCGAGATGCCGAAGCGCCGGTACGCCTCGGCGATGTTGGCCGAGGGCGCCAGGCAGAAGACGGCCTCGGAGTGGACGTTTGGCGTGCGCAGGCCGGACGACGGGGACGACGACGACGACGCGGCCGTGTTAACGGCGCGGAAGACGGCGGCGAGCAGGTGCGTCGTGCTGGCGAGGGTGGACGCGTCGACAAAGGAGTACTCGAAGGCCGCGTTGCGCGCCAGCAGCTGCGCGTGCAGGAAGCCCGCGTTGGCGACGGAGCGGAACAGCGCCGCGTGGACTGTGTAGGATGCTGGGACGTGCTCGAGAGGGATGTGGGCGAGGAGGTTTGGCGGTGCGGGTGGTTTGCTGTCGGCGGCGGCGGCGGCGGCGGCGGCGGGTGGAGGGGCGGTGGACGCGGGGTCGGCGCTGGCCGGGGCGGACATTGCGCCGTCGTCGTCGCTGGCTGGCGGCTGCTTTTGGGGCATGTTTCCTTGGGATCGGCGCCTTTTTGAGACGACGACGCCCATGGCTGGTTGGCAGGTCGTGGTTGATGGCACGGGTTGTTGATGGTCAAGTCTGACGACATCCGAGGTGGGGCACAAAGTGGAAAATTCAACTCTCACATGGTATCCGACGTCGACTGCAGTAAAAGGGTATTCGTATATATGACAATATGCCCGGGCGATTGCTTCCCATATTCCGCCCTCCAAATGTGAAAATCGCTCCCAACCAGAACCCGCTTGCCGTGTTTGAAACCCGATGTATCCCAGCCCAGAATGACTTCAGATACCGACCGGAGTGGCAGCTGACAGAAATGAGCCGTGTACGCCGAGACCGAAACAATGCGTGTACTCTTGCTTTCCTGCTCAGGACAAAGGAGAGACAAAGAAAACGCCGTGCGCTCAGCTGCCGTTGACCGACGACACGTCGGGAAACAGCAGCAGCGGCCACTGCTGCGCCGCCGACGCCATGCTCGCGAGCCCCACAGCCGCGTGCTGCTGCTCCTGCGACCCGTCCACCCCGCCCATCTGGTGCTGGCCCGTTCCGAGGTTCAGCAGCGTGCTGGCACCCGTCCGGTGCTGCATGTCCGTGATGGAGCTCGTCCAGTCCGTCCACGTGCTGCCGCCGCTGGCCAGCTGCGTGGCCTGCGAGGCGAACGAGATTAGGGGGTCTGTGCTGGCGGCCACGGCTGTCTGTTTCTGGGAAGTCGTGGCATCGCCGTCCGCCGTCGACGACGACGTCGAGGCGGCTAGTGCTGCGGCGGCCGCCCCGTACAGCGCCATGCCATCTGCGCCGCCCGCGCTGTCGTATCCTGCCATGCCCGGGCCGGCAGCGCCGTTGGCCACCGGGTTGCTGTGGTCGGCGTAGCTTGAGATTTGGTGGTACGCGGCGGCGGCAGCGTCGTAATAGTTTCCGTTGCCGTTGCCGGTGCGGCTCACGGCGCGCTGTGTCGACCCGTCGCTGGGGGATGAGCCCGTCGTGGTCGGCGCGCTCGACTGCGCTTGTAGGGAGTGGTGTTGTGAGGTAAGGCTGGACGACCCGTTGGCCTGATTCCGGCCCATGTCGGTCTCTATCCATGTGATGGTGTGCTCTACTATCCTGCCAATGTCACCGCACAGCCCTGTGGATCCTGTCGGCCAAGTTGTATCAGCGTGCGTCCAGTGTTGAAATTGGGTACAACATACCTAGCAGCATCCCGATCTCCTCAATGATGGACAGCCACATGCCCATCTCCCTCCTAAGCGTGGCTACCTCCTCGGGCGCAATATGGAACCTCCGCTCCCAGCTCTCGACCAGGGTACAAAAAATGGCGGCGACGTAAACGGCGGTCTGGTACCAGGTGGTGTCGAGCGACTTGAGCTTGTGGATGACGAGGATATGGCGTAGCAGCTCGCGCGACGTCTCGGCGCAGATTCGCATGTTCTCGGCCTGGTACTCGGGGTCGGCGACGGTGCAGGCCGATGGGTGGCGCAGACATAGGCGGAACTCGAGGGCGTACGTGTGGCAGTAGAGGGCAAACATGTGCGTGTTGGTGCCCTTGCTCTTGTTGACGTCGAGCTCGTCGGGCAGCTGGTCCTCCCAAGCGCGCAGCTGCTCCTCGAGGCGGGCCACGACCTCGACATGGCGCCTGGGGTCGCGGCGCACGCTGTACAGGTTCGAGTACATCTCCATGTACAGCGGCACGATCTTGAAGCCCGACAGGCCGACGGCGTAGCTGCACACGCCGATGCGCGACCGGTCCGTGAGCCCGTCCGGGGTGAGGCACTCGTCTGGGACGGCGAGCGGGAAGGGCACGTCAAACTCCTCGAGGATAGTGGGCATGGGGCGGCCCATGCGGCCGTTCAGAATGACAGACAGGGTCAGCACGCACCACCAGACGCGGTGGCGCAGCTCCGTCTCGAGCGTGATGGCGCTGCCGTCGGCGGCGCCGGGGCTGCCCTTGTGCAGGTTCAGCTCCGTGGCCTTTTGCTGGGCGTACTGGGCGACCAGGTAGGCGCAGCCGGGCTTGGGGAAGGCGCGCATGTAGTTGCCCACCATGACGAGGGCCTGGACGGCCGTGAGGCCGGGGTCGACGGCCAGGTCGAAGAAGCGCGAGACGCACCAGTGGTAGTGCTTGTTGGCCAGGTCGTTGAGGCGCGTCTGCTTCTCGTAGTCCTCGCGGTTCCTGGCGCCGTACTGGAAGTAGATGGAGGCAAACACCATGTGCACCACGACGAGCTCGGCGCTGGTGGGCCGGAAGGTTGGGTCGTCGTAGATGCGCGTCAGCAGCGCTAGGTACGACGGCTTGTGCAGCACGGGCTGGAACGGGTACACCATGAGGAAGTACCACTCGGCGTACTCGAAGGCGTCATTGCGGGGCGGCAGGTCGACGCCCTCGACGGGCGGGTTGACGCCCATGGCCGACTGCAAAAAGGCCTGGACCGACTTGTTGTACAGCGGCGTGGGCGGGCAGCCGGCGGGACCGGCGGGCGGGTCGTCCATCTCGGGGGCGGCAAAGGACGTGATGTCGACCGTGGTGCCGAGGATGGACAGTTTGGTGCCTTTGATGGCGCTCAGCGGGGCGTTATCGGCGGCGACGCCGAGGTGGGTGAGCCCCGGCGGGCGCGCCTCGAGGGCGGCCGCGTTGGCAAACGACGTAAGCTGCTGCATCTGCTCGGGCGGGCGGGTGCGGTAGTTGCGCACCCAGGCGGACCCGACCTGCGACCACTGGTCCTTGAGCACCGGGTCGGGCGGCTGCGGGTTGCCAAAGGCGTCAAAGGTGATCCAGGGCGGGTGGTCGGGGCCGTACTGGGACCAGTGCCACGGCTTGACCTCGATGCCGTTGCTCTCGAGCACCTTTTCGAGGGCGCGGATGTGGTTGAGCATGTCGGTCTTTTCGCGCTCCAGCTGCTGCATGTAGCCTCGCTTCTCGGTCCGGCCCGTGACGCGGTCCGTGACGAAGCATTCCATCTTTTGGTTTGCGCAGTGCGAGCAGCCCTGCGGCAGGGCGTCGCAGCGGATCTTGCGCACCTTGCATCGGTCGCAGGCCTGCCCGGTGCGCGTGTACGACTGCAGCTTGTTCTTGACTACGCTCGAGAAGTCCTCGGGCTCGCGGTCGAGTTTGGGCAGCTTGACCTTGGCGGCCATGGACGGGCTGTCGCCGCTGGGGTCGCCGGGGCGCTTGGGAGGCATGGTGTGCCGTCGCCGCCCCGCCGGAGCAGAGCAGCGGCTGGCTCGGGGGTTGGATCTCGGGTCTGGGTCTCGTCTGGCTGTATGTTGGTCTCGGTTCAAGTCGGGCCTTGACCGGTCGGGGGTAGGCGGGGCAATGGCGAGCACGCCGCGAGGCGCAACATGTGTGTCGGCCCCTGAGAAGACCCCTGACCTGGCGCCTGGTGGTTGTGGATGTTGTTGCTGCTTTTGCTGCTGCTTTTGCTGCTCCTTGTGCTGGGGCGTGCCGACTGAAGCATTCCGGTTGCGCCAGGCAGACAAGGTGGTCCGTCAAACGGGGCTTGCCGTCGATACTGCAAGAGAGAACAGGAGCGGACCCAAAGTCGCGGGTTCAATGGCCAGCCAGGCTGCTGGGACGAGGATGGCGGCAGGGTTCCTCACAGGCCGTTCCAGGCCCGCTCCTCTCAGGGGTGCAGCATCTGTTAGTGAGTGGATCGAGGTGGAGCGCGTGATTGGTGCGCACTGTGCGGCTGCAGGTCCAGGCTGCTGCGTTTTGCACCCATGTGCTTCTTCAGAGCCTGTCCGGAGCCCCTGTTCCCATCGTCGATGACAGTCTGGGTAGCGATCAGCAAATATTTCACCTCAGGCACTGTGTCGCATCATTGATCTTCCCCCAATTCGACTGACCAAAGCCAATGGCAGCCACAGACGCACCACTTTGCACCGACGCTTAAAACCGGGTCCGCCGCCGCCGGCTTTAACGCCTGTATCTCTCCAGCGCTGAACGGCGTCGCCATGGCCGTGCTCCACGTGCACGGGCCCTATTGGACCCGCCCAGATCAAGCATAAACCACTTCCAAGCCATCAACATCAATTGATCTCCCAAGTCCAGCAATAAAACCCAGAAGCCACACCGGAGATCCCCGCTGCCAGTGCTGCTCTAGTCCAAATCCAGCAGCCAGTCTCCAGCCGGTAACCAGTCCGCCGTCCAGACACCCTGGCCCTGACCTGAGCGTTCCGCCTCGCCTCGCCTTGCCTAGGTATCACCCCTTGCCTCAGTCCTTGCCCGCCCCCTCGGTCTCGCCAATTCGGAACACAAACTTGAAGGCGCTCACTCTTCCCCCCATCAGCTGCTCCAACGCCTCCTGCACCCCACCCAGTCCTCCCGCCACCACCCTGTGCGGATGCGGCTTGAGCCAGCCCTCAGCCAGTCCCTTGGCCAGGTACCGCAGCGCCACGAACGCAAAATCCCTCTTTTCCGCGTCCTCATCGTGCACCTCGCCGACCATGGTCATGACCCACTTGACGTGTGGTGGTATCTCCTCCTCGGGCTTGTTGACCGGCAGCACCGTCGTCAGAAGCCCACCGTCCTCCAGCACTCGTCCGAGGGTGTGCGGCGTTGGCGCTTCCGACACGGCGTCATACGCATGCTTTAGTGACGCGCCCTTGGCTGCCGCCTTGATGCCCTCCACCACCGCGTCCGCCCCGCCCCGGTAGTCGACCAGCACGTCGCCCTTGGACTCGTCCAGTAGCGGCCGCACAAACTCGCCTGACTTTCCCGCCACCACGATCAGCGGGTGGATGTTACTGCGCCTCGCCAGCTGGATCGCAAAGGCCCCGACCGCCGTGCCGCCTCCGTAGATGACCAACGGAATCGGCTCCTTGGCCGGCGCCCACGGCTCCGGGAGCCCCAGATGACGGTACAGCCCGACGGCCGCCGTGGCTGCTGCGAGAGGGATGGTTGCAGCCTCTATCGCGTGGTCAGCATCTCCCTCAGCATCTCCCAAGACAAGTGTCTGCCTTGAAACCCACCTTCAAAGCTGATCGCCTCGGGGATATGGAAAGTCGTGTGCTGCCACGCAATAGCATACTCGGCAAAGCTGCCGCCAGGCTTGGTCATCTCGTGCAAGGCGGCCACGCGGTCGCCCGGCTTGAACTCGAACACGTTCTTGCCCACCTTGACCACCTCGCCTGCTATGTCGTCGCCCTGGTTGATCCGCGTGTCGGGCCGCCACTGCGGCAGCTTCCAATCCTTGGGGTTCGACCCGCTCACCACCACCTTGATGAGCAGCTGGTCATCGTTAGGCTCGGGGATTGGCGAGTCGACGATCTCGACCGTGGGGCCTGTTGCTGTCAGTCCTGCCAGCGGTGGTGAGGCGAAAGCGTACCTTGAGTCACGAATGCTTCCTTCATTTTGTCCTAAGCGGTGCTGTCTGTTGTTGGTTGTCTGGGTTGTCTGCCCTGTCTCTGCCTGCTCAAGGTCGACTTCATCAGGAGACAGACGTATTTATAGTTCCATCCACCCGTCTCCGCTCGCCAGCATGCCGGGCCTTGGATGATGTCAGCCTTTGACGCTGGCGGGGTTTCGGGGTGCCGAAAACCATCCGATCCCGCGCGGGGCTTCATACTGGGTTGGTCATTCTGCAGTATTAATAATGCTTGGCAGCGAAGACGCGATGGTGCCATCAGATGAACGTCAAATATCACGAGGCATTGGTTCAGTGAGATTGTGGTTTGTAAGCCCGACTTTTCGGACTTGGCCTCTCACTTTTATCCCGCACAAGTATCCAGCTCAGCACGCTCACCACAAAAGAATGGTAGTTGCTAGTACAGGCCCCAGGGGTAAAATTGCGAGTTGCTGCTACAAAGGAAAAGCACGCACAGGGAAAAAATAGGAAGCCTCGTTGCTACCAAGTAAGATTCAACAAAAGGTGAAATGGAAGAGAATTCGAGCATTTGCGTTAACATACCAACAGCTGGGATTGACACCCATTCCACGAAAGCAAGGAGACGGGATGAGACATGAAAACGCACAAAAGGAGACCTAAAGAGGATGAGAGGTGAGAAACGAGATGGCCGGCAACTGGGTGCTGTTCTACCAACGAGTCCATTGTGCATCTTCCAGCCCCCGAGTCTGCCAGAGCTCTACTCAAAGCAAAAGGTTCGCTACGCCCACAAACCCGATCAGTGCGAGGCCTCCTTTGCCCACCGCCGTGCCACTCTTGGCGCCGCTGATGGGCACAGTGGGAGGGCGCGAGGTTGTAGGGCTGGCGGAAGCAGAGCTGCTGCGCGAGGACGAAGAGCTGACCGTGGAGGAGCTGGTCGTGGCGCGCGACGACGACGCAGCCGAGGACGAAGAGCTGCTGGCGCGCGACGAGGACGACGCAGAGGACGAGCTGCTGGCGCGTGACGAGGACGAAGTTGGGCATAATGTCGCCGTGACCGTGATCGTCACCACGCCTCCGGTGCTGGTCGGGCGGGTCGAGGACGACGAGCTGTTGCTCGCTCGAGACGACGACGAGCTACTCGTAGGTCCAGCTGACGAGGACGAACTACTGCTGGTAGGTCTCGCTGATGAGCTGCTGCTGGTCGGTGGACGCGACGAGGACGAGCTCCCGCTACTGGTAGTACCGGTAGGCCTCGCCGAGGACGAGCTTCCAGCGGTACTAGGCCCCGTCGAAGAACTGCTGCCCGTTGGACGACTCGACGAGTTTCCTGTACCAGTTGGCCCCACCGAGGAGCTGCTGCTTGTCGGGCGTGACGAGCTCCCAGTACCAGGCCCCGTCGAAGAGCCGCCGGTACTGGTAGGCCTAGCCGAGGAGCTGCTCGTAGGCCCAGCCGAGCTAGTCGGCCTCACCGAGCTGCTACCACCCGGAAGCCCCCCGCCGGCGCAGCCCGTGCTGGTACAGCGGTCGCCCGGGTTGCAGTACCAGCCGGTGCAGCAGACGGCGCCCTGCGGGATGCAGCCCGAGGGCCCACACCGCACCTGGCCCTCCTTGCACTTGCCAGGGCCCGGGCACGCCCTGGTCAGGGCGCAGCACGTGGCCTCGCCCGTGCAGTACTCGGTCCCCGCGCAAAAGGCGTTGTTGCCGAGTCGGCAGCATGTCGCGGCCGCCGGGACGCAGCTGCTGTCGCACACCTGCTGGCCGGCCGGGCACGTCACGGGCGCGGACTGCCGGCGGATCAGGCGGGCGGCCCAGTTGGGGGAGAGGAGGGATGGGCCCAGGCCCAGGGCGGGGAGCGTCGCCTCGGTGAGGTTGGCGGCGTCGAGGCCGGGCTCGATCCATGTCGTGTCGGCGGGGTCGTCTTGGAGTGCGGCCACGTCACTGGGGAGGTCGGACCCTTGAAGGGGCATGGCGAGGAAGAGCAGGGGGATGAAGCTCGTGGTGAGCAGCATGATGGCAGAGGTTACTTGGATGGTGTGTGTGTGTGTGTGTGTGTGTGTGTGTATTGGGCAGTTTGAGGGTTTCTGGTCTGGAGATAATGGTGATGGACAACAACGTCCGGTGATGGCTATTTTATATATATTTGGCTTGTCATTCAGGGCGCTGCTGGCGCTGATCTTGGCATAGTGCTGATAATGTGCAGAAGCTGGCCATGAGGCTGCAGATTAGGCACACCAGCCGCGTTACGGACATATTTACAAATATTAGGTGGCATTGAGACTATTCAAGCAGATCTAGATGCGAACTGGGCATAATCGCCTGGTCATCGATACATCCCGCGAGGCTGGTTGATGCCGATGTCAGCCGCACTTTGCTGCGTCAAGCACAGCGAGCAACAGCCGCCTACCAACGCCGCAAGTATGAAAGCAGAATTGCACATCAAGCTCAAATGCCGCTGAAGGATACCGATATGATCGAACTGCCGTGGCTTACTTACTGTCTTTATGTGGTGACCATACATGGTGTCGGGGGCGGCAGGAGAGTGGCCAGGAAATATTGGTGACATGGACCAGTCACCTTGCGAGCGGCGAGGTGCAGGCGAAAGAAGCACAGGTTTCCCGTGGCGACAGACCACCGGACTCGTCTAGTTGGGTATCTATGCTCGTGTTTCGTCAGTATCTGCTCGTCCATCGGAGCACCTAAATCGTGCCACGCCAGTTCAGATTCCTGCTCCAAACGGGAAGGAGCTTGATCCTACCGTCCTTGACGACCCCGACCCTCCACGTGTTGGGCTCCAGGCGGAGGACCTCCTCGCAGAACTTGTCCGCCCGCCCCTTGCCGTAAAACCTCAGCGGGCCGGGCCTCTGCTGCTGCAACGGCCGGCGCATGCGGTCGCGGAACTTGTCCAGGACGGCTTCCTGCGTAGGCGAGACCGCTTCGAGCGCCTCACGCTCCAGCACCCCGAGCGTCGCCTGCGCCTCCTTGAGCACGGGGACCACTCCCCTCTCGTTCGGGTCCGTCAGCCTGTTAAAACATGCATGGACGTGATACCGTACCGTCGTCCAGAGCGCCTCCTCGCCGTGGGCGCGCGCGATGGGCTCGCCCTCGACCAGGTCCTCGTGGCCGGGCAGGCGGGGGTCGGCGCGTCGCTGGCCGTACTTGTGTAGGCGGAGCAGCACGCCGTGCAGGCGCCCGACGTCTTCGCGGGCGGCGGCGGCGCGTTGGGCCGGCGTGGAGAGCTCGACGGGGTCGCCGCCCCAGTGGCCGAGGGCGCAGCGCGGGAGGGCGTCGTTGGGGTCCATCTTGTGGCCGTGCGGGTTCGTCCGGGGCACCCAGGGGTCGCCGACGTCGACGTAGATGTTCCCCGTGGCCACGTCGCGGCCGCGGGCGAGGACGGGGCGGGCCCCGCGCATGCTGGCGGCGTGGACCTGCGTCCTGATGATGGCGGTGAGCATGTCGACGGCGATGATGGCGCCCATGGCGGCGGGGATCTCCAGGTCGTCCCACTTGCAGGCGTCCATGAGGGACTCGAGGCTGGCGCCGCTGCAGGCCTCCCAGATTGTCACCAGCGTGTTGGCGCCGGCGACGGTGGTGGACCGGTGTAGATCCAAAAACGGCGTCGCTTTGCTGGTGCTGGAGGACCCGGCGAAGTGCCGGTCCCACTGTTCCAGGCGTTGTTTGTGCAGGATGGCCAGCCCGTCAGAGAGCCCGGCCTTGGGGGCGGGCTTGGGGGCGATGACCGTGTCGATGCTGGGGAGCACCGGCTCGGGCTCGGGGGTCTCGCGGACGGGCATCTTGATGACTGTGTCAGTTAGTATGGGGAGACCGAGCCTAACCTCCCTGACGCGCAGGGCGACCTGTTGGCTGGCCCGGCCGATCTTGTCCATGATGACGTAGAGGGTGGCCTGGGTCTCGCACACGCGTGGAGTTTTGCACTCTTTGGGGGTAAAACATGGATCCGGGTTCTCGGTCACGAGAACAAGTACGTTCTGGCCCTCGAGGCCGTTGAGGGGCGGCTCGCGACCTGGGACAGAGGACATGTTTCCAGTTTCTCCGGTGAGAGGCAGCTCCAGGTGTCTGTGCTTGAGGAGAAAGAAGCCATGACGTCTTAGACAGAGGGGGAGATAAATATGCTGAAGATACTGGTCCTCACAAAGCAACTGGCTTTGTCTGTCTGAGTTGGGTAGTGTTTATCCACGCCCACAACAATGGATTGTCGAACATATACTCGCTCTCTTTGTTGGTGGATGGGATGTGCAGACCACCCGTTCACAGAATTTATGTATTCCTACCGCTTTTAAATCGATGTAATATCGCATGATACATAAAAGCTAAACTAGAGCCGATGACATGTAGATGGCTCAGGGGTATGATTAGTATAGAAAATCAAGGGCCGTCTCAGGGCGTTTCCAAGTATTGAGCTCAGCCCATGGATGGGCTGCGGGATAGCGACGACCTCGTCCTAGGGGCAAGAGCGTGGCCGTTGTGTTCCTCCTCCACCTTGATTTTTGGCTCTTTGGCCACAACCGCAGCTACGTTGCCGTTGGCTTTGACGCTGTTGACTTTGACAGGTGCTTCTACAGCCTTGACAGGGGCTGCGCTGAACGACTCCCACAGCGCCAACAACGGATAGGCGGCGGCGGCCACGACGACGAGCAGGTCCATGATGTGCACAAACCACCACAGGTGCTGGCGGCCGAGCGGGCAGGTGGCGTACTCGAAGCGCCACTCCCAGGCCTGCTCGTCGAACCAGGCGCTGAAGAGACCGGCGTTGCCGCCAAAGTCGCCCATCATGCTGCGCACCGTGATCTCGCGCACGCCCGGGTGGCCGGGGCGGCCGACGAGGCCCGGCGCGTCGGCGCCCAGGACGTCGGCCCAGCGGCGCGACTCCCACGAGCGGTCGACGGTCGAGTCGCCGCGCGACTGGTTGATGAAGTGGTACGTGTCGCAGCCCTCGTGGTCGTGGCCGTTGAGGATGACGCCGCGGCGGCCGCGGCCGTTGGCGGGCGCCATGGTGTCGCCGCTCATGCCCAGGATGCCCTCGAGGAAGCCCTTGCTGGCGTCGGCCGACAGCATGTTCTGCTCGCGCAGGGAGCCGTCGTGGTCGTGGAACTCAAAGAGCGGCGAGTCGACGCACACGCCCTCGGGCTTGTGCAGCGGCACGTGCGTCAGCACCACGGTGAAGTGGCCCAGGTACTCGACGGCCGAGGCCGTGTTGATGACGCTGTTGATAAAGGTGTAGGTGGAGTCCTGCAGCTCCGACGAGTTGGCGGGCGTGTCGAGGTTCATGCTGTTGAGCACCACGATGCGCAGCTCGGGCGCCAGCCGGTCCGATGACGGGTTGGCCTCGGCGTCGTAGATGGTGGCCGCCGCACCCTCGCTCATGGCCGCCTCGAACCGCAGCTCGTAGTTGGCCTTGCCGAACCGCCGCTCGAACCGCGCGATGCGGTCCTGGTTGATGTCGCCCGCATAGCCGATGTCGTGGTTGCCGGCCACGTTGATGATGCGTCGCGTCCACGCCGCCTCAGACTCGTTGCGCAGCCCGCCGCGGAGCAGGTAGCCCGCCAGGTCGTACTCGTCGGCCGGGTACAGCGCCACGTCGTCGGGCACGCGCTCGCCGCCGCGCACCACGCGGTCCCAGAAGCGGTCGGCGCGCTGGTCGAACTCGTCGTCGTCCAGCCACTGGCTGCCCAGCAGGTCGCCCAGCACCGTGACGTGCGTCGGCCGCGTCCACCAGTGTACGGTGCGGTAGATGTGCGCCAGGTAGAAGTCGTTGCCGAACAGGTCGATGCGCTTGCGCACCGACTCGAGGTTGTTGAAGACGTCGAGGAAGAAGACGTCGATCAGGTCGTGCACCATCTGCCGGATCCGCCACCGCAGCGAGTAGTGCGTCGTCTGGAACGTCGCGTCGCGCCAGACCTTGCCCATGTGCGGGAACAGCGACTCGGTAAAGGTGTTGGGGATGGACGAGTCGCCCTCGAGCTGCGGGTCGCCCAGCGCGAGCAGTCGGAACGGTGCGTTCTTCAGCGGCACGTTGGCCGGCAGTATCGGTCTTTGCGGCGTGGATCCGGAGCCTGCATCCTCGCTAGCGTTCGCGTGTGCCGGCCGCGGCGGCAGCTGCTTCGACCCGGGGTAGTGGAGCTTGGCCGTCTCCCAGAAGGCGGCGTTGGGGCTCGGGATGCTGCCGTCGGCCTCAGGCGGTAGCGGGAAGCCGCAGCCGGCGAAGACGGGGAAGAGGTACAGGTAGACGGTTAGGACGACGGCCAGCGGGGCGGCGACGAGCAAGACCCTGCGCAGGAGCGTCGCGGGGGAGCGCAGGGCCTGGTGCAAGGCATGGCGGAGGATCGCCGTGGCGGATGGAGGGAGCATGAGGCTGGTGACGGCCCCGGTGCCGTGTATTCGATACTATAGTTCGATACTATAGCACAAGCAGCCTGCTAGCGATGTCCGTCGAGGCTAGCAGGCGGACTGTCATGATGGGGAGGAGGACGGTTGGAAAGGGACGGCGTCAGCAGAAAACGTCTAGTCTGGTCGCTGTCGGACCCGCTGTCCACATCGTGGCGCCAGCAACCGTCGCTCCACCCCTGAACGGCAGTGGAAGTGCTCCACCGGCGCGCGTCTGGATCGCGCTAATTTGGCTGGCATGCAGACGAATCATCGCATTCGAGTTGACGCTGAGGGGCTCCCGACGTTGAGTCCAAGCAGAGGAAGTGCATAAGAAGCGGACAGGGCACTATGCACGATTCGTACCACCGTCCGTCAGGTTACGTCAATCTCACCACTTACAGTCGATGCTGTGCCTGACGCCAACGGTCAGTCTGGACGTGCGTGCCAAAGCGAGTCTAATTCTGGGCCTCGGCGTCTGACGCCGTTGAACTGAAAACTGAGGAGAGAATTCCACGCTACGCCATCGAGTTGCGAGATCCAAGCCAAGCCGTCATCCCTCGTACAATTCATCATACAGTAAACACAGGAAACTGTCATCGTCAGGAAATGGCCGCCACAGCCGCAATGCTCTGCAACTCCGACTCAGCCACGTCGACGTACGGCTCGTCAGCGTCGTCGTGGATGCTCTTCCAGCCGCGCGCAGGGCCAAAGGCGATCTGCTTTCCGTGCGCCAGCGCCGTGCTGAGCAGACCCTGCATCATGTCCCCCGACAGCTTGATGCTGGGGAACGAGTCGAACTCGACCACGTCCAGCGCTGGCGTGTCGTTTAAGACGCCGTCCAGCAGACTGCGGCAGAATCCCTCGTAGAAACCGTCCGAGTGGCGCCACTCGGAGAATACCGGGTGCCCCGGGTCGAACTCGACAAAAACCTTGAGCCGGCGCACCGCCACGCAGTCGCGCAGGCCCAACGCCGGGTTTACCACCCAACCGCGCGGCGGCTTGCTCCAGCCGGGGCCGACGCGCAGCTCCAGGGTTGTGATGCACGCCCGTTGCCGTGGCGCCATGCGCGCCAGCAGCGGCTTCTTGGTCTTGAAGAACCGACCGCCGTAGTGTGTAGGGAAAAGCCGGAACACGTGCGCGCTGAAGAAGAAGTGGAACACTTCTTCGTACACGATCCGGCACGTCCGCAGAATCGTTCCCAGCCTGGTGTGGATGCGCTTGTAGTTGCCGGGCTCCAGATCGAGCGCCTTGCCTTTGAGCGTCTCGGCAAAGTAGAAGCCGTAAACCTTGACCCGCAGCTCCGCCGGGAGATCAAGGAACCGGAACGGTTTCTGTGGCAGCTTGCCCTTTTTGGACTCCAGCTGCTTGTCCGAGTCGCTGATGCGGAGGCCTTCGAGTGAGAGGTCGTCTGCGCCCCCAATCCGGACGAAATGCTTGCTGATGTCGCCCTCGGAAGGCGCAGAGGTGTCGGCCGGCGGGGGCGGAGTCGGAGTGGATGCGATCAAGGCGGGTGCTGGCGTTGGTCGGGAGGTTGGTAGCGGCCTGGATGCTGAGGCCTTGGGACGCGCAGGCTTGGCCGGGCCTCGTCGTGCCATGTTGCAGTACTGTGCGGCGAAGGTGCTGACGGGGATGCAAACTGCTGAATCTTTAACAAATACTCAACTCGAGGCTGGCAGAGACGGGGTACGGTTGAGGGTGGTCCCATCGTGAGTGCTGCTTCGGATCGAGACCACCCTCTAAAATGCATGCGCAACGGTAGACATGTTGAAGCGACTGGGTCGCGGCGGAGGACTGTCGATGGTCGGCGAGCAGGGTGCGGATTCAGAAAGTTGAAGAAGACAGCGATAAGGCGGCACACCTAGACCTTGTCCATCAATGCACGTGAGGCGCCTGACAAAGCCGCCGCTGTCGGACCCCGCAGCCAATTGTGGGAGGCAATTACTGGCCCGTGCGCGTTGCGGGCAGATTTCGTCACCAGAAGCTTGGGCCATGCGCCCAGCCGAGCCAAAAATTTCGGCGACAAGGAAGCCACCGTCGACGGGCAACTTGCGATGTCGACATGGGCTGCCGTTAGCCTCACACCCACCAGCTCGCCAATTCCAGGCTCTTCAGGCGACTTATAATCCCTGGCCCAAATCCACACAATGCTTTCAAGACTAGTCGCACAGTCGGTGCGGTCGCCCGCGCTTCAGAGCGCAGCGAGGCGGCAGACTCTTGGCCTGGCAAGACCATGGACCCGTGGCATGGCCAAGAACAGGCCACAGCCCCCGAATCAACCCGGCCAGTCCGGCCAGTCCGGCCAGTCCGGCCGGCCCAGTCAGCCCAAGCAACCTAGCCAGAAGCCCTCAAAACCTGCAGCTCGACCAGTTCAACCCGCGCAGTCCGCTCAACCTGCTCAGTCCGCTCCCGCTCAGCCCACCCCGCCCCAGCCAGAAACCGACGCATCCGATACGGCTCCCGCCCAGGAGCAGTCGATCCCATTCTCGTCCCTCCCCGACATCACAAAAGGCCTCCCGTCCACATTAGAGTATGAGATGGCCGGCGCGGCAAAGGCATCGCGCATGGTCTTGGAGGGTGTGGTCGACACGGAAGGGGGCGGGAGAGGCAAGGGCGAGCTGCCGTCGTCAGCCTACGTCTCGTCGTCGGAGCGCAAAAGGCAGGCCATGGCCAAGTACTTTTTCTACTCGTTCCTCATCGGCACAGTAGGCGGCGCCGTCTATATGGGCCGCAACTGGGACGACGAGGAGGAGCGGGCCCGGTTCCCGGACGCCCCCGACGGCTGGGGCCCCCTGCTGTGGTGGAACCGCGTGGTGGCGCGGCTGGGCGACACAGTCAACTATTACCAGGAGCCCGCGTTCGAGAAGCTGCTGCCGGACCCGGACCCCATGACGGAGCGGCCCTACACGCTGTGCATCAGCCTTGAGGACATGCTGGTACACAGCGAGTGGACCAGGGAGCACGGCTGGCGCGTCGCCAAGCGGCCCGGCGTCGACTACTTCATCCGTTACCTGAGCCAGTACTACGAGCTGGTCCTGTTCACCTCTGTCCCCTACGGCATTGCCGAACCCCTCTGGCGCAAGATGGACCCCTTCCGCTTTGTCACCTGGCCGCTCTTCCGCGAGGCGACCAAGTACAAGGACGGCAAGATCGTCAAGGTACGTACTGTCCCCGCTGGCGTGACATGTAACGGTGCTAACGTCACGCTTGTAGGACCTTTCATACCTCAACCGAGACCTGTCCAAGGTCATCATCATCGACACGAACCCAGACCACGTTAGCGCCCAACCCGAGAACGCGATCTTGCTCCCCAAGTGGACTGGTGAACCCAAGGACAAGGACCTCGTAGCCCTCATCCCGTTCCTCGAATACGTGCACACCATGCAGTACCCCGACGTGCGGGTGGTTCTCAAGTCGTTTGACGGCAAGAAGATTCCCGAAGAGTTTGCGCGGCGTGAGGCTATTGCGCGCCAAAAGTTCCAGGAGCGGCTCAAGGCGGAGAAGAAACAACACCCACACAAGGGCCAGGGTCTTTTCGGCGCCGTCGGCGGCGCCTTTGGCCTGAAGCCCAGTAAGATGAGCGTAATGCAGCCCGTCGACGGCGAGGAGAGCATAACGGAGGCGCTGGCGCAGGGCAAGATGCTGCAGGACATTGCGCGCGAGAGGGGGCAGCGTCAGTACGAGCGCCTCGAGAAGATGGTGCAGGAGAACGGCGAGCAGTGGCTCAAGGAGGAGGCCGAGGCCCAGCAAAAGGCCCAGGCCGAGATGATGGCCAGCATGAAGACGTCCTTTACCTCGTGGTTCGGCACCCCACCGGCGGGCCAGCCGGTGGAGAAGAAGGAACAGGAGAAACAACCATAGGCGTCGGCTAGGTGAAGAAATAATCTCCACATTTCTTAGCTATCTACTTGACGCATCGCATGGGACTGGCGGCTGGGAAGGCGAACTCCTTTGGTCATAGATGTATACTGGGTCCGGATGGGCTGTGTAATATAGCTGTAGGTTTAACGGGGAGCTAGCACTCGATCTGAGAGCGATATGAAGTGCCAGCCATGCGCACACCTTGTGAGAGAAACATCAAGGCTATCGTGCCCGAACGGAAAAGAATTGGACCAAGAAAGAGGAAAAAGAAACAGGAAAATACAAATAGGAAAATAGGTAGGATAGGAAAGCAAAAAATTGGAACAAGAAATAGAAAAAGAAACAAGAAAAAGAAATAGGAAGAAGAGCGCGTAATGGAGCAGCCTTTCACGTATCTAACTGCCGAAGGCGCACACACGTCGGGCAGCTAGCGCGGCCGTGGCACCAACATGCGGGCAGCCGAGGAGGATCTCCCGGTGTGGCTTCACCGACCCGGCACCGGCAGTACGCGAGCGTGGCACCTGTCTGGCAGGGAGCTTGATGGACGCCCTGTCGTTGGCGTCACGCTTTACTATCGTCCGCGGTAGCACTTTATCCGCAACACGGCACGGGAGCGAGCCTTTTGCTTGTATTAACGGCTGCGATATCGAGCCCGCTCCTGCCAATGCCCTACTCCTGCTCACGGCTTGCTGGACCCTACGTCACACAGCGTCACGTCCTCGTGAATCGTGGTGCTAGCCCTGTGTTTGTATATGTTTGTCCATGGCGACTGTGGCGAGTCTCGCGGCAGTTGGTCTCCTGTTTGGCGATCCCGTGTTATGGCCGGCGCGGCGCTGCCCAAGAACGTATTAGCAAGGGGGTGTATAAACTGAGCATTCGTCTGGACATGTCGACCTCGTGCCCCTATTCTCCTAGCGAACCTGCCACAAGCCGCTCGTTCAGAACCATTCTATCACTCCTTGCTCCCGTACACACACTCCTTCATCACCAACCCAAACCACAGCCATGCTGGTCCTCCTCGCCGCGCTCCTGGGCCCCGTCCTCGCCGACAACAGGATCCGGCAGGCACCCGTGGTGACGCTGACGCCCAGCGTGACGTGCGACTGCCGGACCGTCATGGCGGCGCCCCCGCCGCAGACGGTGTGGAAGACGGAGACAGTGCCGGCCGCCACGGGCTCCGTCATCGAGTGGACGTCGTGGACGCACTGGACGTCTTCCTGGACCCTCGCGCCCGAGCCCGTCACCGCCCCGGCCCCGACCTCGACCGCGACGGCGCCGTCGTGCCCCGAGCGCTGCAAGTGCGCCGACATCACCGACATTGTCAGGTTAGGACATCCTTCTGAGGAGCGCGCGTCGTGCTGCTGACATGGACTGGTCTTGATAGCAAGTTCCAGTGCTGGACCGACCCCAACTGCGAGCGGTGCAGGGGTAACGTGCCGCCGCGGAGGAATGTGTAACGATGCCGACCAACTAGACGGCTGGTGTCTGGTCGCCGTGGAGTGCGTGGAGTGCGTGGACTGCGTGGACTGCGGTATCAGTGTGCACCACCTTGCAAGAATAGATAAAACAGCGCAATATTCATTGAGACCCGCTCTCCAAACAATAAACCTAAGCCCTAACAGACTGCTGTACTATAACCTCGTGACGTTCAAGAAACACATGCCTACGAAACACGCCGGCGGCTCTGGGGGCTCGGCCCGGCGGCGGCGCGGACCTGCTCCCGGTACGAGGCGAGGTCGACCAGGCTCAGGACCCTGGCGATGCGGCCGTCGTTCAACCAGTAGTAGACGTGCTCGGCGAAGCCTCCCAGCTCGAGCGGGGCGCCCGACGGCTCGACGCTGCCGGCCCAGCGCTTGCGGGGCACGCCGGCGAACTCGAGGCGCACGGCGAGGCGCTGGGCGTCCTCGTCGGCGAGCAGCGTGTGGATGGCGAAGCTGAGCCCCTCGATGGCCTGCTGCGCGTCCTCCATCAGGCCGCCGTACTCGGCCAGCGAAAGGTCGCGGCCGTTGTGGCGCACCCTCGGGTGGCAGAAGCGCGCCAGCTCCGCGTCCATGGTGCGCGCGTTGATGCAGTCGATGTAGGCGCGGTACGTTGCCGACATCTCGGCCGCCGTGAGGCGCCTCGACGCGTCGGCCTCGAGGTCCGGCGGCATGGCGGCCACGTTCTCGTCGCGGAACACGCCGTCGACGTCACCTATGGTCTCAATGTCCAGCACGCGGCCGTCCTTGATCCAGCAGAACAGGTGGTGCAGCCCCGTAAGCCGCCTGCCCCTGCTCGGGCTAGCCGCGGCGGCCGCTGTGGTGCCGGCGCGCGCGTCACCGGCTGGACGGCGCCCCATGTCAGCTGGTGACAGGATCCCGGCGAGGCGTGTAGCCATACCGGTACCACCGTCCACGTCCTCCCAGTCCTTGTCCTCCCAGTCGTCGGGCAGTGTGGTGCGGTAGATGATGCGGACGGCGGCCACCTGAGCGGCCTCGTCGCTGACAACCGTCTCGATCTCGAAGGCGCCCTCGGGCAGGGCGCCGATGCGCTGGCGCAGCTTGGCCAGGAACTCGTCGCGCGGGTACCCCCGCTTGTTGTACGTCACCTGACCATCCCCGGGGATGAGCTCGGCGATGTCGGCCCAGCGGCCGGCGTTGACGTGGTCGATGAAGGCGCGGAAGGTAGCCTCGACCGTCATGTTCGGGTCGTGGCTCGGGTTAGGCTAGATGGGTCTCTGCTCCTGGCTGCTCCGAAGTCGCTAATGAATTCGAAATGGGCGTGAAGAGCAGTGGGGTGCCGTCGTGACTCGAGAGGAAGCCGGGAGGCCCGTCAAATCACCAGGGGTCGAGCTCGACGAGACGAGCGGCAGCGTTTCAACCAATATCGAGGCGAGGATTGTCCGCGATGGGCCTGTGGTGCCGACATCTCCGTGGGACCGATCTCGATCGATGACGGGCTAGCTGGGTAGCGCAGCAGGCACTAGCATGCTACAGCCGCCAGCCTGTGAGCGGCGATGGCCTCCTGGGGTTGGTTCAGTTGGGTGGTCACGCCAGCCCGGTGGTGGCCAGGATGTTGGTCGGCGCCAAGGTGGGGAAGCAGTGAAGCAGAGAGCCAGCACGGTTCGCAGGCTGGCACAGTGACGTCATCCAATTGGTTCGCTGGCTTTTGCACTCCAGGCGCTTCACGCCAACCGAGAAGCAAAGCAAGCACCCACCACCATCAAGCGACTACTACGCCAACCACTCATAAATGCTAATTCGAAATGCTCAAACCGCAGCAGCATTCGCTCCACAGCCAACCCAAGCCCCGGGAAGTCGCCCATATTGGCATTCAGCTCGTGTCAAATGGAGTGGCGACCCAGGATGAGCGCCCCGATCCGCATACATTTCCGTGATGGCCATCTGTCGTCGCCGACATCACCTGACAGGCACTCCTGGCTCAAGCTAGCGATAGCCTCGGTTTCATTTCCGCTTCTATCCACCAATCACCACATTGCTGTTCTATTGGCACAACGAGCTCGTGCTGTTGTGCGTCGGTGCCGGCTTCTGTCAGATCTGCGGATTTATATGCTCCGTCGGCCCTCCGACCGTACAACCTTGGAAGAGCGGCCGTTTCGCCGGTAAATGCGTTCACGACGTCCGCCGCACCGGAAACTCCGGGATACATGCCGTGGCCGAGGTCATGCCTCCTGGGCCGCAACCGTGCTGGTTTCTGCCAGAGCTGGAATTACTGGAGGCATCCAAAACAACGACCGAGAGGAACCGCATATCGATCTTACGAACACATTCGTCGTCGCCGTCACGGCCGACCTGGACCGCGAGCTGTTCTTTGACAGGCTCGAGGCGGCCTTATGGTTCGAACTAACATCTAATGCGCATCTAGGACACTTGGTAGGCGCAAACCTACACAGCCCAGCTTAAGGGCTATAGGTAGCCGTTAGCAGGGGCATTGAATACAACATTAAGTTCTGCCGGTGACGAATTCAATCTTATGGATGCCAAGGCCATGCCTCGCACGCACCTAGAGGCGCCGAGCCGAACTTGGCGCCGCGCCGTCCTGATGTCCGCACTCCCCGATCTTCTAACTCAATCTCGCCGTCCATCGGCCTCCTGCGAGAACTACTGCGAGGGAACCGTCACATGAAAGAGGCTAGACTAGTGTCTAGTGGGAAGCATATCTGGGGATTTAAAGGGCGTCCTGCCTCACTGATGTGATGAGCACATCTGGCAACACGCTGACGAGGTTCAGCTGCGATCTACAGTTATGGCGTCTCTTTTCAGAACACCCATGCTTTACCTCCTGTTCCTGGCCCTGTCTCTTGTCGAAGCCGGCGTGGAAACAGATACTGTGACGGCCTTCTCGCCACAGAGGCCTACACCGAGACCTGCACCCGATGGGACATTAAGACCAGCAGCGACGATGGTGCTAGCGGAGGCGACACAGGCACCGGATCTGCGCCGAGGTATCGGAGTGGTCCTGAGACGACAAGGAGCGACAACGATGTCGACAACGACCTTGACCATGACGTACGCGCCCGACGAAACCTGCGGCTATGTGTCGGCCTCGCCCGGAATCCCGCTCACCTGTTCTCAGGGAAGAGGGTGCAGATGGGAGGTCAAAACAATAAAGCATATCATGTGCGCAGACCAAGACATGTTTTTGCGCTGCATGGACCGTGTTGTTGCGCTTGACACTAGATCGTGCGATGATACCTGCAGGAGCAACATCCAAATACTCAAATGGTACGTCTCTCCGGTGAACAGACGCCGGGCTGCGGGGAAACCAGATCATGGCTAACATTGAAATGCAGCACCGACACTATCTCGCCATTCTGCCGCACCTACTTGTACCCAGACGACGTCACAGGCTACACCTGCCATCCCAACCAGTTACCGACCACGCAGGGCGTCGCCTTTACCTGGCTCGATCAGCCAAATCAGCAATTGGCCACCGTGACCGTAATCGCTCCCGCGCCGCGCACATCCAGTACCCCTGATTCCACCTCTGCAACGTCTTCGGCAGACCCAACGGCGAAAGGCGGGAACAGCCATAACTCGAACATACCAGTGATTGTGGGCGGGTTAGTCGGCGGCCTGGTCGTGCTCATTCTGGCCGCGGTGGCCGTCTTCTTTATCAAAAAGAAGTACCGGGCTGGAAAAGACACCGACAGCGGGGCGGCAACGGAGCCAACCTTCGACCGGTTCGGCTTGGGCGCGCACGGCGGCGCGCACAACAGAGATGATGAGAACGAGCGGAGCCCGCTTAGCCGCAACCCTCCAATGGTTAGCAGCCACTACGCGCGTGACAGCGTGAGTGCCATCTCGCAGCAGAGCGACTCCCGGATGAGCATGCAGTCGTCAGGTACGTTCGTTGGGTACCAGGGCATGGGGCCGGGTGGGCAACCCGAAACAATCCAAGAGATGGCGACGGACCAGCAGATTCACGAGATGGGGACGGATTATAAAGGGCACGAAATGTGAGGATGGGTGAGATTGCGGCGCCATTAGCTCTGACTGGAGGCCGGCAGTGCTGTCTTGGCATATGCACCAAGGAGTGGGATTCTCACCGCATTGGCCATGCTCAGAGGGCTTTACGGGCTGCAGTAAGCCAAACGCCACGGTCAATCTTGCACGCCGCACAAGCACGCGTCGATGTATTGATATAGTATCTCTTGACATAATTTGGCATCTGCCATTGTCATTTGAGTCCAGATGCCTTTAGATTCGTGATCTCGACTTTGAACTGGATTTCGCAAATTTCAAGTTTAGTTCAAAGGAAGCGCCAGGTGCAGCTGTCGAACCTGGGTGGCCTCTCGCCCAGAGCGAGGCGAGGCAATTGTTAGGGCTGAAACTCCCCAATGCCTCGCCGAATGCGCCCCATTTCAGCGTGGCGTAGCCCAGCCTCAGCATCCATTGCCAGCCCCTGGCTCGGCGAACTGTGCCGAGTAGAGCAAGGATCCGCAGAGCTTATGGATCCCAGATAGCTCCTGGAGGACCTGCCATCAACCACGCAGCCACTTGACACCTCGTTGACACAGGCCAGCATCAGTGGCCGCCAGCGGATTACTGCACAGCTCCAACAGACATGGAGTAATTATAGGAACGGCCTTTGCGGTGACCTCAGCCTCGAGCTCTGATCACGCTGTGAACAGTCTGGTGCCAATGGCTCAGGATTACTGTTGACGATGAGCCTCTGGCCTGTTCGTCGAATCGGGTATCTATAAGAATTGGCGGAAGCCTGCTCTATCTCGGTCTTGTTCTCGGACATCATCACACAACACAACCATCAACACTTATCACAGCCCGAGCTCATCTCATCTCATCTCGTCTTTCAGGCAACCACCATCGCAACCACCACCGCAACACTCGCAACACTCGCAACTCCCGCAGCTACTCGCATCTCGCATCTCGCATCTCGCATCTCGCAACTACCGATCCCCACCCTCAAAATCAAGACACAGACTGACAAAATGCGTTCCGCTAGCTTCGCCGCCTTCCTCCTCTCGGCTGCCCTGCCCTCCATTGCTACTGCGCTGACTGCCGAATCTAGCACCTTTGAGCCCCTCGCTGCCAGGGCCGTGGGCAGCCCCGAGGCCTTTGCTGAGCTGCAGCTGGCCGCCAGGGACCTGAACCAGGACCCCAACGCCGAGCACCTGCAGAAGCGCTTCTGGGGCGCCCTGCTCACCGCTGTGCCCAGCGTCATCCAGGGCATCTCGTCGCTCTTCGGCAAGAAGGGCAAGCGCGACGAGGCGGCCGAGCTGCTCGCCCGCTACATCGACACCGACGTGCCCCAGGTGGCCGCCCGCGGCGCCCCCGTGCACCTGCCGCCCGGCCTGGCCGCCAACGTGCTGGCCGTCTACGACCAGAGCGGCAAGGTCGTTTACGACAAGACGGCCAAGCCGGCCAAGCGCTCCGCCCCGGCCTTTGGCGAGGTCCTGACCTCGTTCGACCTCACCAAGAACCTGGCCGAGGTCAAGCCCGAGGGCATCCAGAGGCGCGACCCCGCCGCTCCCCCGGCGCCCGCCCCGGCCGGCGCCGAGGGCAAGGTCATGGCCCTGTTCAACGACGACGGCAGCCTCATCGGCTACTACCCGCCCAAGACCTCCAAGCGCGACCTGCCCGCCGGCGCCGAGGAGCAGGCCCAGGCCATGGCCCTGTTCAACGACGACGGCAGCCTTGTCGGTGTCTACCCGAAGAACGAAGCTCAGAAGCGCGACGTTGATGAGGCCGACGTTGAGGAGGCCGATTTTGAGGAGGCGTCTGCTGGCGACGACGAGGCCTTCACTGACGATGCTGAATTTGAGGAGGCGTCTGCCGACGAGGCCGACTCTGACGAGGCCGATGTCGCCGATGCTGACTTTGAGAACATTGTCGAGAAGCGCGACTCCCTGGAGACGTTTGTCCAGGATGCCATGGCTGCCGACGCGGCCGAGGCCGAGGCTGAGACCGCCGAGACCCAGGAGGAGAGCCTCGTCCGCCGCGTCGTCGGCATGCGCGGCGCCCCCATCGGCTTCCGCGCCTAAGCGTTGACCCACTTGTTTGATCTTGGTGAGTATTTCGGTCTTTTTAGGATACCATGGGACACTGGGTAGCAAGGCGCTGGTGGATTTGGGATATGGCGTTACTGGCTGGTTTTTCTTTTCCTAGATGAATACAGATTTGATATTTTCCATTCTTCATCCTTCCTATCTCACGAGCACGCACATCTACCTGGTATTACAGTTGACTCTCTCAGTGGCTGCATCAGGGGATGACCACAAAGGCTCCAGCCTCGTCAAGGGGGCTTGATGAGCCTGAACGGGGCAGGCTGGCGGCTTCAGACACCTCAAGGGGCTCGGGCTCAGTAGATCCACACCCAGGGCAGACCCGAGAGTTGACGGGCTCTGGCACGTTCGCAGCGCTTGCCATCAGGAGCGTCGATGCCCGGGCGGTGGCGACCTCGAGCTGCTGCTCAAAGGTCGAGAGGCGACGCTCAAACAGAGACGCGACCGGAGTCCCGCGCCCCGCCGCCACCAGGTTGACTAGAAGCCCAGCCAGGCCGCTGACGACCAGGGCGCGCAGATCCGCGTCCATCGAGGCGCCGCAGTAGCCGCAGCTGCCCTGCTGTGCGACGTAGCGGTTCACGATCGCGATCCTGTTGCACATGCGCTGCAGCGCCTTACAGAGCCGTATAATCTCGTTGCTGTCGGAGCACTTGATCGAGGTCAGCCGTCTTACGGAGTCGCAAAAAAACAACAAAAAACCCAAAAAAACCAGGCCAACCTACCTCGAAGGCGCTAAAAAGCAGGCCCCAGACGATGGTCCAGCCCGGCTCGTCCAGCTCCGCCAGCTCGGTGCCGCACAGGGCCACGAGGCAGGAGCCTGTGGCGTCGTCGCAGCCATCGCACTCGGCGCGCATACGCTGGGAGCTCTCGTACGGCGTCGTCTGGCTTGACGCGTGCCCCGCCGCCGAGGAGGACAGCCGGTCCTGGCGGCCGCGGAGCTGACGCTCGAGCTTCGCGATGCGGCTCTCGCTCTCGGCAGCCCAGGTGGCGGGCGCCGTGGGGCCGGGCGTGTCGCGCTGCAGCGACCCCACCAGGGCCTCGAGGTGGGCCAGGGACGGGACGGTCGAGACGAAGGCGAGCGCGGCGCGGGACGACGTGCGCTGGATGCCCAGGTGCGACACGAGGGTGGCTAGCGCGGCCGGGGTCCTGATCCACGCGAGGTCCTTGCGGATGTAGTCCCGGCCCAGAGTCGCGCAGATGTTGTGGACGAGGGCCTCCCAGGTGCGGAGGTGGTGGGACTGGGTGTTGTTGAGAGCGCGCGATGCCCCTGGGGGGCCGGCATCGTCGGCCTCGGGGTCGGCCAGATGGAGCTGCTTCAGGCCCAGCAGAGGGTCGAACTCGGGGTCGTAGGGAGCTCTAGGCGGGTCAGACATGTTGGCGGTTGGTCTGTGAAGGTGCTGCAGAGATGATACTGTTGGGTTCGATTGCAAGAGCTGGGAGGGCTGCGTTTTATGGTAGCATGGAGACAAACGTCCTGGGACAGAAGTTTCTGGACCCGAAGCCTTCCCGGCCGTTTGCGTAGATGTATGCAACGGCCCGAACAACAGTTGGCCGGTGGCATGTTCTGCGCCCTCCCGACTGGTTTAATCCCCGCCTTTTCAGGGAATTCGCTCGTTTGTTGATAGCCAGGACGCCCAGAGAGTGCAGCTCAGGTAAAGAGCTTTCTTCATTTTTGTCGACTAATTTCTGTGCGAGAGAGAATGTTTGGACATAGAGACGCCATGACGATGACCTTATCCACCCGCTCGGGTTCCAGTTGGAAGCCTAGCTCTAGCTATCAAACGCAATGATATCCCCCATCTCCCAGCTCCGATTTCCGAGTATTCCTACGCTGGCACCAGGAAGGATCCTACTTGTCGATGGCCACCGTATCCTTGGCGTACTGCACAGTGTTGTCCAGATCCTCCTGGAAAGCCCTTAGAAGTCCGGTGAATGTCGGGGGATCGGCTGACACAGGGGTAACTTCAGTAGCCAGATCTCCCCGGCGGAGAGCGATCAGATCGGCGCAGAGCTGACAGAAGCCCATGGAAATGCGAGGGGAGATGTCGCGCAGCAGATAATCGCACTTGGCCACGCAGCGATGAATGAAAGCTACCTTGATGCCCATATTGTTGATAAACCTGCAAAGATGGGTGATCTCGATGGTGGATGAACCGTTGTCGTAGGCCTTAGAGATGTTAGAATGAGATCAAATCGGTTCAAATTTGCGCTTACCTCGAAGACGCTGAAGAGCAAGCCCCATAAAATCTTGTTTATCATAGCCATCCCCACGTGATTGTGCCCGCAGTCGGCGAAGTCATCGAGCGCGGGGCCTGGAGCGAGGTTGAGCAGCTGATCGAGGCTCTGCAAAGACGGAATCATGTTGACAAAGGCCAGTGCAGCGCGGGTGGACTGAATTCTGAGATAAGGTGGCATCATGGCCATTTGGTCGGCGGTGCAGCCGAAGTGCTTGACTCCGAGCCCGTCGTTGTGGAAGTAGAACTGCTTAGCCGCTTCGACCAGCCTGGACGCGCTCGTGACTTCTGGCATGTCCTGAACGAGGCCCTCATAGACGAGACGAAGGACGAAGGCCCTCCACGCGCGCTGGTCGATGTTGTGTCTAGCTTGGTCAGTACGCGAGGCAGAAGCGTGGGGATGGGCGATTTACCTGCCGAGTAACTGAGGGCCAGGGTAGTCCAACATCTCGAGCAGATCCATGGCGGGCCTGAGGGAGTCGCCCTCGTCCTCGTCAGCCATGGTTGAAGTTGGTGGCTGTTGGTGTGTGGTTGTGATTATGGTTGTGGTGGGTTGGGGAAAGATTTACCAGTTGAGAGTAGAGATATTGGATGCACAAACACAAATTGGCGGCTAGCATTTCTCAAATCACTTTCAGATCACTTCCTGATCACCTTCGAGGTCACTTTCCAGGTCACTTTCCAGTGTCACTTCCAGGTCACCCCCATGGATCCATCGTCCGAAGTGCTAGCTCCTAGCTCTACATCAAACTGCTCCTTAATGCCTTGATGTTCTCGTGATTTGCTTTGCAGCAGCCACCTACCAGAAACGAGGTAAAGACCGCTCTCTCCTTTGACCTTTGAACTATCTCCGCCAGGCTGTCCTCCCAGGGAACCTGCTTCCGTTAGAAAGGAACGCGTGAGCAAGCACAAGAAAACTCACCTTGGGCACTTCGTCATTCTCAAACCCTGCAGGCGCCTCCCATATCTTTGTTGTCGTGTTATACACCTCACCGTTGGTCCCGTCCGGATAGAGCACCAAGGCGGGCGCCTCCTTGACCACTCCCCGCTGCACCAGCCCCGTCACTGCGTCCTCGAATCTCTTGACCAGCCCCTGGATCTTGTGGAGCTTTGTGCAGTTGATCCCGATCCCCCACGGTTTACTACCCCCGTCCAGCGGCCCAAGCATGGCCTCGACGGCCTGCTCGACGGTGCTCCCGTCCGGAAGCTTCTCGTCGTCGCCAGGAAAGACGCAGGCGATCCAGAACCTGCCGGGAAATACCCCGCCATCCACCGCCGCAAACGCCTTCCTGACGGCCCGGATCTCGTCCAGCCGCGGCAGCGTCTCGAACGCCACGTACTGCAGCCGAGGCCCCGACGGCGACACCAGGAACGACTCGTCGTACAGCCGCAGGCGCTCGAGGTGCCACGCCGCCAGCGCAGCCTCGCCGTCGTGGGCGCCGTCGTACCGCCCCGAGTACTCCTGGCCGGGCACCATGCAGGCGCCGTAGGGCCCGCAGCTGAGCGCCAGGGCCGCGCCGGCGGCGGCCCGCTCGGCCACGTCGACGGCTGTCTCGAGGAAGCGCGGGACGGCGCCGCTGGGGATGCCGGACGGGAATTCGAGTGTCGGCGTGCCGGCGAACCCCTCGAGCGAGACCTGGTACGTGGCCGTCAGCACGACGTCGGCGCCGGCGGTGGCAAAGTCGCGCTGGCAGGACAGCAGGGTGGAGGGGTCCGACACCAGCAGGTCCGACGACCAGAGCGGGCGCGAGTGGTCGAACTTGACGCCGTACTTGTCCTCGAGCGAGGTGCCCAGGCCGCCGTCGAGGATCTTGATGGTTGCCATTTTGATGTGTTTGTACTGATGTTACGGTGTTGCTGAAAATGTCATTGAGCACGTCATATTTTGAGCAATGTCGTCCGATTTCGGAGCACCGGGTGGATGCAGTGTGTCTATTCTATCTATCCGGCTTACATGACACAAAATCTAGCACTAGCCAGAAAGTCCAATCCAGCTTCAACACCCAAACAAACCACCTACTGCACGGCCCTGTCGACCGTCACAGTTGCGACCTCTGAACGGCCAATGACGCTCCCAGAGGCGTCGTGAGCCTCGCAAGAAAGTGGGTGTAGTTGCCGTTAGGAACAACCAGGCTCGTCTCGAAGGACTTCCTTGCCACCTCACCGAGGAAAGAGCCTGTACTGGCCGCACCAAATGATCCCTTGCTGGCCGATCCGTAGAACCGCCACGCGCGCGTCGACGTGTCTCCGTTCCACGACGTGTACACGGTGATGTTCCCGGCCTGTAGCGCCGCGATAGCCGGCTTTTCGATCGGCTTGCCCTCCCACTCGAAGCGGTACGCGCGGTAGCTCATTGCGACAGCTCCCCGGCGTCCCGAATCGAGGGGGGCGTTGAAGATGGGGTTCCCCTCGGGGTCGAACTCGGTGATGGCGCCCGCCTGGCCCCAGTTGACAAAGCGGTTGCCGTTCCCCAGGATCTGGTGGCTGCCCTGCGCGCGCGCGACCAGCCGGTCCGGGGACCTCAGTGTCTGCACCTCCTCGGCCTTCCGGCTGCCGTGGTCGAGGCGCAGCACGCGGGCGCGCGACGGCGCGTCCCGGGACGGGTCGGGACCGCCGGCGCTGTTGTCGAACATGGAGACGACCTCGACGTCGCCGGACCGGGAGACGAACCGGACGTCGTGCTGGTAGCCGAAGCGGGCGGACTCGGGCACGGAAAAGTTGGAGCCGTTGCCGCCGAGCTGCCACGTCAGGGAGCCGTCGCGGCCGGATATCTTGTACAGGGCCAGGGTGTGGCGGCCCGAGACGAGGTAGTTGCCCTCGTCGTCCTTGTCGACGCTGTTGATGTGCATGTAGTCCCACGAGTCGACGGCGCTGGTGCCCGTGATGGGAACCGTGCTGTCTGCGGGATGTCAGTACGGATCAGGCAGTTCTGGAGGGAAGCTTACCGGCGGGGCTAGAAAAGTCCAGAGAACGGGCCCCGGAAAGGACATTGCCGGTCTCGATGTCGACCTCTGCAGAAGTCAGCTTCTGTATGAACGCTACATATAGGTCAACGTACCTTGGAAGATGCACTCCAACAGCCACGTCTGGTTCTTGCTGCCACCAAACGGCGTCAGATCGTACATGGTGGGATGGTAGCTGAGGACGAGGGCCGTCTTCTCGTCCACGACCTCGACCTCGTGGGGGTCCATGATGATCGGCGAGCGGGTCGATATCTGCTTGAACACCCGGTAGGACTGGTCGAGCAGCAGGGGCGCGCCGAGGCCGCGCCCCTGGCCGGGCACAATGTACGCCACGGCCGCCTGCAGCACGGGCTTGCCCCCGTAGCGCGTGGGCTTGAAGCACAGTGCCCTCCCGCGAGAGGCCCCGACATGCCTGACCACACGAGGTCGCCGTCGTCGCGTAGGATGTACGTGGTGGGCTGCTCCGGGAACGTGGTCCGGTCGGGGCCACCGCCGTACGTGCCCACGAAGTGTAGCCCGGGGACACGGCGGCCGTCGAGGGGATGGTGATGTTGAGCTGCGGGGGCGCCAGGTCTGGCCGCGATCTGTACTGGAGATCAGCCAGGGCGCCGCCGACGAGGCCAAGCAGAGCGAGAGCGTGCATTTGGACTGTGTGGTGGGAGACTGGCTGTGGCACTGAGGGCCTACAAGACAGGCTGGACCATCAAGGGAGCGACCGAATTTATATCTGAAGCCCGTACCGCCGTTTACGACGTAGCGAATTCGGAGGCGGCCAAGGCGCTCCTTTGGTCTGACATCGCCAGCTATCAAGGCGCCCGCCCGAAGCTGGCGACGTCCGCGCGTCGAGGATTCTGTCAGACCGTAGGAATTGGCATTGATTTCCTATTTGAGGCGCTGGCCTTTCTGACTTTGCCCGTTGCTGACGGTCGTTGATGTGCGTTTACCCAGGTCGTTAATAAGCCCCCAGACCCCAAAACCGGCTGCATTCGGCCACGACTCCAAAGCCGCCGGGTTTCAGCCCCGCGTCTTGCGATCTGCATCCTGCCTCCCGTAGGACAGTGCCGGTGGCCGCGGAGCAACAGGCCTGTCTACGCAGCCTAGATGCCACTACGTACTCATGTCCTTGCGAGTGGTATCTGCTCGACCGCCTGCTAAAACGACTGCCGGTCTGAGTGAGGGTCAAGAAAATCGATTGGGAGAGTGTAAGCTACTGCGCCGCAATGTCACTCAGGGGTTCAGGGCAGGCGTGGCTGACAGTCGGGTGACGTCGAGGATAAAGATGAATAGATTGGAAAAGTACTTGAAGTAACGTAGAGACTGCATAAACGGATAAACGCCTAGATAGGAAACCTCCCGTTCCAAGGAGACCCATTCCCGGCCGATTCGTGCCCCGATTCGTGCCCCGATTCTTTCGATAGTCAACAAGACCTGTCAATGCCACCATGTTTCTTTTTCATATGTCGTTTACAGTTGTCCTCACGCGTAAATCCTTTGGAACAGCCTGGGTGGGAACACCTGTACCGCACCCTTTCGTCCTTGCTTTTATGGTTGACATCGCGGTGACGGGCGAGGTCCTTCCGCGTCGGGCATCCCTTGCCGCACTCGGGGCAACAAATTGGCCTAGAATGGTTTTTCCTATGCTTGCTGCGGACGCGCCAACGTTAGCACACGAGCTCGTAGGGCCGGAGGACGGAGACTTGCTTCAATTCTCCAAAGCTTTTAATGCCCGCTCGATGACACACATCGCAGGAAAACAGGGTTGTCGCATCGGGACTGTGATGGTAGCTGGCCGGACTCATGTCTGACACAAAAGAAGCCGGTCCCAGAGAGGCCGAGGTGGTCGAGCCTCTCCGGTCACTGAGCCTGGGGCTGTTCATCGCGTCCCAATCGTCTGGATGGTCGAGAAACTTTGTGGCGTGGCCGTCGTGGGCCGTATCTAAAGGCTGGCCCTGGTACGCGGGCTCAGGGGTACCCGGGCTAACGTTTGCGGTTTCCATAGAGACCTGGGGAACCAGAGTGTTTGAAGAGACTGAACTGTTAATATCTATCAGGGAAGGGGATACGGAGTAAGTAGGAGGCCAAGGTTGCAAAGGATATAAATCCAAGCGCAGCAGCCGTGGGTCAATGTGGCCAGCCTCCCGGTTGTATCCGGTATCCCGGAAGCCTGATAGGTATTCCATGGTTCGTGTCTTGTTTCCTGGTAGTGTCTGGGACTTTTGATGTATATTTGATGATTGGTGTTTGCTTGGTGCTGTGCTGGATTTTGGGGACGCGCGGGTTTGCCGTCGGCTGGAACCTTTTTTGGACGAGTGTGTTCAGGTCCAAGAGCCTGTCCAGCATCGCCCGTCAGCTTAGTTCGGGCTGGTCACCGCGGACAAGTACTCACAAAACAAAACAGTTCATCACGTTATCCTGCTCCCAGCGGCAACGCACGACGTGCGTGAGACCCGAGGCGTGGGCCGCCATATCGACTGCGACCTTTGTTGGAAAGGACGTCCACCTCGGCGAAAATCCGCTGGTAGGCGTCAGCGAGAGACTGGCTTCAGGGGAGTATAGGGGCTTACAGTATGGTTAGGCGGCCCAAAGGTTTCACACCGAGGCTGTTGACGCTCGGAGCAGGAGAGCGTGTGGCGTGGAAATGAAAACTAAAGGGAACTCGCCGATCTCCCGTGTATTTTTATATATATATATGTATTTTTTTTGTATTTTTTTTGTCCCAGCCTGAGGGTGTAAATGAGTGGACGGGCTGGGGGTCAATGCGGCAGGCGACGGACCAGTTGTCCATCAGGGCGGCAGTCAGTATGCAGCTCGTCCCGGCCCCGAGGCCGAGATACTGCGAGCCATGGCGAGGTGTGAGTGATCTGTCGAGAATCGATCACGTGCCAAGGCCGTTGGTGCTGCGAGGGGCCTAGCCATCAAAGGGCATGGTCCATTGTCGCGGGAGCACCAGACATGCGGCGGAGTGGCGATGGCTGTTGCACGCCACTCCGCCGCGGCCCGACTTGCTGGGTTGCACCAGGTTGAATATCTGGACAATTCCCGATGCTAGGAGGGTAACGTAAGGCTAGTGAAGACCTAGAGGGGCGTACGCACAAAAAGGGCCTGATAACGAGTTAACGATTCCAGCAACAGATTGAGAGGTGATGATGAAAAGGCTAGAGACCAGTATCAGCACGGCGAGATGGTGTGGTTCTTATGTGCACGACCGCAGCGGATGGCGTTCCAACATACAAACTGCAGCACAAAAACGCCTCGCATTGTGGTGCCGCCCAGAGCCGCTAGGGAGGGCCTCAATGGTCCGCCAGAGGCCCTCTCGGTGCCTGTCTGCCTTCCTTCTTCCCCGTTCTTCCTGCTTCGCCCGCGGCAGCCAACCACAGGCCGCCGCGACCGACATGGGGGATTGAGGCCCTCATGCAGGCCACCAACAGGGCTTAGCCGAGACCCAATGACTGGACAGGAGCGCGCGCGGCACACAAACCGAGAGGCCCCCGCGATGGGTGCTTGGCAGCGATGGCTCGTCGATGCACGTTCCCGGGAGGCCCAGCAGTCCCGCGTGCTCTCGCAGGCAGGATTCATGCAACATGTGTCGTATGAGCACACAAGTCCCAAAACGGACGGCGTGATATCACTGCAGCCTGTATTTCTGCTTTTGGCAACCGCTACGTTTCCCAAGTGCCAGGTCGCGTTGCTGCGCAACTGCGCGCTCACGTACAAAACAGAATGCATGGCAAGCAGCCTTGATTTGCCGGGCGTGGCTCTATAGGATCGCACAGCCGAGATGGTTTCCCGCACATGCGCCGCCTGCTTCACGCTGGAACCCGCCGCTAGCATATATATATAAATCATACACAAAGTCATGAGGTTGGTGATACAGATAAAATACAAGCCGACCAGACCGACGCTCAGTTTAGCGGGGCCAGCGTCCTCTCAGCATCCTTGATGCTGTCGATCTCGAGGTCGCTCCGGCGCCGGTCCTGCTCGGCCAGCAGCACCCTCTTGATGCCGCGCATGCGGTTCCAGATCCAGACGCCCAGCACTAGCGTTAGCAGGCCGGTAACGCCGATGACGACGCCCTTGATGGCGCGCTCGGTGCGCTCGGCGTCGTGGGCCGTCGGCGACGACCGCTCCTTCTCGTCGGCCAGCAGGGTGCCGATGTAGACGAGCACGACCTGCTTGGGCAGCGTCAAAAAGGTCGAGACGGCAAAGTGCCAGAAGAGCACGTTGCAGGTAGAAAAGACAGCCGTCGAGATGTGCGACGGGATCACCGAGAAGCGGATGGCGAGCACGATCCAGAAGCCGCCCTCGCGCGTCATGCGCGCCAGCGCCGCGTACGTGAGGTTGGTGCGCTCCAGGCGCTCGGCCCGGGTGCGGAGCAGGCCGCGGAAGGCGAACCAGGTGCCGACTGTGTGTTGTGTGTGTTAGCCGTCATGTAACCCCAACCATGCCGACCGAGGTGTCCAAAGAGTGCGGTATCAACTTACCCTCGCCGAAAAAGGTGCCGGCGGCCACGATGCCAAAGCCCACCCACAGGCCGTAGACGATGCCGCAGAGCACGCCGATGATCTCGTGGCCGAACAGCGGCGGGAACGAGATGACGACCATGATGACGATGGGTATCAGCCAGCCGCCGGGGATGACGCGGACCTTTTCGGACCATGGCCTCAGGGACTGAGGCTGTTAGCAGGCGCGCGGCAGCAGGCGACACAAAGCCAGGACACGTACCTGGATCAGCTCTTTGTTGTAGACGGCGGCGAGCACCGTCAGGACGATGGTGATGATGGTTATTATGTGTATCGTGATCCACTTGGGCGTCGTGACGTATCGGCGCCAGTTGAAGGGTTGGAAGTTGGTCTCGGGGCTTAGGGAGGGCGCCGGCGCCATCGGCAGCGGTTCCCTGGTAGGGAGCCGCGGCCCGTCGTCTCTCCTGAAGAACTGCATCTCTGGGTTCTGTCGGCAGGGCTCGTTGTGTGTCGAGCTCGGGGACAGGCTTCGTTTCGATGGCGCACCAGTGGAGGGAGCCCGGTTCGCAGCCGGGAGAGCGCAGGACGTTTGGCCTATATGGGGATCGACCTTCTGCCCCGTCCCCGCGCGCGGGCAGGGGGAGTCGGGCGGGGGCGGCGAGAGCGAAACAGGATCGTCTGGAGGGGCGGGTCGAAACCTGGGCCTGGGTCTTGGGTGCTCGCTTCCCAAACCTACCGGCATATCCCAGCGCAAATGCCGAGGTCGTCAATACGCGTCTCGGGCGAGCTACTGTGTAGTGGCCCAAAGAGAAGGAGCCTGGAGCGCAAATGACAGGGGCCAGAAGATGTGACAGCCGGGGCGGGTTTCAGTGCACATCGGATCTTGGTGCTGCACTGACATGATGGGAGCGTCGCGGCAATGAGGCAATAATCCGAACGTGTTTTATTTTGGCGTCAGTGCCGACATGTTCTTTCTTTTCCTCCTCTCTTTCCACTCACCTCCTTTCTCTTTCCTCCCTATTCTTCCATCCCCATCAGCCACTGCACAGCCCAGCCCAGCGGGGCAGATCTGCGATGGAGCGCGGTTTCAGCGCCAGGCATGCAGCGTGGGTGCCCCACACTTTTTTTGGCTGTCATCTGTCTGTGCGCCGCCGGCCTTGATAGACTTTCTCTCCTGCTCGCCAAGCATCCATCTCGAACACCCGTCCCAACGCGCTCGCAAGAAGCTCCTGTTCGTCTAATCAAGCGCGTCACCGATCGGAACATGGGCTGCCGGCCTGCCAGGCGACACCTAGGTACCGCCTTGCTGGGCTGCGCCGCCACTGACACTGACTCGGATCGATATGTCCGGCCTCCTATAGGTCGTCTGGACAATAACCGGGCGGTATTCCACTCTTCGGATTGCCACTTAATGTGCTGTGACGCCAAGAATCGTGTCAGCGGGGCTACTTGACGGACTCGATGCAGCCTCGATACTTCACCCCAAGATCTACCTACCTTTTCGGCCCCCAACAGGTGAGGTATGGCCCGCCGGCCCATTGGATGCTATCCCCAACGCAGAGGACCGAGGTGCTCGACGCCATCTCGAAGGTGACGAGGACCCCGTCGGGCTGCTGCTCCCAGGTCCATTTTGCGGGGATGCGCCGCACTGCTCCTCGAGTCTCGTGAGCAGCGCCTGCTCGGCGTCGCCGGTGTTCCAGTCGCGAATTTCGGTAATGGTGAAGGAGACGCTAGTGTTTTCACGGATGTGGCTGCAGCTTGCCGACGGCGCGGCTTGCGACAAGCCCAGGCCGACGAGGGCGGCGAGCGGCGCCATGGTCTGGCCAGATTAGCCCGAGCTCGGACGGGTGCATTCTTGACTGACCTTGAACTGCATGTTGGGCTGAGTGAGTGACGATAGTGCTTAATGGCGTGAAGTGACCAAGTCCAAATCTGGGCCGACGATGCCGTCGACTTACGTCCAGATCGTTTCCCCGTGCTCCATCAAGCTCCGCGAACGGGACGCAATGCAATTTATCGCCGCAATGCGCTCGAAACTGATAGTGGCCGTCTTTAACCAGACATACGGCACAGCTCCTGAGCACAGCTCCTGAGCAAAGCGCCTGCACCAACGCACCCCTTGCCGGCATTTTCACATGTTTCACCATCACCGACCCCCAACTCCGTGTAAAGGGATAGTGTCAATGGCCGCTCAACAGGCGCGAGCTGTCTGGTGCCCGCCTATAGCTGAGGAGCGCCAGAGCCTGGCCACGACGGGCTACAGAGTAGTCAGGTGTCAGCTTCCCCAGACGCGGGCCGAAATTGCTTCCAGATGGCCTCGCTCGGGGGCGGGCGTCTGCACGTAGGGCCGGCGGCGTTAGCGCTTCAGCCGCTGTCAACACTGAAGCTGACGGTGCCCTTGCCCCGAATAGTGTGGGTCAGGCAGCCCCGCGGAAGTCAATGTCAGCTTGTGAAACTGCACATCGATGGCCCTGTCCTCTTCTTGAACACACCTGCAACATGGCCATCACCGAGCTGGCCCTCCTCCGCCTTTCCGGCAAGGAAACCCTCGCCACCATGCGACCGTTCCTGCAGCGCATCAAGGACGTCACCGAGGCCTGGACGCGTCGCCCCGGCACGGTGCGGTATTTTCAACAGGCCGACGACGCCCGTGCCATCTACCTCGTCGGCCAGTGGACCAGCCTCTCGGAGCACATGGACGGCTTCATCCCGTCTGCGGGCAACCAGGCCCTGCTCCAGGAGGGCGCGGGCCGGTTCGCCATCGAGGCCTTTTTGCACTTTGAGGCCGTGATGCCGCGGGGCGACCTCGGCACCGGGGTCTGCGTCGTCAGGAACTTTTGCAAGCTGGGAGCCCGAGAGGCGGGCTCTGGGCAGGCGATGGAGAAGGCTGCCGAGTTGATTAGCGGCCATACGAGTCCTGTAGCGGGCTGGAGGGTGGATGTGCCCGAGCACGAGGCGATGGAGGAGTTTGTCATCTGCGGGTGGCCGGCGGACGGGACGGACCATCTCCGCCGATATCACGATGCTGTCGAGGGCTGGGTGGACAGGATTGAGGCGAAGCATGCCATCGAGATCAGGGTGTAGACGAGGCGATTATCGCTCTGTCACCAATGATGAGCCCAGCTCACAACCACACAACATGTATCCTTTCAATTCCAGACATGGCTGCCTACGCTTTGGCTTGCTCGTATCGACCGAGTGTACCACGGTCCTAACACAGTCCGTGCCCTAGCTCAGGGGACAGCGACGGTCCAGGGCTAGAGCAAGTGCTCGCGCTGGCTCCAGTCCGCGCGACGCTTGTGCTGTGGGATTCTGATGATTGGGCGATAGCTCAGACCTACAAGCCTGCTCGCTGTTGACCGCGAGCTTCGCGCCCTCGGCGTCGACGGCGGGGAGCCACATGGTCCGAGCAGCGCATCTTCCGATCGGCATGGCCGGCCAGCGGATAATGTTTGAGCTTGCCGGCTGGTATATAACGACATGTTGCAGGATGGCCGGTTATATCCATCCTCAAACTCACATCACCGCACCCTTATTTTCTGCTCACTTCTCTCTAGTCCATTCCCTCACTAGAACTCACCCTCGCTTCAGTCATGATTCTCTCCCCAGCCGCCGTCCTCGCACTCGGCTTTGATCAGCGGAGCCCTGGCCATCCCGCAGTCTCCCGCCGCAGTATCAGCCGACGGCGCATGCGGCCGGATTAACGGCAAGCCCGTCACCTGCAAGGGCTCCGTCTTTGGCAGCTGCCGCTCCGCCTACGGTTACTGGTAAGAAGAGCTCGCCCGCCAGCTTAGACACACCGTTACTAACACCTCCAGCGGCCCGGGCGTCGTGACCATCTCGTACAACTGGGCCTTCATGATGACCGTCAGGGACCGGGGCCCGCCATCGGCGGCGTGCTCCATGGTCGTCAGCTAGGGCATGTACTCGGTCGTGTCCAGCTGGACGCGTCCCGCGGCGTCGGGCGGCGAGGGCGCGAGATGGCCACGCTCAGCACGGGCGGCGGCCTCGGCGACCTCAAGATCACCTTCAGCTGCTCGTCGACGACCAACTTTGTGGCCAGGGCCGTTCTCGACAATGTCGAAGTGCAAGCGTGCCAGGGCTGAGTTTTGCTGCTTGGCACCATTTTTGGCTTATATCTCTAGTATCAATAAAACGACCATAACCACAGCACGTAACTCATTAGAATGCACGCTCGCAGCCTGCCGTATTAAGTAGGTACTTGTCTAGTTATTCCAGTCCATATCAGTCGTCTCCTCCAGGGATCAGTATCTGATCGATGTGATTAAAGCTATTCCATTTCCATCATTCCATTACGCCGCAGGGGGGATCACGCAGAGCACCTTGAGCGGCGTGCGCCCGACCTCGAAGCCCAGGACGCTACAGCCGCTTACGTCGGCCACCTCGCCCGACTGGACGGCGGGGCCAGCGGGAGCGGCAGGCGCGGCGGCACCACCCCCGGCGACGGGGGCCGAGACAACGGGCGGTGCGGCAGCCGGGGGAGCAGCAGCGGCATTGGCGCCGAGCTGGGCGCGCACGACGCCGGGCACAAAGGCGGCCGTGTGGCTGTCGGTGAAGAAGCCGGCCGGGTTGGCCTCGATCTGAGCCAGGGTGAACCCCGTGCCCGTGTCCCGGCCGTTGGCCTGGATGCCCGTCGTGAAGGGCCCCTGCAGGCAGCCCGAGCTGCGCTTGACCACCTCGGGACCCGAGTTGGCCGGCTCCGGGTTCGGGAACGAGATGCGCGGGGGACCGGCCTGGCCCAGCGCCGCCTCGTGGATGTGCGTGGCCGTGGTCGCGGGCGACTCGTAGGGTCCGGTGACGCCCATGAGTGTGATGTTCTGGGCGGGCGGTTAGTCCAAGCCGAGGCGCAGAGACGGACTCGTGAGAAACTTACATAGCAGATAATGTCCAGTTGGCTGTTGATGCCGTAGTTGTACATGCCCATGGCTCCCGTCTCGCCCGGTGCGGGACCGTTGGCGCCAATGACCTGCTCAGGGGTGGCCATCATGTTGAAAGTCGACGTGAACGTAAAGGGACCAAAGGGGACGGGCGTGCCAGTGACGGCCTGGCGCCTTGCGATGGGGCCAGCGGCGGCGAGTCCGCTCAGGACGGAGAGGATAGCAAAGGACCTCATGGTGACGGATTAGGGTATCTGTGTGCTCGGCACTAAAGTAATGGATAATGGAAAAAGGACCAGCCGGACTCGGAACAAACAAGCAGACAAACGAGCGTGGCCACGTCAACGTGGATTAAACGAGAAGTTGAAGATGGCGACGAACGGAATGGGGAGCAGAGGAAAAACGAGCAAACGACGAGAGCGGGAGCCCGTCTTTTGTCGACGCCTGGCAGCGCGCAAACGCCAAGGCGATGGCCATGTCGGGGCAAATTTTGCCTAACGCACGTCCTCGCGAGGCTCCACGATGCCGGGTCGAATAAACTTGGCGAAACATGGAGGGCATCCAGCCGGTGGCGGGAGCCGGATGGAGGACGTTCCGGCGAATGGCAGGGCGGCCGCCATGGGCCTTCCCTCCCAGCTGCGGCGCCAGGAAGGGAAGGTTGGGGCAACGCCAAGCGGTGGGCGCTGTGGCAGACCCCTGCTGGCGCCGTTTTGGGGGGTGCTGTTCGGCCGGGAAACGGCCTCCACTTTTGCTGACTCGACCCGCCGTCTCGACCCTGCTGTCTGGTCTTGTTTGGATCTAGATTTAAGCATGTCGAGGAAGGTTGGATCCAGATTTTAAGCATGTCAAAGGAGTTCAAGCCCGGGCTGTCGCCTCGAGGGCACGTGTCGAGTGCCGTTGCCGTTGCTCTGATCAGACGGCATGTTGTCTGTGTTTGAAGATTTGCGTCGCAGGTCTATTCACGGACGTCCAACTGCCCTACTGTCATGTGTTTGTCGCGTCTAGTCTAGACCTAACGCGTACTACCTATATATACGACCTCTGACGAGGAAGGAATATTTACAGCAAAGTGAAGTCACCCACCAGTCACCAGTCACCAGTCACCTGATCACCCTCCTTGACCAGAAAGGCAATATTACAGTCACCTCCCCTAGCAGCTGCTCTGGAACCCCGAGGCCACACAGTACTTGCCGTCGGGCCCGCTGCCGACCTTGGTGGGCTCCTTGCCGCTGCTGTTGCCCGTGTAGCGGTCGCAGCTCTTGTTGTTGCTCTGGCACGTGTTTGTGATCTTGCACGTGTCGCCGTAGTTGGTGTTGATGCCGCACAGCACGCCGCCGTCCTTGAGCACCGAGTTCTGCACCACAATGTTGCGCGGCCCGCCGTTGTCCTTGCAGTTGCCGCACGACCGCGCCAGCTTGCCGTAGTCGTTGGCGTAGAAGTTGTCGATGACGATGGTGCCGCGGCCGTTGAACTGGAAGATCTTGTCCGAGGCCTTGAAGGCCCCGCCGCCCTGGATGTACGAGGTGCCGCCGCTCTGCTTGAAAGTGGCCGCGTCCTCGCACACGTCGGCCCACCACACGTTCTTGAGCGTGCACGTGCCCTTGCAGTGCACGCCCTCGGCCTGGCTGGCGCCGATGATGACGTTGGAGAGCGTGGCGCCGTTCTCGAGGATGAACATGGCGTCCTTTTCGCCCGTCTCCTTTTGGCCCTGGCAGACGGTGGCTGTTGAGGGTCAGCAGTGTTCGTCCGGCGCCTGTGTTGCATACTTACGGTTCCGCTCAAATCGCTTCATGCCGCCATCGTAGGAGCCCTTGACCGGGATGGCCGTGGGGTAGGACGCGACGCCGGCCGACTTGGGAAGAGTCGTGGTCACGGCGCTGACACCGGCGCCGAGCGCGGCAAGAGAGAGGAGGCTGACGATCTGCATCTTGAACGGTGGTCTGAGAGTTGAAAGCTAGAGACTGGTCCTGAAGGCTGACTCTGATCCTGAAGATAACATCCGATCCCAAGGCACGACGGAGCACTGCTTTATATCAAAGGCCGCCCATCGCCTAACCATCAAATCTGCCATGGTACTGCAATCCCACGATCACTTACAACACAACCATGTCGCCCCTCATTGGTGGCAGACCGACTTGCTAGTCGCCCTGCAAGACGCGCTCCCATTCGAGGAAAATCTCACCCCCGCGTTTCGAAACAGTACCACAGGGGTCACGTCCGCCGCTCCCATGGAAAGCTGCATGCCATTTTGTGCAAGCTTTCCAACTGCGCCATCTGCCGGCGACGGCGCAGTGCGGACGCTTCGACGCCCCGCTCGACATCCTTCTAGACCGCTATGCGTTCATGCCACAGAGTCAAGCCGCCTCGTGATGCGGGGAATCCCAACGTTGACAGCAAGTTCGTCCGGCATTTTCTGTTCCACAAACCCGGGTCTGTACAGGGGCAGGACGGTTGTGTTGGAGGTTGATGGTGCCGACCATGGCACAGCCATATTTCCCCGTCAGTCACCGTGCGCTCTGGAGTTTCTCCGCGTGGGCCGAGTATCTCCGGGTATCAATAAGGAATGGCTTGCGGGTAGATGCAGGGGCCGTTGATTAGGAAAGTGTAGTCTGCGCTAGAAAATACAATGTTACCTCCCGGAGGCCTGTTTAGGATCCCGGCCTGGATGCTTACACGTCCGATCCATCTTTCGATCCGACCGGCGGCCGCGTCTCCGGTATTGGCGGTACCGGCTCGTCGACCCCAGAGTCTGCGTTTGCCTCGCCCGAGGATGACGCGTAGATGCGCGTGAGGTGGTGGTCTTCAGGGACGGCGAGGGAAGACGCGCCGCTGCCGTTTCCTTCTTGCGCCCCTTGCCCAGGCCAACTGCCGCAGGACACGGCGCGGCCGATGGACGCACTCCCCAGGTACACCGTCGGCGCCAGCGAGCACGGCCGTATGCACGGGACGGCCCTGGAGTGCTCCACTACCTCCTCGGGGCTGCGGATCGGGTCGCTAACCATGTCCGGGTCATCGGGCCTCGCCGGGCGCGACGTGCGCTCCCAGGGCATCGGCAGCCTCGGCAGCACCAGGGGACGCACACCGCCCAGCTTCTCCTCGTCGATAAACTCAAACGTGTGGCTGACCACGGTCGACTCGCCGGCCAGGCTGGGCGGCACGGGCGCCATCATGGTGGACACGGGCCGGATGGCGGAGCTGCCGCGCTTGGCCAGGTGCACCACGTCGCGCGGGTTGTGGATCTGGAATGCCACCATGTCCGGGTCGCCGGCCTGCGCGCCGAGCGAGGTGCGCCGCGTCACGCTGCGGCAGAGCGCCGGTGACAGCGCGCACGGACAGTTCTCCATCTCGCACTCGCACTCGCCCCCCAGCATCGCCTCCTCGTCCAGGTCGTACAGGTCCGCGTAGGGGTCGCGCAGGCCGGTCCGCGCCGGCTTCCCCCTGCCGGGCTCCGGGCCCTGGGCGACGCGCTGGTTGTGCTCGGCGAGGTCCGCCCCGCGCCTGCCGTTGAAGAAGCCGCCACCGTGCTTCTCGGGCGGGGCCATGCGGAAGACGCCGGGACGCGACCGCAGGCCGTCCGTGTCGTCGCCGGCGCGCCGGGACCGGAGCTTCAAGAGCATGTCGCTGACGAGTGCCCGGCACGATGGCAGGCTGCCGCAGATGATGGCGGTGAACTGCTCCATGACGGACCACAGGATGGGGTCGACGCGGTCCCACGTCAGGTCGTACGAGTCCCAGAGCCCGATCAGGTACCTCATGCGCACGATGCTCGTGGCGGTGGCCAGCAGTCCGAAGCCGAACATGAACGACAGGCCGATGGCCTTTCTCCAGTTCAGCGTCATGGTCATCAACTCCGGGATGGGCAGCAGCACGAGCACAAAGTCCTCAAAGATGCTGAAGGCCCCGCCGGCATACGCGATGACCCTAAAGTCCAGGCACTTGGCCGTGGCGGACGGCTCCCACGCGGCGCTAACGGGCAGGCATTGGAAGATGCACAGAAGGAGGAATACGGCGCCGTGGAGAGCCATAAACACTATGCCGCCCTTGACGGCCCATTGGAACCACGCCGCCTGGAAGAGGCGCATGTAGAGTATGAGTATGGAGATCTTGGCGAAGACCTGGACCACGATGTAGAGCTGCTGGCCGGCCCAGTAGTACTTTAATAGATCGGCGGCGGTGAACGTGTCGACGTTCCATACGTGCGTCCCAAACCCAAGGTCGGCGCCTGTGGCATGTCAGCGGCAGCCGGAAACGTGGGATGCAGGCCACTCACTTTTGAACTGAAGAGCGAGCATGGCTACGAGGGACGCGGTCGCGGCGATGCTCATGTAGTCGTCCCACCAGAGCCGGCCGGAGCTGTATAGCCTCGAGAGGATCCTCAGCGTCACGACGGGTATCGTCAGCGCCAGGGCGACGATGGCTATGATGCGGAGGAGGCCGCCGCGGGACTCTTTGGGGAGGCCCTGGCACAGGGTGCCCAGCGTGACGTTCAGCGCGAGTAGCGTCTCGTTCCACGTGCACTTTTGCTGCACGCAGATGTTGGCCCTCGAGAGCGCCTCGGTGTTGTTGGCGCTGCAGACGCAGGCCGCCAGCCGCCCTTGGTCGCCCAACTCGCGGCTGCAGCCGTTGGCCGACACGGCCTCGATCAGGCACGCCATCTGCGGCACGTCAGCGCTGCATCGACGGCTGGGACGGGGACGGGGGCACTTACCGAGCACTTGGGGGCTTCGGTGACGACGTCGGCGACGAAGTTCCCGGCCGACACGATGCCGACCAGGGACGACACCAAGACGAGGAACCGCAGCGCCGCGACCATTGTATCGGGCTGAATGTGAGTCTAGCGCGTGTCTATTCGTCTTCTAAGAATGCACGAGACGGCGAGGCTCGATGTACGCTGGCCAGGCCGAGAAGTGAACAAGCAAACCGCTAAATAGCCCAGCAAACAGCCACCACAAAGAGAAGAAGCAAGTGAAGAGGAGAGAGTGCCGGGCGTGCATGTCGAGCGGGACGATCTGCGTATTAGGGCCGAATGGACATGCGGTCGCATTCCATCCCGCGCGGGACAGGCCATCGTGCAGGTTCCTGGCGCATCAAAGAGACGTCTGTGATCATCACAGCAGCCTTGAGGACGGCACCGCACCCCTGCTGGCCCGCCGCTAGCGTGCTCGGGAGGGCCGTGCCGCCCTACTCATCAACACACCCTTGCTGACGTCGGTAAGCCGGTTGGCATCCGCTAGTGCGAGCTGTGGTGTGGGTGGAGGGCTGTATATCCGGGACGGGCTTGGTGGTACCAATAGCTTGTGTCGTGTTGATGTGGCAAGGATCGAGACGCAGGGGCAGCAGAAGCCGGATGCTTACGCGGAGGGTGCCTTGGGCGAATGCCGCTCTCTGTCGTGCGCGCCCCGGATCCAAGACCCCTGCCTCAGCCAGCGTCTGTCACAATGCAAAAGCAAAGATCGGATGACCCGGGTGGCTTGCCAGGGGCAGCTAGCGCACGCTCGGGCCAGGGGCTCGTGGCTGCTGGCCAGTTGTAGCGGACGATAGCTGGAAATCGACAGCACAAGAATTAGCGAGAGGCTAGTGAAAAGTGTGCCCATTGTTTGTACAGAGCTAACGCTTATTGTTTCCGTGCAGAGTTAACTCCTGGTCACCTGGCTCGTGCGCGGTCGTGCATTGTTCAAGCGAGAAAGCAAGGTTGTCGGCGGCTACCATGCGGAGATGACTGGACGGATATTCGCCCATGTTGCGACGAGGCCGAATATCGGAAATACCACATCCAACAGTGCCAAAGGCGAAGAGCGGGCACGTGGTAGAATTGTCTAGATTTAGGGCTAGCGGAGCAGTAGGATGTGGTGTCGGGTAGTCTAACGATGGCTCAGTGGCGCGGCTTTGACCCCTAGCCCGTCTGTGCTGGCGCGAATCCATCGACGATTCCTTAGCGGTGGTATGCCTCCGATGCCTTGACGCCAAAAATAGCACTAGAGGATCGGCATGGCACAATGCCTCGAGGCATGCCACAGGCAATATGCTATTCGCAGCTGTGGTTGGGCTCCCAGGCACACGTGTGGTTTGCTCCGGGCTGGTACACGAGGGGTGCCCCGAAACGGCCCGCGTCCATCAGGCAGTTGTTGGGCCCCTTCATCGCCAGCGGATTAGCCCAGTCGTTGTTGTTGAAGCAATCCGTGGCCCCGACGTGCATCGTGACTCCAGCCGCCGGGAATGTAACCGTGCCCGACTTCGGGTACAGTTTTGAACCCATGTGATTGCAGCAGTTGTCATCCACCGCGACCAAGGCCTGGAGGAGATATTTGCCCCGGATGGTGATGGTCTCGGTGTTGTTCTGCGTCATGATCAGCTTCTATCTGGCTGTCCGGATCAGGCTGCAACCTACGTGGCACACCTGGGCCATTGTCAGCATCCTGAAAGCACATGAAGGGTCGGCCAAGTGACTTACATATACAGCAACCGCATTGAGCGCCTTGCATTGAGGCCGGTAGCAATACTGAACCGGAGGGATGTAAAACTTGAGGCCCTCTGCAAGTTGCAGCCAGCTCTTCATCGACCTGATGTCGTCGGCGAGCGCGGTCGGCATGGTGGCGCATTTGATCTTGCCCAGTCGCCATTTATAAACGTCCGACGTTCGATTGGCCTGCGGAGGCCTCGCCTGGTATCGGTTAGTCGCCGCCAGGCCTTGGAGCGTCAAGGTAGCATACCTCGGTTGCCCCGACGAGGAGGGCAGTGACCACGCTGGTGAGCCTCATCTTGGAGATAGTAGGTGAAGAGGTGATGCAGATGTGGAATGGATGCTTGACAGCTGGGATTTTAAACCGGGCTTCACCGGCCGTGGCTTGATAATACTTTTGCGAGGATTTGAGCTTCATCGAACCTTGAAGCGCCAACACGTCTTTCTCCCGATGATGAGCACCATATTTGAAGTATACAGCAGCCAGTATGCAGCAGCCAGTAGGGACAAAAGTATTCGGCAAAGTGATCCGCTGTCAACACGCGGAACATCACCAGCCAAGATGGCGGACAAGGAGCTGATCGAGTTCCACCGTCGGATATGGCCCAACTGGATCCACGGCACCTCACCGGCACACCACCCCGATGTCCTCGCGGTGTGGTTCGAAGCCTGCGGGGATGTTCGGACCTTCATCTGCGGTGGCAAGAACCCCCTGTTGGACATGCGAGAGATGCCAGACCCGGCCCTCGACTGCCCTCGCAGAGCGCAACCCGCCGAGCTGGGACAGAACTGGACCTTTGCCTACATGGCCCTGACGCACATCTACTTTGACGAGCGGCTCGCACAGCGCGCGGGGGCCCCGAGACCCAGGCCCATGACGGTGCAGCAGGCCGGTAGGCGCATGCGGCTTATGGAGAGCCAGCTGCTGGTGCTGCGCAGCCGAAGCAGCACCGCGCAAGTGAAAGCGGCCCAAGACGCCGTCGAGCCGCTGCTGAAGCACCTCGTCGCGGTGGAGCACAACATATACCCGGCAGCGCTGCTGCCGGGAGGGGAGGCCGAGTCTCTGGGGCGCGTCTCGCTCGCCGTGTACGCGCAGGTGATTGCCGGCACGGTGGCGTGCTCCCGCGTGCTGCGCCCGTCGAGGCAGCATCTCAGCCTGCTCGACCAGATCGGCCGTGCCTACACTTTCCGCGAGGACCAAACACACACGGGTGGTGGCCTGCGAGCCTATCAGATCGTCCGGTGGCTCCATCACTGCCACTGGCGCCGCGACTACGCCAACGAACTCTCGGGCCGGCACAGCGGATACAGGGGCGTGTTGATGGACATGGTTGAGCAGCGCGGGTCCCCCGAGGGTCGGTACAGGCTCATGGAGAAGCTGGCGTCGGATCTGTGCACCATTGGGGCCGTGGCCGGAGCCGAGCGTGTGCGCGGGCGGGTGATGGCTGCCATCTGGGCGACGGGTAGCCGGCACGGCGTCTCACTGGAGCGCGTCGCGGTGCCTGAGCCACCACCGAGGCAAGAGCCACAGCCGCGCCCGTTGGTAAGGTTCTTCCAGGGCCGGCGCCTCCCCAAGGCCATGCCACAGACCACGCCACAGACCACGCCACAGGCCAAGTCGCCGACACCAAGCACCAATAGGCCAAACTGGGACACCCGAAGGGCCAGGAAACGGGGCAGCTATCGGGTCAGGATCGAGGGCATGGAGAGCATCATGGAGTACATGGAAGACGAGGTGGAGACGTCAGATGACGTGCCTCGAACGCAGCTGGCCAAGCTCGGGCGGGCCCTCGCAGCACGGTCCTCGGCCTTCATCCGCGGCTTGGTGGACATGTCGGTGGCGGCCTCGGCCACTCTGGCACGTCTGGCATCGCTGGCCCGCAAGTCGTGATGTGGGTGGAGGAGTGGAGGAAGCGGTGTGCCGATTTGGCCTCGAGCTGTCGCGCTGATTCGTCGCGTTATTTGTGGACAGGCACGATCCGTGCACGCGACTGCAAAAATATTTAACTGGTTCATCCCACGACTCGACGCCGATGACTTTTGCATTCTGCAACCTGCAGCGAAAAATCTGCAGCGGAAAATCTTCCACAATGCAGTGGGTCGCATGCTTTGCCTGCGGGCGTCATGCACACCATGCACAACTTTCTCGTCATGCAGGGGACGACCCCTAGCATCCCTTATCTTATCACGATAGACCCCGCATCCGACACATTATTGTGACGACCTTTTTTTTTTTCCTGACGGAATTTTTTCGTGCCCCCCCCTCGACTTGGTTCCCAGACTGCTTCACCACCGGCAAGATGGATCGTCAGAAGCTGGCCGCGCTGCTCCAGGAGAGCCAAGTTCGTGAGTGCTCTGCTTACTCCCCTCAGCCATCACCCAGCTAACACACCCAGCCGACACGGAAAAGGTCAAGGCCATCACGGCCGAGCTGCAAAAGAACTACTTCCCGCACCCCGAATCGCTGCTGGCCCTGCTCGAGATCGTCTGCGTCCACAGCGATGTAGGCGTCAGGCAGCAGGCGTCGGTCCAGGCCTCGCGCCTCGTGGCCAAGCACTGGCCTAGCCAGACGGCCAAGGACAAGGAGGACGTGCGCAAGCACCTGGTCGAGGCCGTCATGAAGGAGCAGAACGCAAAGTGCCGCCACTCCATCTCGCGTCTCATCTCCAACATTGCCAGTATCGACTTTGCCGATGGCGAGTGGAAGGAGCTGTTCCAGGGCATCTTCCAGCTCGCCGAGAGCGACAACGTGGGCCAGCGCGAGGTCGGCTCGTACCTGATCTACGCCACGCTCGAGTCGGACCCCACGCACTTCTCGGAGCATCTCGCCCACCTCTTTACGGCCCTGCAGAAGCTGATGCAGGACCCACAGAGTCTGGAGGTGCGCGTTAACGCCGTCATGTCGGTCGGCTGCGGCCTGCTGCTTGTCGACACGGACGACGAGGAGGACGCCGACAAGGTGGCCCTGATCCAGTCGCTGGTCCCCCACATCGCCGACGTGCTGCGCGCCGCCGTCCAGGCCGCCGACGACGAGAAGATCAAGCAGACCTTTGAGACGCTGCAGCAGTTCCTCGCCTACGACTCGTCGCTGCTGGGCAAGTACCTCAAGGACCTGATGCAGTTCACCATCGAGATCGCCGCCAACCCACAGGCCGACGACGAGGCCCGGTCCCAGTCGCTGAGCTTCCTGACCCAGGCCGTGCGGTACCGCCGCATGAAACTGATGGCCATGGGCGACCTGATCAAGGTGCTCGTCGAGAAGTGCCTACAGATCCTGACGGAGCTGGACGACGACGACGATGAGGACGAGACCACGCCCGCCCGCGCCTCGCTCGCCCTACTGTCGCAGCTGTCCAGCGACCTGCCGCCCCGCCACGTCATTGTGCCGCTGCTCGACCAGTTTGCCGCCTTTTCGTCGTCGCCCCAGGCCAGCCACCGCAAGGCCGGCGTCCTCGCCCTGGGCATCTGCGCCGAGGGCGCCCCCGACTTTGTCAACACCCAGATGAAGAGCATTCTGCCCATCGTCATCGGCCTGCTCAATGACCAGGACGTCGAGGTCCGCCACGCCGCTCTGATCGGGCTGACGCGCCTGGCCGAGGAGATGTCCGAGGATGTGGCTGCCGAGCACGAGGCCCTCGTCGGCGCCCTGCTCAAGAACCTGCAGGCCGCCGTGACCGAGAACACCGACGACAAGTCCAAGAAGAAGAACACGGCCGTCATCCGCTCCGTCTGCGCCGCCTTTGACGCCATGTGCGACGGCGTCAAGCCCGAGGTCATGCACAAGTACGGCCCGCAGCTGCTCGACCCCATCGGCAGCCTGCTCGTACACGAGGACGCCCGCGTCAAGATTGCCGCCGCCGGTGCCCTCGGCGCCATCGCCACGTCCATGGCCGACGAGTTCAAGCCCTACTTTGCCAAGATCATGACCGCCCTGGCGCCCTACATGGCCGCCAAGGAGACCGAGGAGGACCTGACGCTGCGGAGCGGCATCTGCGACGCCATCGGCCGCATTGCCGTTGCCGTCGGGTCCGAGGCCTTCCAGCCCTACGTCGATGACCTGATGCGCAACAGCGAGGAGGGCCTGCACCTCGACAGCTCCGAGCTGCGCGAGAGCAGCTTCATCCTGTGGTCGCAGCTGTGCAAGGTCTACGAGAAGGACTTTGCGCCCTACCTGGACGGCGTCTTCAAGGCCCTGCTCGACTCCCTCAACGAGGACGACGACGACGTCGCGCTGAACCTGACCGAGGAGGAGCTGGCCATCGCCGGCGACGCCCTGGAACTGGTCACGGCCGGCAAGCGCGCCAAGGTGCGTGCGGCCGACGCCGACGAGACCCTCATGGACGACGACGACGAGGACGGTGAGGACTTTGAGGACTTTATGGAGTCGGCCGAGGCTATGGAGAAGGAAGTTGCCATCGAGGTGCTTGGCGACATCATCTACCACTCGTGTGGCACCAACGAGATTTCCAAGTACCTGGAGAAGGCGCTCGAGGCCGTCACGCCGCTGCTCGACCATCACTACGAGGGATGTCGCAAGTCGGCAATCTCGACCCTCTGGCGCTCCTACGCCCGCGTCTGGCAGCTGTCCGAGGAGGAGACGGGCGTGAAATGGGAGGCCGGCTTCCCGCCCAAGCAGACCCCCAGCGTCGCCCTGATCAAGCTCGGCGAGATTGTGACCAAGGGCACCCTGAGCATGTGGGCCGAGGAGAGTGAGCGGTATGTGTTTGTTTTGCCCTTGTTTGAATGTGTGAAGTGATGAACACCATACGTTATACCCAGCTCACTCAGACGCAATGCGAGTGCTGAGAAAGCGTTTCTACTTCTGATCACACCCAATCTGCGTCCTCGTTGCGTGTATGCATTTCTACGTTCCTGCTGACGACCCTCCTAGCGACGTCGTCACCGAGATCAACCGCATGGTCGCCCACACCCTGCGCGTGACCGGCCCTGCCGTCCTCGTCGGCGAGGAGACCCTAACGCAGGTCATCTCGGCCCTGACTCTGATCGTCACGCGCTCGCACGCTTGCCAGCAGGACCTCGGCAACGAGATTGAGGACCAGGACGTGCAGGAGAGCTCCGAGTACGACTGGCTCGTCATCGACACGGCACTCGACGTCGTCATCAGCCTGTCGGTCGCCCTCGGCCCGTCGTTTGGCGAGCTCTGGAAGATTTTCGAGAAGCCCGTCATGAAGTTTGCCAGCTCCAACGACGCCCTCGAGAGGTCCACGGCCGTCGGCGTCATTGCCGAGTGCATCAACTACATGGGCACCACCTGCACGCCCTACACGTCGCCCCTGCTCAAGCTGCTGCTCCACCGCCTGTCGGACGAGGACCCCGAGACCAAGAGCAACGCCGCCTACGGCGCCGGCCAGCTGGTCCTCAACTCGACCGATAGCAAGACGTACCTGCCCAGCTTCGACACTATCCTCTCTAAGATCGAGCCCATGCTCAACATCCCTGCCCCGACGTCTGGCCGCATCCTCGACAACGCATGTGGCTGTCTGTGCCGCCTGATAATGGCGCACCCCGACCGCGTCAACCTGGACGAGTACCTGCCCGTGCTAGTCGACAGGCTGCCTCTGAAGGAGGATTTTGAGGAAAACACGCCCATCTTTCAGTGCATTTTTAAGCTCTGTGAGTATCCTAACTTCAGTCAGCCCAGCCCAGCCGCTAACCGTATCTAGACGAGCACGACAACCAGACGGTCTCCAACCTCACCCCCAAGCTCATTCCCATCTTCGAAAAGGTGCTCAGCCCACCCGAGGACCAGCTGACAGCCGAGACGCGCGAGCTGGTCAAGAAGATTGTGCAGATCTTGTACAAGGCCAAGCCGGATCTGTTCCAGGCCCACCAGGCCGTTGTTGGCCTCGCCGCTTGATTTATTCCCTTGACATACCCCTAGACTAGACTTATGATGCGTAGGAGCTTGATCTGCTGGATATCAGCTGCCTAGATGACGTATGAATAAAAGTGCTGATTGATGTTTATTTAGCGAACTGGCCAAGGTTCGAACGAGCGTGTGAAGTGAAGCTATGAAGCTAGAGTTGGAGCTAGAGCGAGATGACAGCAAAGGAGCAGGGCTTTGTCGTCTACCGATTCCGTCTACCGATTCTGTCCACCGATTCCGTCACCGATTCCGTCACCGATTCCGCCACGGCGCCTAAACCGGAAGGCAGCAGGAGTCTACGCCGTTGCAGGCCTGCTGGTCGCGGGGCTGGCACTGGGCTCCCGGGGTGCTGAGGCAGAAGTTGACCCACGCCAGGGTGATGCCGCGGGGGCCGCACCGGAAGCGCGACTGCTTCTGCTTGTCGTCGGTGATGGGCTCCTGCTTGGCCTCGATCAGGGCCGCGTTGACGCGCCCGATCCACAGAGTGCGGTCTGATGGTCAGCGCATGTCAGCTTCTGGATATCAAGGAACTCACCAGGCTGGGACTGCCCGTCGATTAACTCATATCCGCAGTAGATTCTGCCGGGCTGGCAGGTGTCAAAGGCGGCGGCCTGGCCGGCCAGGAGGACGACGGCGCCGAGGCTGAGGATGGTGGACTTGAACATTTTTCTGAGGTCTGAGGTGTGTTCTCTGAGGAGTTCTGAGATGTTCCGAGGTGTGCTGATTTTGTCTCTGACGTTTTGCCGTCTTGTCGGGCAGCGAGGCCTCCTTTTATATTCCCCATTGCAGGCTGAAGCCTGACTTGCCTCAAGCAGTCATATCTTGCTTGCCAGCGAGTCTCTTGATAGCGTTCGGCCAAGCTGACCGACCTGATCGCGCAGAATGTCGGTGACGCCAAGACATAGCCGCATGTCCAAAGCATCACGGAGTGTCGTCCTCGCCGTCCCGGCGACTCGAATGCTCTTCCGCGCCAGACTTGCGGGAGACCAACCTAGTCCACCGGGCTATCACAGACACTCGGTGTGGCAGCATGACAGAACTAATGCCCCATTTTGGGTATGTCTTGCTCAAAGATCCCAGGTGAGGTGTGAATTTTCGAGATCCGCACACCGTGAATCCTTCCCGGGTTCTTGGGACGCCTTGCTGACATGCTGAGATGAGCGCCGTGCATGAACCACTGCGGGAACCCGGTGAAGCTCTTGCTTGGCCGACCCGCCGGCACCTGGCCCTCGCCCGACGACGTCTAGTCAACCCCAGGATTTCTACGGCGCGACGACATGCACATTGCGGGGAAACGCGGAAACGTGGAGGCGATGCTCGCTCCGCCTCCGCGCCCTGGTGACAAATGTCACTTGACAGACTTGGCATTCTTTATAATGACATGGCCAGAGGTACACGGTCCAAATTCCGCCAGGTCGCCCCTAATCCAGCTCGTGTGCCAACTTGACTGCCTTAGAGCTGCCCGCGTCTAGCACGACGGCCGGGTCATCCTCGGTGCCGTCCCGGGAGACCTTGTTGCCGTTCTTGGTGGTGATTGTCGCCCTGGGACAAATGTCAGCGCGGCGCGGATGGGCGGGTGCGGGTACTCACTTGTCTTGCTTGACGTCCAGGACGGTGCCTTGGGGGTGGCCGGCTCCCCACTTCCAGCTCACCGCGTCTCCTTTTTCGGGGGCGGACTCGGATTTGTCAGTGGCTTCCTCGGTGGCTTCCTTGTCAGTGGCTTGCTTGTCTTCCTTGGCATTGTCGTTGGGCTTGTCGTCCTTGTCATCGTCAACCTTGTCTTCGTCTTGCTTGCCGCCGCTGTCTTCTTTGTCACCCTCGTCTTCGTTGTCCTTCTCAGCCCCCTCGTCCTCACCCTCTGTCTTCCTACCCCCTTTCGCTGTCCCGTGCCCCTTTTTCGCGCCAGCTTGGCTTGCCCACGTCTTCCTCTTCTCTCCTGGCTCCGACTCCATTCCCCCCTCCGTCCCCGCCCCCTTGAGAAAGTCGTGTCCCCAGTTCTTCAGCGACGCGTACGACTTGGTCTTCTTGACCTCCTCCTCGGACTTGCTGATGTTTGGCCCCTTCTCCTGCACGAGGTGTCGCTTACTGCAAAAGTCAGCACGTCTCAGTCTGGCGTAAAAGAGGCACTCACCAGTAGGCCACCACTTTGCGCATGTGCTCCACGTCCTCGTCCGAGTACTGGTCCGCCTTCTTTTCCGGGTTCGCCTTGAGGATCTCGACAATCTTGCGCCCGCTGCCGTGGCCAACGCTCTCTCCATCGCCCTCGGCCCAGCCGGCGCTGTTGGAGTCGTCCGACTTGAGCCACTCCTCGAGCTCCGACGCCGTCATGTTGACGAGCTCGCTGAACTCGGAGACGACATCCTTGCGGTCCTTCATCGTGATGGTTTGCAACTGCTTTTTACGAAGCCGACTGGAATCGTCCAGATGCGGAGCCCAAGCTTTATGCGGCATGCTCCCTAGGCGCTCGGACGGACGCGATGGCTGATTTGCACTGCAAGTGGTGTCGTCATCGGTCTAGTCCTGGATTGTGGCGTCGATTCTGGCCGCGATGAGACCTGGATCGCTATGTGACGCATTTACGAGCCTTCGACCCGCGTTCGGCGACAGCGCGACATAGCTACACCTCCTTGAAGTCGAGGCCTGGCCGAAATGCAAACCTAGTCAGGGCTAGGCCCCAGACTCGATGTCTTGATGAGAGATAACAGCGAGGCATGCCAACAGGCAATCCCAGGTCCTGGCAGCCTTGGATCGGCAGCAGATCGATAGCAGATCGGCAGCTACAATGACGGACCGCATGGTGTACGAGACGTTCCGTCGAGACGATCTCGCTGAGAGCGACCCGATATGGAACGACGCCATGGATCTGTACGGCGACTACTATGAGTACCTCGAGTACGACGAGAGCCAGCGGCCAGCCTGTCAGTGGCCGATCCCCAAAGGGGCAGTATGTGCGCAGCCGAGCCGGTGGTGAAACGTGCGCTGACATGCCTGAGCCCCTGCATGCCACAGCGAACTGGCACTGGGCCAGGTTGCCCGAGGACGAATTCATGACCATGTTCCTGCCGACGCGCGACAGCACCATCACGCGCTGCAAGATGGGCGGCGCCGTAGTCGGCCACGCCCTGTGCGTGCGCTGGCCGTGCCGGCTGCGCCACCCGTCGCGCAACCGCGGGCGCGACGCCGACGCGGTGGCCTGCTGGGTCACGCAGGTGGTGGTGCACCAGGACGCGCGCGAGATGGGCGTCGCCACGGGCCTCATGGACGCCGTGCTGGCTCTGACGGCGGCGGGCCGCGCGGCGCGCTGGTCGACCGACACGACGGACGGCCAGCGCGGCAGCCGCGCGGGTGGCGACTGCGCCTGCGGTGGCGGCGACGACGACCAGGAGCCCACGCTGGTCTACGGAACTCTCAGCCCGCACCCGGCCGTGCACCTGGCGCTGGCGAGGGCCTACGCGCGCCGCCACCGGCTCGACGAGGCCGTGCAGCCGCTGGACCACATCCGGCTCGACTTTGTGCGCGCGCACGCCGCCGCCGTCCTGGCCGCGTCGCCGTGCCCGCAGCTGCGGCGCGCATCCCCCGCCGGCAGCCTCTTCCAGCGCGGCCTGCTCGGCGTGCTGCTGTGGCCAAAGGTGGGCGGGCGCCGGTACATGTGCCTCGACTGCGGGGCCGAGACGGACTTTACGTCGCCGCCGTCCGACGTTGGCAGCTACGTGAGGCGGGCGCGGGACCGCGGCTGGTCGCTGGGCCGCCTGGCGCCGGGCTGCGAGTTCATGCTGGTGGTGCCGGCGGACCCGGCCGTGCACAAGCGGTTCGCGCACCCGCAGTCGGTGTTTTCGTGGCTGCTCGGCCTGCTCGGAGAGTAGTCGCCGAGATCAGGGGTGGTTTGCTGTTGGTAACTGTTGGACGAGCAGTATGCGCAGGGGTGTGCCATCTCCCGGCAACGGCATCAGAGACCAGAACGCGAGTCGGCAGATGGCGCGTGGAATCACAATGGAGCGAGTCCCATGACTCTCTGGGAAACTGGCAAAGTGTTACGGCGTTCAGGCTTAGCGTTCGGGCTTTATCGGGCAAACTCTACCGACCTTGGCCTCATTAGACTTGATACTGATCCCAACCCGGAGCTGGGAACCCTCGCGAGTCAAGACAGGCGACCCCGCGCGCCGCGAGTGCAACCCGGGTTTAAAGTTCATCTTGCTGGCTGATGGTATGCTGGGGTGCCAGCGGTGGTGGTGTAGAGAATCCGCGGCGACGCAGGGGAGCCATGATGGCGGCGGCCGCGAGACTGTGGCTGTCCTGCGCTCCCTAAAGCCACCCTGATGGCGAAGTGACGCCGCTGGGTTAATACCATCCCCGCCCGGTGTCGCGCAGATAGACGTCTCGGGCCATTAAGCTTTGTGTTTCCTTGCCGGCTGCGCTATCAGCACTCGTGGATTGGCCAAGCCGACGCGCGCATTACGCGGCCATATTACCGTTGTCTAGAACTTGGGCATGCCAGGTCAGGGGCCCGGCGCCGGCCTCGAAACGGCACGGGGAGCTGCGGGGAACGATAAACAAGGCCGGTTGAGCGCTTTGCATGTAAAGCGGGTGAAAAAAAAAAACGTAGAGCGGGCAAAAATAGGTTCGAGGGTCTCCCTGCAACAGCCAACGCAACCCAGCGCGTGGGCCCGCGTATGAACTTGGACGGGCTCGCCCCCTGTCCGCCTTGGCCCTTTTTCCTTCTTCTGTATACCACCTTTCGCGCGCAGCGAGAGAGATGCGGCGATCCGCTGTTGCCTCCAGCTCCCTCCCGTGGCCGCCGCTATCCCGCCAGGTCCCCGACGGCGCCCTTGATGCGCAATGTCACAGGCGGCTCGGCCGCCGCCGCCGGGCGTTGTGCCAGACCTTGAGCACCCGGAAGACGTCCTGCACACCGTCAACATCGTGACCCAGATTCTTTCGCTCTTCTTCGTTTCCAGCTTTACGCTGATGAGGCTATACGCCAAGACTGTCATCTCGCCTCCCTTGTACCTCGACGACTGTACGTGCCCCAACGCAACCGTGGCGCGGCCGACTGCTAACTGAGCTGCACGCAGGGGTTTCCATTCCCGCCTTGGTATGCACCGTGGCCCGTTGGTGTCGACACCGCTGACCTGAGCAGTTGCTATCTATAAGCTACGCCGCCACCGGGCTCGTCAGTAAGTGCGCCGGACCCCCACCCCCGATCAGAGCGCCCCGGGCTGACAGAAACAGTGGCCCAGCACGGTGGAGGTTACCACGTGTGGGAGATTACGGCCAACGACCTGATGGGCTTCAACAAAGTAAGTATGCCGTCCCCGCGGCCCCGGGCCGGAGCTGACCTCCTTTCTGGGTTTATACGCCGACACGCTCGTGTACGGGCCAAACTCCTTCTTCACCAAGATCACCCTGATCCTCATGGTCACGAGGGTGTTTGCCACCAGCCGCAAGACGGTTATAGTGGGGCACGTCTTCATAGTCCTGATGCTGTGCTACTACCTGCCCGTGCTCATCATCAAGGCCCAGATCTGCAGGCCCATCGAGGGCTTCTGGGATGAGGCGGTACGGTCAAGCTGCTTCAACCAGCGCGCCGTCTTCGTGGCCGATACCGTCATGAGCGCCCTGTCCGACACGGCGGTGCTGTGCCTCCCGATCCCGCTGGTGCTGACGCTGCGTATGACGTGGAAGAAGCGGCTGCGGGTGCTGGTGATGCTGAGCGCGGGCGGCGTCGCCACGGCGTTTAGCATCGCGCGCCTAGTGCTGGTGTTCCAGCTGCAGGGCTCCAGCGACGACCCGGTCGATTTTGTCCGCTTTAATCTGTTGGGGTTTGTGCTATCCAGTTGGTGGTCCCTTGGTGTCCAGCGCCCCGCTAATAATAATAAAACGCTCCACAGCACGGCCGAGATCAGCATAGGCGTGATATGCGGCTGCTTCCCGGCCGTCAACATCCTGATACGCCACGGGTGCCCGTCGCCGCAGTCGAGCGCGCGGCCGAGCTTGCCGGGCCCGTCGGGCCCCTCTGGCCCGGCCATCAAGTTCCTGTTCGGCAGCAGGCTCCGGACGCAGAGGCTGACCACCACGCGGCCCGCCGACATCGCCGTCGGGTCGAACACGATCCACGCGGGGGACCTCATCAGCCGCGCCGCCCGCGCCGACGCGAGCCAGACGTCAAGGGGGCCGACGCCGGCGTCCTGGAGCCGGCCGCGGATGCAGGCGCGCGGGAGCGAGCTGTCGTCGGGACTCTTCCGGCCGGAGCCGTCGGGGCTCTACCAGCCAGAGCCGGTCGCCAGCCCGCCGCACGGTCGTTATCAGGGGCGGAGAGGGAGCGCCTGTTCGTCCTCGGCCCTGGTCGCGCCCGAGACCCCAACGAGCCCGCCTCCGCCGCCGCCGCGCCGCTCGATGCGGCAGAACCAGAGGTGGGGGTCCGCCCCGATACCGCCGCGCTCGCCGGGCAGCCCAACGGTGCGGGAATCGAACTGCATCTTCCCCATCGAGAGGCGGCTGAGCTTCGCGGCGCAGCAGCCCGGGAAAGGGAGTGATGAGGGTTTCAGCCGGTCCGCGATGCCGTCGTCGACGACGGCGGACAGGTCGGGCGAGGTAGACGTCTGGTACGAGCTGGTAACGAGCCCGACGTTTCACGGACTGGGTTGGGAGACTGACGTCGAGTTGCAGGCTGGACGCGATAGTAATTCTGGTGCGTAGTTGCGGATATGTAATACTAGGCGAGTTTGAACGCTAGAGCTACGACATGACGAGCAGATACAACATATAAAAAGTGACACCATCCAAAAAATGACAGATATTGAGGTGCTGATGCCCCCAGGCGGGATCGAACCGCCGACCTCATCATTACGTAAGGATACGAGTGACGCGCTCTACCACTGAGCTATACGGGCTGTCATGGTGGGTGGAGTAGACGCGGTCCTAATGTAGTCTCCACAGGCGGCTAGACGTGTGCACATGGAGGTTTTGCCCTGTTCGGCTTGGAAAGCCATAGGGAGTAACTACAAATCTGACCAGCGAGATAAAAACTGTGCCCCGGCAAGATGGCCGCTTGGGTGAAAGTCCCGTTGAGATATCTGCGATTCCACGCCACATCGTTCCATCACTGAAGGTATAGGCTCACCCCGAGGATATGGATATGCCGAACGCGGTTATGGTCTGCTGCTGCATACGGCATCTAGAAAAAACCGAGAGCCAGTCTCATTGCCGCCCGGGCAAGCATGTTTACAAAAATCACGTTGTTGAAACGCGATGCAACCACCAAGATTGAGTTTTCAAGTCTCCGAGAACCCCCGAGTTCCCAGTTGTCCGAAAGCTTGCATGACATGGCATCCTTGCAAGCTCACCCTCTTTGTCACAACCATCCCACCAACCACCACACCACACCACCATACCACCACACCACTACACCACTACACCCCCACACGCACCACCACATATCCCTACGCCCAGGCACCCACCAGGCTCATCCCGACAGCTCCAAACAACACCAGCAGGCAGGCGGCCACGCGGCGACGGCCACGCAGCACGCGCCAGCTCTCGTCGCTCAGAAAGTCCTCGGACAGCAGCTCGACGAGCGAGGCAAAGACGAGCAGGCCCGACGAGATGGCGTTCATGGTGCCGACCAGCACGAGGCCGAACTCGGAGCCGGGGTTGTACAGCGTGTGGGTCGCGATGCCGATGGCCTGGCCGATGGGGGTGCTGTTGAGGAGGAGGTCAGTGCTCTATATATGCTTTGCAAAGGCGGGATGGAGACACAAACGTACGTGCACCCGTAGGCCAGCGACATCAGCCACGGCTGCCACGACCCCTTTGGCCAGGCGATGGCGGCGATGCGCGAGCCGAGCGCCAGGCCCTCGAACATCTGGTGGAACGAGATGGCGACCAGCAGGATGGTGAACTTGTGCCCGACCGACACACTCAGCGTCATGCCGATGAAGACGCTGTGGAACAGGATGCCGACCTCGAGCATCATGCACTGCAGGATGTCCTTTTGGTGCTTCTGCTGCGGTGTCAGCTGCGGTGTCAGCTGCGTGGGGCCGGGCAGGTGCTGCTGCCGCTCCTCGTCGAGCGCGGCGCCTTCTTTTTCGGCGCCGGCCGCGCGCGCGGGCTCCGCCGGGGTGATGTCGCCGGCCACGCCGCGCACGTTGGACAGGCGGCGGCCGAGCGTCACGGTGCCGTCGGCGGCCGGGGCGTCGTTGCTGGCCGGAGACGGCGCGGCGGACATGCACCCGCCAGCACCACCACCACCACCGCCCGGCGTCATGTGGCGGGCGGGCTGCAGGGCCATCTCGATGACCGTCACGAAGAACACGCCGGCGAGCGCGATGGCGCCCGGCATGGCCGGGTAGTCATTCACCCAGAAGCTGGACAGGCACGGGTCGGACAGCAAGCTAAAGGCGGTGGGCAGCAGGTGCACAAAGGCGGTGGCGAGCAGCACGCCGGTGCCAAAGTGGCGGACGGTGAAGAAGAAGGCCGGCGGCACGCGCAGGCGCGGCGGCAGGGCGCGCGCCAGCAGCGGGAAGGCGGCGGCCGAGAAAGACACGACCAGCACGATTACGAGGGCCCCCACGTGCAGCGGCGTGTTGTACTCGTCCTCGGACCCCAGCCCGTCGGTCGGGCAGGTCGAGCGGCGGTCCAGGGCGCGGGAGGCTGGGGAAGCCGGGGCTTGGCGGTGGCCATGGTGGGCTGCAGGGCGGGTGGGCCGAGTCAGCCAGCGCCGACGCACGTCAGCGGCCACCCCCCATCGGGACGGGGGTGGCCAATCGGGACGGGCGGGGGACGCCACCGACACCAAGGACATGCCCTCGGGACCAAAAGGTGCAGGACGTGGGGAACGCAGACTCACCAGCGCGGGCCGGGTTTCCAGCCAGGTGGTACGAGGCCAGCAGCTCGGGGGTGCGCAGGCCGGACAGGAGGGCGGAGCAGGCGAGGACCGAGGCGACCCAGAGCAGCCAGTCTCGCGTGGACGAGGCGCGGGGCGCGGTGGTGGTGGACGAGAGTGAGAGGCCTTCACCGCCAGTCACTCTCTCGCGGGGATGGGGTCCTGGAGGGAGTTAGCCCAGAGCACCTAGACCTAGGTGGCGAGCAAGAGCGATAGACTCACCATGGACGGACCACCACCCCCAGGCACAGACGCCGCGGTCGGGCTGCAGCGGCGGCAGGGTAAAGTAGCCCTTTTGGTCGAGCCCTCCGCCGCCCGCCCCGGTGCCGGCGCCGGCGCCGTCGCTGCCCTTGCGGTGGACGCGGGCGTTGGCGATGCCGTTGAGATCCTGACAGGTGGTGAGGTCGGGCGACAGGAAGGGCGGGCTTTGATTCCAGTCGGGGTGCTCCTCGAGCGGCTCGTCGGTGCGGGAGGGGCAGTTCATTTTGATTGTTGTCTTGTTGATGTCGGATGAAGTGGTGTAAAAAAGGTCGACTTGGTCTCACTGACGTGCGAGCTTGCTGAAAGGAGGCCCAAGATGTATTTCATCATGGCTCGCTTCGGGCCAAGGGGCGGTCAGGAGGAGCAATGTGGGTCTGCCAAGATGCGCCGGCAGCGCCGTCTTCCGGGCCCGCCCGACAAAGGGACAGATCCGGCAGCGTAGCATCGGATCGGGGGTGGTTGACTGGTACCTAGCTAAGGATAATAGCTCTAGAGTGAGAGCACATGAGTCCGGAAGCTATCCAGGCTGTCCAGGCTGTCCGAAGCAGCTAACGCTAGGCTAGTCAAAACGTACTGTCACTCCGTTCATCGTGCCACCGCAATTTACGCAGTACAGCAAACCCTCAACCTCCAGTTCGTATTATTCCATGTCAGATTCCGGGGTCGTGGTCCCTGAAACGTCAGCCACCCTTGGCGACAGCGACAGCAGCCAGCGACGCGGGGCAGCCATGACAGACACGACATGTTTGCACAGGGCATTTGGCATTTGGCCTCGAGTTGAGAATAATATTACCAACGCTTACAGGCCTGGGCGCACCCAAAGCAGCAAACCAACCACGCTGCCGTTGTACCCAGAACAGAAATCAAGCGACAAATGAAAGCCTCCCAGAAGTGTGGTATCGTGAAGCCAGTTCCCCAAGTCTGGTCCGTCCCAGAACCCAGTAGATTGTCCCCAAGACCGAAAGGTGGGAATCATTAATGCCAAGGTGGTGACAAAAAGTCGTAAATCGGTGCAACAAAGAAAAAAAAAGACGCTAGAAAATTCCGCATCGAGCCTTCACCCGTCGTCGCCCCACCACCCCATCTCGACGCCGCCTGGTGCCGTGCCGCCGACGGCGCTGATGCGCACCGCCTTCATCCGTGGTATGGGCGAGTACGTCGCCGGCTCGGGCGCCGCGGCCCGCGACCGGCTGTGGTGGCGGTCCGACGACTCCGAATCGGCGTGGCTGTGACCTGACCGCCCCCGCTGGTGGTGGTGCGAGCGCGCGCTCCTAACCGACTGCGGCGATCGCTCGCGCTGCTGGTGCTGCGCCAACACGGGTGGTGCGAGGCTCCGCGTGCTGTGTTGGCGTGACGGCGGCGACAGGCCAGCCTCGTGCGGCAGCGGCAGCGGCAGCGGCTGGGCCTGCTTCTTCTGCGCCTGGCGCTGAGCCGCGGCGCGCCGGTAGGCCTTTGACGACTCGACGCGCTCGAGCGGCGCCAGGCGGTCCTCGGCGGTCGCGGGCAGCGTCGACTGGCGGCCCGGCACGGGGAAGGCGGCCGTGATGTCGTCCGCCTCGTCCAGCAGGTCGTCGAACTCTTCCAGGATGCTGCGCGTCGGGGCAGCCGCCGCCGCCGCGTCGAGGATCATGCGGCCCTTGGCGGCGGCTGATGCGAACGCGGCCGTCAGCGGCGACAAGGGCGACGCCGGCCTGTCGTGCCCGCTTGACGTGGGGGACGCCGCACACCGCCTGGACTGCTGTTGTTGGTGCTGGTGCTGGTGCTGGTGCTGCGACGAGCTCGACGACAGCCTGTGGCGGTGGCCCGGGCGCGGCGACAGCGCCACGGATATGTTGCTGGCGCTGGACCGGCCGCGGTGGTGGCCGCGCGAGGCCGTGCTGCCGCCGACGGTGGCGCGCGAGATGCGCCCGCTGTTGACGCCCGGCGCGGGCGGGCTGGCGCGGGACTCGGCGCGCGAGCTGGTGCGCGACTCCGTGACGGAGCTTTCGTACTCGGCCAGGATGCTCTCGCGCATGCGCGCGCGCTTGAGCCGCAGCGCCGCGAGGAGGAGCTCCTCCTGCCGCGTCACGGCCATGTAACGTGACGATGGCGTCTCGGGTTGTGTGTTTTCGGTGGTTGTCGTTGTGGTGGTGACGGTGGTGGTGGTGCGCGTGGGGGGTTTGGGCTGGGGCGCGTGGTCGACTTGCGCCAGTGCGTGCTCGCTGCGCTCTTCCTCCAGCGGCGCCTCCAAGCTGAGGGCCGACGAATTGTGCTGCGGGCGCAGGTAAAAGTCGACCGAGGCCGTCGACGACTGGTGCCGGTGCGTCGGGCGCGTCGGGACCATGGCGATATTCTTGGTTTCTCGTACCGAGCCCGCCTTGGACTTTTGCCGCGCCGACGAGTGCACCGAAAGCCCGGCGGGAGGGCCGGCGGTGAAGATGCTGGCGATGCTGCTGTTGAGGGTGTTGATGGTAAGGTTGGACGTGGTCGACAGACGCGAGGGGGCCCGCGCCATGTTCTGCTTGACCGCCGCCGTGGCCGTGGCCGTGGCCGTGGCCAGGGAGCTGGTCCTCGGGTTGACCGTGGGCGGCGCGAGCGCCTGGGCGGCCGTCTTTGCCGCCTTGGCGTCGACGCCGTTGCCGCGCTTGGTGGCGGCCAGGGGCGTGGCCGCGCGCGGATTCCTCCTCGCCAGAGCCACGCTGGAGCGGGCGCCAGGCGGGAGCGGCGGCAGCTCGCTCGTGGGCGGGTCGCCGGGGCTCTCGGGCGGCGCCGAGCCCGATGGCCTGGACGTGGCGAACAGGTCGTCGTCCGAGTCGGACGAGAGCGACAGCACGCTGTTCTGCTTCAGGTCCATCTCGAACCCGCTCTGCGTCGTGCGCTTGCTGGCCTTGGACGTGCGCGTGTGCCGGCTCGACACGCTGGCCGAGCAGTCGCCGAGCCCGGCCGCCGCCAGCGCCTTGCTGCTTATCGAGCCGAAGCCCGGCGGCGCCGGCTGCTGCGGCGTGTGCACGGCCGTGTCGGGCGTCTCGGGCGTCTCGGTGCCACTGGCCCCGTCGCGCGGTGTCGACAGGTCCCCGCTCTCGGGCCTGGCCGTCGACCCCGACGCCACCGTGTCGGGCGATAGGTACCCCTGGCTGGACGGCGAGAAGGTCGATTTGGAGGCGTCCTCGGCCTGTGGCGGCGACAGCATGCCGCGGAACACCAGCTGTTGCTCGTAGTGGCTGTATAGGCTGTGCAGCGCGTTGGCCTGGCTCTGCGCGGCCTTGACGCCATTCTCCCCCGCGCTCCTGGACGTGTCCTCAACGCGCGAGTCCCTCCTCAGCGCGCTGCCGATCAGGTCCGCCATCGAGTTCCGGTGCTTGGGATCGACGAGTTTGGACTCGGCGCGTTGGCGGATCGGCGGCGGGTGCGACGCCTGCTCTTGCGCCGGCTGCTTATACTTCTCGCGGCCAATGACCGACGCCCTGCTCGACCTGCCGCCGCCCGGCAGGTTGGCCTGCGACGAGCGGTTGACGAGCCGCGGCACCATGTGCGACAGGTCCAGGCGCGCCGGCTTCTTCTTCCTCTCGGCCGCGGCGCCCGGCTGAATGGCGGGAATGCCCATGGCCATGGCCGACGACGACGTCTGCTGCGAGATGGACAGCGGCTGCTTGGACTTGTCGTAGTAGGACGCGATGGTCGAGCTGGACCCTCGCCGCCGCACGCTCGACGCGTCGTCAGCCACGTCTCCCGCCGCCTCGCCGCCGCCGCCAGCCCCGAGCGCCGCCAGCCGCCGGTCGAGCGCGCGCGGCATAACGCCCGACTCGGCCTCGTCCCTCCCCTCGCGGTCCTGCCCGCCCTCCTGTCTCCTCCTGGCGGCCCTGCCCTCGTCCGCCACGCTCTCGCCGTCTTCCGATATGCTGATGCTGATGCCCGAGTTGGACCAGGCGTCCCACGTGCCGCCGTCGACGTTGATGTCGGACGTGCCCAGGATGCGCTGGGCCTTGGTCAGCGACGTCAGCTGCTGCCGCGGCCCGGGTCCGCCGGGTGATGGGAGCGCCGGCGACAGCGGCTGCTTGGCCTTGGACCGCCGGCCGGGGATGGGGAAGTTGAACCGAGGCATGCCTGACCTGGTGTCTGGCTGGGCCGGATTCGCTGCGGTCGGTGCGGTCGTGTTGCGGTCGATCCCATGGGTGCCGTTACCTCGGTACCTCGTTGTTGCCTCGTTGGTTTTTTTGGGTGCCAGTCGCAACAGTCGTTTTTGCCTACGAGGCCTGTTTGCTGGCAGACGTCCTGTCGACCGACGTGCTGCCTCAGTGCTGCCTCAATGCTGCCTCGGTGCCTCGAGAAAGAACATGAATGAGTCGCACAGCGGGGGCTGCGCCGCAGAGACGGCGGCGAGGGTTCTCTTAACAGCAGGCTTGACACCAGACCATGCCACGGCAGCACAGGGTAGGGGTGTGGGCGGAACATGCACGCTACCCAGCGTGCGTGACGAGGCGGGGCGATGGGGGTAGTAAGGGTGGTGGTGGGGAGCGCCCCTGTCGACGAGTGCTAGAGGGTCGATGTGAAGCGGTGAGGCCGGCCGAGCTAGAGCGATCGAGCTATCAGTCAATGGCGTTGGCCATGTCGGATGGTGGCTCTGCCTGTTTCTGCCTGCTGGCTCTTTCTTCTCTACTGATCCCTGCTTGATGTCTGCCCATCTTGTTTCCTCTTCCTCCTCATATCCACGACACGCAAAACCCCCGACGAAAGCCCAACCAGAAAACCAAGTGCTATGCCCCGCCAATAATTCCCAGATCAAAATAGCGACGAACCGTGCTCGCTGGCGTCGATGAACCAGCACAGGGACAGGCTCGGTTGGGCCAGTCATGGGCACAGGGGTCCTGGTCAAGCACGACTGCTCTCCACCAGCGCGCCATTTCTAAAGAATGTATTGAATTAGGCATGAACGATCTTGTTTGTTTTTCTACATTAAATTTCTTTATATACATTAATACCCTAATTTTTGTGTTAGAATAGGCGAAGGGTTTGATATTTACATTTTTTTTTTCGTATTCTATTAGTCGGCTCCAGCGGCCATCAACCGGCTCGCTGTCATTTATGCTAGCATGGTCCTGTCAGCGCACCAGTCGACGACTCGCTCCAGTGTCTGTCCCAGGTAGCCCGTGGACGCTGTCACGCCCGTCCAGGGACATCCAGGCACGGCAGGTGGCCAGCCAGAGCTCCGTTGTGGACGCCGGGAAATAACGAAAATAACCGTAAAAAGCAACCTCCTACTGTTTGCCCTGACAGACCTACAAACAGCCTTTGGCTCTCTACCAGGCGCTAGGTCCGGTCAGACCACGCTGCAGACACCTGCCAACCGTCCACCACCCCTTTCGCGCCTAGCGCCGGGGAGTGGTAATGTCCGTTAGCCAAAGCGGTTGACCTCGCGCCCAGCCCCTGCCCCTGACCCCTGTCGGGCGGTTCATCCCCAGCAAACATTCTGATTACCTGCAGGTCGCAATGACGCTTGCCGGCACTTCGTGGGCCACCAGCACCCGCAGCGAGATTGCTGCAGATTCCTGGCTACAGGCGTCATCGCCAGTCCCATACATGCCCGCGACCCTCTCCGTAAATCTATGGTGGCGAGCCCGACGCGAGAGCTAGCATGTTGACGCGCCTTCAACTCTACGAGTGCGACGCTGCAAAAAGGCTGGCCGTCGACTGCGTCGCATCTGCGACTTGCACCGAAACCAGTGGCGGGGGGTCAGTGCTGAGGCCCCTGAGCCTCGACCTTGCCGGTGCCACCATGTTGCCGGACTCGTCTCTCGATGCACGCAAGGCGCCAAGGACGCCAATGACGAGCCGGATACCGAGGCACGTCCACATGCTCGGAGAGCCGAGTCGGTTGAGCTGCTGGCCATTGCTCGGCGGTGCTACTCATTGCTCTCATTGCGCTGCTCACTGCGCTGCTCATTGCTGCCACCCATCTGCTCATTCCTTATTGCTGCTGCTATTGCTGCTCACTACTGCTCATTGCTGCTCATTGCTTATTGCTCCCCTCCCAGAAAACGTCGACCCGGGTTCAGGCCGCCCTGAAACGTGGGGTCGGCTTCAGGATTGTGGGACAGCCTATGTGGCTGGACTGAGGCCGTCGTGATGCTATGGATGCACTGAATACCACCACGCCAACTACCAACACGGTCAAGGCTGTCCCAAGAATCTGCGATCGTGGTCCATCGACTTGGGACGATCCGGTTGTGGACCATCCCAACGCAAAAAAATCTAGAATACGGCCGGAGGAGGCATCTTCCCTGCAGACGGCCTTGCCCAGTGCGGAAGGTATATGGAGCAGAATTTTCGGTCTTGGCCGTAGGTATAACACGCCCGCTAAGCCCACAGCCCGTTGCGATTGGTCCCGGCCAGCCGCTATATTCCGTCCCGAATATGGCGCTCTCCGACCTCCTGTGAGACTGTCTTCGGCAGTCTCGTTGTGGCCATGTTCCGCTTCGTCCACCATCCAGCCCACTTGCGGGGGGTCTGTCAAGCGGGCTGCCCAGAGCGGGCTGTTCAGAGGGCCCAACGCAAAAAGGGCTGGCCCATCTCGTCCAAGCACTCCACGAGTCCGCCCTACTGCCAGCACCACGTCTCGCTAGCGGATGCCAACCCCCCCGGGGAGAGCGTAGTGTGTTGATACACGTGGCCGCGAGGTCCCTAGGTTAGGCTCCCCAGATGTCAGCTTAAAAACTTCGCCTAGCCACCCAGCCTGCAAGAAGCACGCGGCGTCTCAGCACGGACCCAGGCCAGGCTCAGCCGGCAATCAGCCGTAATTGACAGTCTGAACGTTGCGCGACCACACGTGCTGCCGCCTGCACGCCGGCGGAGCTGGCCATCTCGTTTACATGCCAGCTCCCGCGCGCATTTATTACGTTTTTTTTGTTTTGTTTTTTTGATTGCTTGATGCGCAGGCCTGTCGATGCCCACATGGTCCTGCCCTGCCATGACACGTGCTCGCGTCGGCGACTGAGGCGGCGGTGGCGGCGGCTGAGGTGGCCGTCGTTGGTAGCATCGATCGAGGCGTTTGTTTTTGGGCCGGACCAGCCCTAGCTCGCCTCGTCCTGCCGTCGTCGTTGTCTTTTTTTTTTTTTCGGCTTCCATCCTTCTGCGTCACATCGGATCATGCTGGCGGGCTAGCGCTGCACCGTCTGTTGCGTCCGAGCCCTATAGACTTTGCCTGCGACCGACGGTGTGGGCTGGCGTAGGCCTGTCGCCAGCTACCTAGTCGTCGCCCTCCGCTTTGGGCAGCTCCCCAGATCGATGGTCCCCTGTTGGACGTTTGGACGTCAGCCGAGTCACCTTCCACTTTGGCACTATCACACGGTCCGAGCACATATCTTAATGTCGCGGCGGCATCGCGGCATCTGCTGTCTATCTGCCACAACCGTGTTTCGATCCCACCCGGATGCCCAGATACGGGCCGCCATTTTCTGTTTGCCTTTTTCTTTTTGCCTTTTTCTGTTTGCATTCTCGCAAACCCCACCCTCAAGTGGGTGGCGTCCCCGCCAGTGACCGGAAGTGCTCGGTGCCGGCTGGGGTTGCGCCGGGTGTGGGCAGCTGAGAGAAATACCCGCCTACCAGCCTCGTCCTGCCCTTCACCGGGGCTCGAGACTCAGAGCATCCCCGCAGCCCGCGTTCCCCGCCGCCAAGCGCGCTTGCCGCCTCTTGTCAGTCTTGAAACACCCCGCTTCCCGATGCTCGTCCAGCCACGCGGGGTGAGACTGCCTGTCGGAGCGTCGCTCGCCGCGGCGGCCGTGATCACGCAGAGGGATTTGTTGCTAGGATTGTGGTTGTTGGTCGACTTGTTTGGACGTTTGCCGTTCCCGAGCAGTCTAGCCCGCTGATCAAGGTTATGCCTATCATTGCCGTGGTGCCGATAGCGGACGATTTCATCCGTTGTAGCCAGCCGGCGTTTCCATCCATTCTGTGGTTACCGACCGTTTTTATCCGTTCTGCTATGCCGGCTGATGTACTCGTGGGGTTGCCGTATCAAATTGCATCCTAGCATAAACATGCGTTGACAAGCCATTGACAAGTGGCAGGTTCATTGTGACTCCTAGACTATCCACTAACTATCAGTCAGTTCCCGCTGGCAGATCAGCACGTCATTCTCGCTGCCCTCCTGGGACCGGTGCATGCCGACGCTCGACTGCACCGCAAAGCTAAACCGCTCTAGGCACACGAGCAGCGTCAGCATCATCTCCCGCATGAGGACCTCGTTCGCCCTTGTAGGCGTCTAGCAGCGGTGCTTGAACCGGACGACAACGTAGTCGGACTGCACCTGGCTGGAGAGCACTAGGCTCGCGTACTCCCTGACTAGCTCCTCGACTAGCCCCTCGGGCATGGGCCCCACTATCTTGAGGGCGTCGTACTGGTCGAACGAGACGGCGATCCAGTTGTATAGCGGCGGCGGCGGGGCTAGCTCGTCCTTGCGGAAGTAGAGCGAGTCTGCGAGGAGCTGTTGGCAATGCTGAGGTCTCACAGGTCCATGGCACTCACCCCTGCTCATGCCCTGGCGGGCCGTCACGTCGAACGCGGCCTGCAGCACCCAGCCGCGCACCGACACCGACAGGCTGGAGGCGATATTGAGAAGCAGCCCGCGCGCCCGGACCTCGCCGTAGTAGCTGAGTGTCCACGGCGAGGCGCCCGCGATCTGGATCTCGCGGCACCGCGCGTAGGCCCGGCTCTCGCCTGCGACCCGGTACAGGGTCTGCGCCGCCGCCTCGACCGCCTCGACGTCGGCCTGGGCAAAGTTGCTCAGCCGGGTGCGGTCGTGGCCGTGCAGCGTCACGCAAGCAAAGTAGCTGCGGCACGCCACCCTCTGGGACTCCTCGAACGAGGGCGGGGGCGGGCGTCGTCGCTCTGGGGCGAGAGGGAGTCGATGCTGGGAGGGCCGATGCTCGAAGGGCCGATGCTGGAAAGGGAGCTGATGCTTTGTAGTTGTGACTCTTCAAAGGACGGCGGAGCTAGTCTATCGGGGATCTGGATCTGGAGTGTGGCTTCCTGGACTGATGGCTGGGCTGATGCTTGGGCTGACAGCTGGGCGGGTGGCTGGGCTAACCCCTGAACTGACGGGCTCGTGGATCGCGAGACCCGGTGTCTGCGAAAAGGGTTATGCATCTTGTTCGATGCCAAAGCTTGACAGAAACCTCATTCCTGCGCAGGCATCGTGGTCTTTTATCGTCCGTCTCGGACTCGCCGTGGTCGGCAAAATATGCCCCCAGCCGTCGGCCAAGTAGACCCATCGCCGAATCTGCCGCCGCACTCGCTCACGGTCAGCCCGCCAGGTCATGCTCTTTCGCACTACAGCTGTTGACCACCGAGTGAATGATATTGGACCGCAGCCATCCTTGGTATTGTGTGCGCCCTGCCAAGGCTGTGTCAAAGCACGAAGGATTTAGTGTCTTTGGCATATCTTGATATACGGCCTTTACGTTATCTGGAAAACTCGCCATTTGGCTGTCTGCATTCTCTCTACGTCACTCACAGCAGTAACAAGGAGGCAAGCGATGCCGCAATCTCTATTCAAGTCGAAGCTACTGCCTAGCTAAGCCCTTCAACTCGCACCAGCTGCCTGTACGCATCCCCAAACGTCTCCGTCAGCGGCCGGTACCTGATACCGAGCACCTCGACCGCCCGCCCCCCGTCGACGGTGTACGTCTCGGGCCAGCTGCCCGGCGTGCCCTCAGGGATCCTGCCGCGCAGCTCGGGCACGGCCTCGCGCGACGCGTCAGCGGCCCGCTGCCAGTTGAAAGCGTGCGAGAGGATGAAGCGCCTCCCGCCGGCGGCCGGCGTCTCGAGCGCCGCCAGGTGCGCGTCGGCCACGTCGCGCACGTCGGCGCACCCGCAAAAGTCCGGGTCCTGCACCTTGTCGGACCCCAGCACCGCGTACACGGCCTTGGACGATTCGCCCAGCTGCTCGATGCCGGCCGGGTCCGTGACGTACGGCCCAAAGATCCAGGCCGGGTTCAGCGACACGAGGTCAAAGGCGACGGAAGGGTGCTCCTTCATCCAGTCCCACATGGCGCGCTCGGCAAAGGCCTTGGAGGCGCAGTAGGCAAAAGAGCCGTTGGTGGTCGCGGCGGCCTCGTCCCACGTGGCTGGGTTCCAGTCGGCCTCGGTGAACACGCGGCCGGGCTGGTAGTCGGGAGCGCCAAAGTTGCCGACGGCGGCGAAGCTCGACGTGAAGACGACACGCTTGAGGGCGGACGTGCCGAACCGGCCGGCCGCTTCGAGCACGGCGACGGCGCCCTTGACGGCCGGGTCGAGCAGGTCCTTGACGTTGTCCTTGGGGGCGAGCACGAACGGCGACGCGGTGTGGATGATGGCCGTGACGCCGTCGAGCTTGCCCTCGTACGCGTCCGCCGTGCTGATGTCGGGGATGACGACGTACGACAGGCCGGCGTCGGCGAACTGGGCCTTGGTTTTGGTGCCTGAGGCCTCGGTCCGGACCACGGCGCGGACCGAATAGCCGCGGGCGAGGGCCTCGCGGATGATGTGGCCGCCGACGTAGCCGCTGGCGCCGGTGAGGAGGATGGTTTTGGTCATGGTGTGTGTGGCGGTGGTGTCTTGGTGTGGTGTCTTGGTGTCTTGTATGTTTTGGAGTCGATGAGAACGACGATGAGGTGGGTGATGCCTCCTTAAATATTCACACCCCTGGCGTTATCGCCGTCGGCCATAAGGTAACATTCACCACTCCCAACCTTCCCTACAAGCCTAGCGGCTGACATTGCTACTGCCTACTTGCTCTTGCTATCCTCGCTCTTGCTGCCCCCGGATAATATCGTGACGCGCCGGCACCTCGTTCAAAATTCCTAAAACGGGGTGGGCCCCACAGCTTGCTGACATGGCGCCGTACATATCGCCGATGCCTTAACACCGTCACGATGCAACTCTCATGCAAATGCAGCCGACAATATGCATCTGGCTGATTAATGGGATGCTTGATGCGTCTATTCTAGACTAGCTACTCGTAGTACACCTCGTTGATCAACGTGCCTGTGGCAGTCAGCGGGAGTCAGTGGCAGTCAACAGCCAGCAAACAGCTAGGACTTACCAATGCCATCAATGTACACGCGCATGTCGTCGCCGTGCTTCAGCCACACGCGCGGCTTGCGCATGGCGCCGACGCCGGGCGGGGTGCCCAGCATGATGACGGTGCCGCGCTCCAGGGTCGTGCCCTGCGAGAGGAAGGCGATGGTCTTGGCGACCGAAAATATCATCTCACTGCGGGGGTCAGCGGCGCCTGCAGACCACGTTGGCTGAGCTTACCGAGTGTGCGAGTCCTGAACCGTCTGGCCGCCCAGGGTCGACTTGATGGCCACGTTGTGCGGGTCCATCTCCGAGGCCGCTATCAGAATGGGGCCGATGGGGGCCGAGGCGTCCAGGCCCTTGGAGAAGCACCACTGGCTGTTGCGGAACTGCTCCGTCCTGGCGCTGACGTCGTTGCCGGCCGTGTAGCCCAGCACGTACTCCATGGCCTTGTCCTCGGGGATGTCGCGGCCGTCCTTGGCGATGACGAGCGTCAGTTCCGCCTCGTAGTCGGTCGTCTCGTCCTGCACAAACTTGGGGATCGAGATCTTTTGCGGGTACGGGCCGCTGAGCGCGGTGCGCGGCTTGATGAAGAGGACCGGGTGCTCAGGCACCGGCATGTTGGCCTCCTTGGCGTGGTCGTGGTAGTTGAGCCCGAGGCAGCGAATGAGGGGGACTTCGGACCTGTCGAGTGGGGAGAGCAGCTGTTGCCGTCAGCGAGGAGAGGAGACCGAGGCAGGGCAGGAAGCGACGCACCTGCGACACGGTCAGGACCTTGTCGGTCACGACGCCGTCGAATACAGAGCCCGTGATGACCTTGGCCTGCACCGTCTTCTTCTCAAACGTCGCGAGGCCAACGTCGATCCCGGCGTCGACCTCGCCCAGGTGGACGAGGCCGTCCTCGACGGCGATGAAGCGGATCAAACGGGTCCAGCTGGCCATTGTGAGTTGTTGGTGATGAGGAAAAATCTCGAGGACGGCCGCTGCTCCTTTCAGCTACGGGCTGCCCTATATTGGGGTGCTGCGGGGGATAGAGCCACCGCCGGCAAATCAGCCCGAGCTTCGGAGTCGTCATGCCGATGTTGGTGCAAGCAGACCCATCAAGCAGTTGACCCATCATGACATTTGCTTACAGAACCGCATTACTCGGGTTCGCGGGGCTCGGCGGGGTAGCATGACGTCGATTCTATCTGCTAAAAACGAGAACGAGCTGGATCACGCCAAGAAACGCCTGCGCTACGAAGCCAACCATGGCCGACCACAGCAGCGACACGCACCCGTACAGCACCATGGCCGCCACCGTACACAGACACACGACGACCGAGAACCCCCAGACGAGGTGCTTGGCCTCGGCCGGCAGGGCGCTGCGGAATTTGTCGGGAGACGCGAGCGGCGCCACGAGCTGGACCAGCAGCCCCAGCAGCTGTAGCACCGCGCTGGCCACGAGCGCCCAAAAGTCCGCGTCGAACCAGCCGCCGCGCGCGTCCTCGAGCCGGTAGAACCCCACGCACGCCGGCAGCATCGCCAGCAAAGTCACCGCCATCGACAGCCCCATCAGCGCCGCCATGGACGCGCCCTGTGTTTCCGCGACCACCACTTGGGTTTCCTGGGCCTGAGGCTCTTCATCTCGGGGTCTGGCTCGTCAACATCGTCAGCGTCGTTAGCGTCGTCGGCGTCGTCAGCGTCGTCGGCACCAGCATTCTAGATACACTTACCGCCACACATCCTCCGGGTCCGTCAGCCGCTGGTTCTCTACACCACCCAGCCGCGAGTCCTTGTCCTTGACCAGCGTCCAGGCCTCAAAGTAGTGCGCCTCCTCGAGGGCGGTCAGGCGCCGCCTCAGCGCGTCCAGCATCTCCTGGTCTAGCAGCGTGGGCTCCTCGTCGGCGGCCACGGCGGCGCGCACGCGGTCGCGGAGCACCACGGCGCGCTCGACGACCTTTGCGAGGCGCAGCTCGGCCGACTGCAGGTTGGCGACTACGAGCGACAGGTACTCGCCCTGCGTCTCGGGCGCCTGCTCCAGCAGCATCCCCAGCGACAGCTCAAAGGCGCCGGCCAGGTCCTCGCGCATGCGGCTGTGCACAATGTGCTGCTCGTTGAGCTCGGCGATGCGGCCCAGCAGCATGCGCGGCCAGAACTTGGCCGCGTTGGTCTCGCGCAGGATCGAGCCCAGCTGCCGCTCCGTCAGCTCGCCGAGCGTGTCGTAGTCGTCATCTCCGTCCACGTCGATCCCCGAGGCTTGCTTGGCCGAGAGCTCCTTGTCGAGCCAGTCCGAGACGGGGTGGATGCCCTCGTACCGCCGGCGGAAGTGGTGCTGGATGTTTGCGCGCTGGCTGTCGGACGACGTGTCCTTGGTCAGGAAGAGCGTCGTCTCGAGGTCGAGCTTGAGCACGCAGTCGACGATGCGTCTCAGCTGCTGCAGGCCTTTTCTGTGGCGCGGATCTGGGGCTGTTAGTTCCTGTCGAAACTGGGCCGAGTTGGCGATACAAATGTTCTGCAGCGCATCGGCCCGTCTCGCGCCCGTTCGCCTGCGCAGGCTGACGTTGGCTATTTTGGACGGAGCATCCTGCATATCGTCAAAGGTTTGTGTTGCGGAAGTCATTGTGCAAGTGGTTTGATATTGCGTACTTCATGTTTCCTGAGGGACGCGTGGCTTTATGCGACATCCTCCGCAGGCCTCCGGCACCGGACTGGTGCCCGGCTCAGCCTCACTTGACAGCTAGTGTCAGACACCCATACTGAAGCCTGGCCAGTCACCGCTGCTCCTGCCAGCCACCATCGTTTCGCTAGGCACACCGAGCACGCCTCACTTTCGACACGCCTCACGTGCCGACCAATATACTTTGACTATCGCACTGCGCACGCCTGCACCATCAGAGGCGGCTTATCCCAAAGGGTATACACCTCGCAACGCTCAGCCCAGTCGGCCGACTGCGGGAGCAGCTCAAGGTCGAAATGCCAGAGCACCTTGGCCATGAGAAGACGCATCTCGTGGTATGCCAGACTGAGCTGTCAGCCAGGCTCGATAAGCGGCAGGGATACGTACCTCTGTCCAATGCAGTTCAGCGGCCCGATCGAAAAGGGCTCATAGGCCTCCTTCTTGTCGCGAAATCCTGAGCCGGGGAGCCACCGTTCTGGGAGAAACGAGTCCGGCTCCTCAAAGTTTGCGGGCGAGTGGTAGGCGGCGTAGTGGTAGATACCGACATGGGTCTAGCGGATGACAGGCGTCAGCAGACGGCTACGCCACAGGTCTACGCCTGGCGGGGCACCTACACCCCCAGGAACAAAATCTCCACAGACGATGCCACCCTCCCGGGGCACAACACGCGGGCCGGAAGTGGGCAGAGGTGGAAAAACGCGCAGGCCCTCGCTAATACATGCGTTCAGATATTCCATCTGCGCCAGCGCCTCCAGCGTCATGTCGTCCTCCGACCCGAAAGAACGGATCTCCCGCACGAGGCGGTGCATGCGCTGGGGGCCCCGGAGCAGCAGGTAGGTCAGCGCGCTCAGCAGGGTCGCCGACGTCTCGGAACCGGCCAGCACAAAGGCCGCGGCGTTGCTGTACATCTCGTGGCGCGTGAGCGGCGCCTTTTCGTCGGCCAGCACCAGGTTCCACAGGTCCGGCCGGTCCGACGGCCGGTCCAGGCGCGCGTCGACGCGGTCGCGCACGAAGCGCATGTGCGAGTCCATGAGCCGCCGGAAAGACGCGGGCAGGAGGTGGCGTTTTATGAAGCGCGCGGCGCGGCCGAGGCGGGCTGCCGGGAAGGCGACGAAGACCATGCTCTTGAAGGAGCTGAAGACGTTGGCCACCCACGGCACGTATCTACCATCGGCCAGCATGCCCAGCGACTCGCCAAACACAATCTCGGTCGTAATGTCAAACGTAGCAAAGTTGAAGACGCGCACCGCGTCGATGGCGCCGGCCTCGGAGTCGGCCCTAATGCGCGCCACCAACGCGTCGGCGTGGCGTGCCAGCATGCTGGCCTGGCGGCGCAGGGCCTGCTCGGAGAAGGCGGGACTGAAAATGCGGCGCAGGCGGGCGTGCTCGGCGCCGTCTCTGTGCGTGGCCATGCTACGCACACCCTTGGAGTTGATGCTGTCGAGGCCGTCGGTCCACCAGGGATCCCGGGGGAAGGAGTGGGCGCGCGGGTTGGCGCCGCGCCCGCGTCCGCCGTAGATGTCGGCCCAGGCCTCGGCGGACGTGAAGCTGAGACGCTCGGGGCCCAGCCGCACCGTCGGGCCGTAGCGCGCGTGCTGCCGACAGATCCAGGGGATCAGCTGGCCCCTGCACTCGATGGCGTAGTAGACCAGGTGCGTGGTCTTTGCGTACCATGGGCCGGGGTACTTTGCGAGGGGGTGCAGCCACGCGTAGTAGGCGGCACGGAGGACGAACTGCGATTTTAGCGGAGCACTATCGTCGAGAACATGGGACTTACCAGGCCAACCGCAGTCGACAGGAGCACCTGTGACAGAAACACTGCACTAAGAAAATCCATGGTTGAGGCTGTCTAGGTTGACTACCAGTTAGCTACAGAGAAGAGCAGGAAGAGCAAAACAGCCGCCTTTATAACCGTCCGACTTCCCGTCCGACACCCGTCTGGCTATCCCACACCCCAGATCGGCGCTGCTGACATACGCAACGTGCAGCTGACCACTAGAATGCGACAACCGTTGCAGTGCATGCAGTCTGCCGTCAACAGCACGAGCTCGAGGACCCCCCGCCGCTGTCACACCCTCCAGAGCTGCTAGAGCTGCACCCCGTGTCCCCCGAGTAGACGGAGTGGGATGTGCCGCTGGAGCTGTAGGAGCTGCGGCTGGGCCGGCTCGACGAGTAGCTAGAGGATGTGGCGGGTTTCGCCTTGCGCCGCGGCGCGCTGACGGGTGCCAACGGCTGCGACCCGAGCTTTACTTCGTCTTCAGGAACGGCTGTCAGAGCGTGCTTCTCGGCTGGCGGCGGAGTCTCGGCCGGCGGGCGCGTCTCGGCCAGCTTTTTGACGGCCATTTCCGAGACAGGCCCGGGAGTCTCCAGCATATTCTCGGCATCTCTGCCAGCAGACCTCGGCTGGCTCGCGGGCGCGCGCTTCCGCCAAACAGTCTGGTGTTTGTTAGCTCCGTGCCCTGCGGCTGAGGTGGTGGTGCTTACCGAGAGGTTGCAGCCCATTTTGTCGTTTGTGATGGTGAAGCAATCTGTGATGGTGATGAAGCGAATGCTGGTAAAACGAATACCAGACATCATCACCACGGCCAGCGTCATTTTATACTGGTTTACAGCCCATTGTCGGATGTAGATGCCACTCGGTGTGATTTTGGGGCTCATGTGCAGCTGCAGACAGCGATCACTAACCAAAACCGAGACCGAAAACTGGAAAACATGCAAGGCAGAAATGGCAAGGCGACACGTGCTAATGTTCATTACTACTCGAGCGCTCGGTCAAGCCTGGTTCGGTTAAGCCTCACTCGACCAGACCGAGGGCATATTCGGAATACACAGCCACCAACGCCAAGACCAGCTGAACCGCAAACCCACTGATCAACTGCCAACGCACTCACTCCTGGCCATCACAGCAGCGCAACAAGCACCCCGCCGAGCGCAGCAGCAAGACCCGCAGTCGCACCACCCGCCGCGGCCCCTCCTGCAGGCGCCGACGTCGTCCCCGCACCGCGCGACGTCGAGCTGGCGGTTGTCGGGCCGGCGCTAGTGACGGTCGAGTTGCCCGTGGTCGACATCGTCGTGGGCGTCACGGGCAAGATGCTGAAGTCGCTGGGCGTCGGCACGTCGCTCGGGCGCGGCGACGGCCTGCCGGTGGCGACGGGGACGGAGCTGGCGCCGGCCACTACGTCCTCGCAGTACTTGTAGGTCCCGGGAAGAACTTGGGCTGCGGGGGTCAGCGGGGGCCTTGTAGACGGAGCAGCATACATACTTATAGCGGTGTCGCTCCCGCAGGCCTGCAGCACGCAGGCGTTGCCGCTGTTGTAGATGGCCTCAAAGTTGGGGCGGTCGCAGATGCACTTGCCGTCGAGCGGCTGGCACTTGGTGGCCGAAGTCACGGCCTCCTGCAGGCACTTGAACGAGCACGTCGGCACATATTTGGTGATGTCCTGGGCCAGGACGAGCGTGGCCGCGGCGAGGAGGATGGCGGCCTTCATTTTGCAGGTGGCTGGTGAGGAGGGTTGACAGGTGAGAGGCATATGCAGCGGGCGTGACATTTATCAGTGCCGAAACCATCACCCCCGACGCGCTCCCCACCGAGCTAACCCCTCCAGGAAGGTCTCATACTGCGGTGTCGCTGAGCGTATTAGCCAGGGGCACTATTGCCTCACTAACGGATGGCGCGGCAGCAACGATCCTGAAGCGAGCACATGCATGCCCCTCTTTTGCCGGTGGGACGACAGGCACTTGGACACCAGTTGACAGGCGGGCCTGATTGGTGGGATGAATTTATCAGATGATCAGATAAAACCCTCAGTGGGGGGTCGCATAGCCAACGGAGCACCTCGGCCTCGGCCTCGACCGTCTTGGGAATGACAGAGCTTGGATCTGATAAGCGCGGTGTTCGCCGACTCGGGCCAAGTCATCTATATCCATGTGGTTCACCTCAGACCTGGTATCATGGCCAACGAGACGCCCGACACGCGCGGCGCTGCCGACATTGAAAAGATAGAAAATTCCTCCCAGACCAGACAGGCTTCACTCCCAGATGACTCGCCACAAAAGCCAGACAGCGTCTCGGCCGACGCGCAGGTCGGCGTCCAGGCCGTCGAGGCCACCACCATCGTTTGGGGCAAGTGGCACTTGGTCGGGGCCTACGGCATGTAAGTCTCCCGCGCCGCCGCAAAGACCCGGCTGACAGGACAGAATATGGCTCATCTACTTCATCACGTCGACGCAAGAGGTTGTCCTCCGCACGGTGCAGCCCTTTATCACGAGCACCTTTTCAGCGCACCCGCTGACGGCCACGACGACGGTCATGTCGAGCATCTTTGGCGGCCTGTCCAAGCTCGTCATCGCCAAGATCCTCGACACCTGGGGGCGGCCGCAGGGGCTGACGCTGACGCTGGCCATCTGGGTTGTTGGGATTGCAATGATGGCGGCGTCCAGGGGCGTCGAGATGTACGCGACGGCCATGGTGTTTTCGACGGTCGGGTATGTCGTTCCGAGCCTGTCTGCAGACACGTTCCGCGCCTGTCCATAAACACGTCTGACCCCCAACAGTGCCCAGGGCGTCAGCTACTGCCTCACCGTCTTCATCGCCGACACGTCGTCCCTTCGCAACCGCGGCCTGATGCTCGCCTTTGCCACGTCGCCCTACATCGTCACGACCTGGCTCGGCGGCCCCTGGGCCGACTCGGTGCTGGCCGGCCCGGGCTGGCGCTGGGGCGTCGGCACCTTTGCCATCCTGACCCCCGCCGTCGTCCTGCCGCTGTCGGGCCTCTTCCTCTGGAACCAGCGCCGCGCCCGCCGCTTCGGCCTCATCCCGCCCCGCAGCCGCCGACTGCCCGGCCTCGCCGACGTGCGCACCTACTGCGTCGACGTCGACCTGCTCGGCATCCTGCTGCTGGCCGCCGGCATGGCGCTGACGCTGCTGGCGCTCAACATATACCAGCTCCAGGCCGAGCGCTGGCGGTCGCCGCTCATCGTCTCGTTCCTGGTCTGCGGGCCGCTGCTGCTCGCCGCGTTTGCCGTCTGGGAGGCGCGCTGGGCGCCCGTCAAGTTCATCCCGATGCACCTGCTGACGGACCGCACCGTCTTCTTTGCGGGCGTGACGGTGCTCTTTGTCTTTTTCTCGTCGGCCGTGTGGGGCAGCTGGTTCACGTCGATGCTGCTGGTGGCCTTTAACCAGCGCGTGTCGACGACGACGTACATCACCAACATCTACCGCACCGGCTCGTGCCTGTCGGCGCTGGCCATCGGCTACCTGATCCGGCGCTCGGGCCGGTTCCGCTGGGTGGCGCTGTGGTTCGCGCTGCCGCTGACGATGCTCGGGGTCGGGCTGATGATACGCTTCCGCACGCCCGAGGCGGCCGACTCGGTGGGCGGCGTGGTGGCGACGCAGGTGCTGGTCGCGCTGGCGGGCGGGCCGCTCGTGGTGGCGGCCGAGATGGCCATGATGGCGCCGCTGGACCACCAGCACGTCGCGGCCATCATCGCCATCCTGGACCTGTTTGGCGGGCTCGGCACCGCGCTCGGCTCGACCGTCGCGACCGCCATCTGGGCCGCCGTGTTCCCGGGCGCGCTGGCCCGCCGCCTGCCCGCCGCCATGCTGCCGTCGGCCGACCGCATCTACAGCAGCATCTACTTCCAGCTGGGCTACCCCTGGGGGAGCCCGACGCGCATGGCCATCGCGTGGGCCTACGCCGACGCCCAGCAGTACATGCTCATAGCGAGCGTGTGCCTGCTTGCTGTCGCGTGGCTGGCCGTGTTGCCCTGGCGCGACATTCGGGTGGACGAGGTCAAGCAGACCAAGGGGAACGTGGTGTGACGGGGGGGTTAGGTCTGTGCATTTCCGTCTTGCCCTTTCGCCAATATATAGAGTTTACAGGGTTGTATCCTGGGTCCACCGCTACCTACGGTGATCACACCATCTTGTCGTTGGCTGCCGGATATGACCCTGGTCTGCGTGTTGGGGCTTGTCTGGCCAGGGTGTGGCAGGGGTAAATATGGTGAGCCCGTGCGGAGCTGGCGTGAATATGTATATGAGCGACACGGCGCCATTCCTGTAGGAGCTAGCTTACACACCATCAATCATCATCTCCTGGGTCTCCTCCTTGCCTTTTCCTTCCGTCATTTCCTTTGTCACAATGCACTACACCCCCGCCCAACTCATCGCCCTCGTCGCCCTCGCCATCCCAGCCACGGCCCTCCCGCTCGGACCATCCGCGAGCCTCCTGCTGCCGGGGGCTCGGGGCTCGGCGTTTGAAATCTTCAAGCGCGAGCCGGCCGAGGACTCCAAGCCGCACCAGTCGCCCAAGTCCGAATCGTACCCGATCTCACCCTGAGACCTTTCGTCCATCCGTCACGAGCGCAGCAAGACGACAAGACGGTCAAAACAGTGATGACGCCGAGGAACCCGAAATTTTCAAGCGCGAGCCTGCCGAGCAGAAATACCCGCTACCCATTTAGCGGGCTCCAGCCGTAAAGCAGTCGGCCGAGACGATATAATATTGGGATGGCGTTTTGGGTTTAGCGTTGGTTTAGCGTTGGTTTAGCGTTGGTTTTGCAATGGTTTTGCAATACTACGATATCATCATCTGCGTCCAGTTTGTGAAAGGTTGGTGTATTGTCTACGACCCATCTATCTAACCCACGCTCGAACTGTCATCCTAGCTACCGCGAGCTATAGCAGGGCGTCGCAGAGCATCGAGTTATCGCAGCTATCGTCCTGCCGCAGAGCTATCCCTTACTGGAACTTCTCGGTGCCCGGGACGATGGTGCCGTTACGGACAGCAGCAACGTGGGCGGCGGCAATGCGGCCGTAAGCCGGGTAGTACTTGTTCAGGTAGGGCAGGACCTCGAGGGCGCCCGGGGTCAGGCGCCAGTCGCGCATGAGGTCGCAGACGATGCTGAAGAGCGAGACGATCTGGACGCCGGCGCGGGCCATGCGGTCGTTGGAGACGTCGCGGATCAGCTCCGTGGTGGTGCCCGAGGCCTCGACGTTGGCCCAGACCGAGTAGCCGGCGTCGCGCAGGGACAGGGCGGCAAAGGTGGTGCAGACGTCGGTGACGATGCCGGCGATGATGACCTGCTTCTTGCCCGTGGCCTCGACGGCGGCCCGGAACTCGGCGTTGTCCCACGCGTCCACCTCGCCGTTGCGCTTGACCACCGACACGTTGGGGTACATGTCGAGGATCTCCTTGGCCAGGGGGCCGTTGGGGCCCGTCTCGGCCGAGCTGGTCATGACGACGGGCAGGCCAAATACCTTGCCGAGCTCGGCGTGCGCCAGCATGGCGTTGTTGTACAGCGTGGCGTCAAAGTCGCGGGCCAGGCTGTAGAGGCCGACCTGGAGGTCCAGGATCACGAGCATCGAGTCGTTCTTGTTGATGCGCTCAAATGGGAAGGCTGTGGGGGGTCAGGGGTTAGCTTTGTCTGTCAGGCTTCGCTGGAGGGTCACTTACAGTCGGCGCTGACCATGGAGGCCGCAAAGAGGGTGGCAGCCGTAAAGGCGGACTTGACGTTGAACTGCATGGTTGCGGTGGTTCAAGAAGCAGCTTGAAGTTGGTGTTGACAGGTCGACTCGGTCCAAGAGGCAGGCAGAGGCAAGAGGCGCTGGTGGATGAAGACAAGTTCAAACAGCTCATGATGGCGACGGTCGTCGTGTTTTTATACATGTCGGCAGGCGGTCGTGACCAGCCAGTTCAGTTGCCAGCCAGTGACCAGCCAGGCACCTCACCATCTCCAGACAACCGAAGGCATTGATGCGGCTCCGTGCCAATACCGGAGCCGCGAGATTGTCATCTCTGCCAAAGCGTTCGTCAGGCTGCGGGCCGTCGTCACAATGGCGCGTGGCTTTCGGCGCCTCGCCGAGGTCGCCGCCGCTGATTAAGTCGCGACGGGGTATACAACATATACAGCACTGACCGCTCTTCGGCCTGGGGTGGTCACTGGGCTCGGCTACGCCATCCACCCCAGCACCCCACGCCGTCGAGGCAGCAAGACTTCCAAGTTCTGCGGAGTCGGGGTCCGGACTATCAGCGACAGCACCCGCTGCCAAAACTAGATGCCCGACCCGCGCTGAGCTAATGCGGTGTAGTTGCCCAACCGGGATTACCAATGGTTAGCAAGCTGGAGGCGAGCTGCAGCTGAGGGTAAGCCAGAGGCAGCGTCCAGTACCGGTAGCTGCATCGGGACCGACATGACGGCTGCGGGGCGTCTTGGACGGGATATGGCATTTGTGAGGATTTGATGGGATTGGTAAAACGAGGTTCTGCATATTGGGCCCTGCATAGCGTGGCATCTGCAGTGGACCGGCGATGAATCAGCACCCTCAGCCAAGACCTGTGGTGCATGTCCGTCGACACATGCCCAAGGGCCGGGCTATCTCTCTCGGGCTCATCGCCGAGTCTTTTGGGCTCTAGGAGGCGTCCGAGCGCAGTGGTTGTGCCCTGTCACGATGCCCGGAAAAAAAACTGGGCCGCAATTTACAAAAAAAGGAGCCCATTTAGTTTGCAGTCGTTTTGCCCTCTGCATCTATGATCCGGCAAAGCGAAAAACTTCGTGGCTATAAGTGATGCCTTTTGCATCAAAATAATCACAAATCCCTTGAACGCGTTTTTTTTTTTTAATTTTTTTTTTAGGTGTAGAGTGGTGCGTGGGCATGTTGTTTGGCTTTGTTGCTGGTGCAATTGTGTTGCGAGAGGTAGAGTTTGGGTGGGGAAAAAAATTTGCGGTCCAGGTTATTTTCCGGGCATCGTGCCTGTTCACTCTCTGCAGCGAAGCCAACTATAGTGGACTTGAGCAGGGACCTGACGGGCGCGATATCCATCTCGCCGTCGGAGCGACTGACGCCGGGATCAGGCCTGTGGCGAGCGGGGTGCGTGGATCAGCAATTTCATTTGTCAACTCGATTACCAGCTATTCCAAAGCAAAGTCAACCCCATAACCAGCTCCAAACTAGTAAATCCCCTCGTAATCATAACACAAGAACCCGCCCCGGATGTCCATGGTGCTGGCAACCGACGTGCCTTGGCCGAGAGTGACCAGCGCATTCTCGTGCTCAAGAGTGATGTTGCCGCCAAGCTTGTTGGTCCAGTCCAGCGACACCAGCGGCCCCGAGATGTCCATCAGGCGCTCGGGCAGGTCGCGGTACTGCCACGACCACCACATGCGGTCGACGTTGGCGTGGTGCAGCCAGAAGACGGGGTCAACGGCTGGGGCTTGTCAGCGGTCTCTCGGAAAACAGAAAACAGAAAACAGAAGCGGACAGAACTCACGGCTCGACCACTTGTCCGTCATGGCGCCGTACAGCCCGCCCACGCCGTAGTGGCCGCTGGCGTGCGCGTTGGGCTCTGACGACGCCACGAAGTCGCCGTACGTTGGCATCCTTAGCGCCGGGCGCACGTTGGCCACCATGCGCGCAAACGTCGCCGGGCAAAAGTCGCGCCGCACGCACCGCGGGTTGTACGCCACGCTGCCGCGCGGGCCCAGCGCCGTGTCGAGCCCCTCGAACGGCCCGTCGGGGATGCAGCCGCCGCCCGACCGGTCCGGGAACTCGTGGGTCGACGGCAGCGGCAGCTCCATCTCGGGCGACGGCTGCGACTGCGTGCCCGGTATCCACTCGCCGTTGCCGCCGAAGCCCGTGTCCGGGTCGAAGATGGGCGACGCCGCCATGTCGTCGATGTCGAGCAGCCAGTCCCAGTAGGGCTGGGCGCCGCCGTAGCCGCACTCCTTGCGGAGGGCGTACTCGAACGCCGCCACCAGGAGGCGGTGGTGGGGGTAGAAGAAGCCCTGGTTGATGAGCTAGGGTAAGAGGCGTGGCAAGGGAGGGGCGAGGGGCTTACCACAAAGTGCGTCCTGTCCGCTTGGATGATGTGCGTCGCCACAAAGTCGTCGTAGCGTCGCGTGGCGCCGGCAACATTACTCCTGGAAGGCTTGTCTAGCATGCACTGGACGGCCGAGATGTACTCGGCCTTTTCCTCGTCGTCCAGCGTTCTCCTGTGTGTGTGTGTCAGCGTTATTGGCAAGGTCGGATCCTCGGATCTTACCATTCCCTTCGCACCAGGGGCCTTGTGCACCCCTGGCGCGCCTCCAGACGGGCAGCGAGGCCTAGCAGGGCGATAAAAATCCAGCGCATTTTGGTACGTGTCTTGTTAAGAGGTGATTCCTGCGCGCACATATGGCACGCACACACAAGATATACGGCACGGATTCGCCTCCCCATTCTATCACTGACGCGACAGCCAGCCATCTGGGTCTGGATCAGCTCACATTACTTCCCGTCCTCGATCCCGTGAGGTCTCGAGAATAAGAGCCCGGTCTCGACAATAACAGTTGGGTCACAGTCGGGTCTCGACAAGAGCTGGCGGAACACATCGCATCATCGATCTGTTAAGCCCTGGTGGCTGAACCTTCACACGTCGAGCCTAATCACAACATCGTATCGCTCGTCCAGGCCGTGCATGCGCCGTCACTGGTTCGAAACAGGACTGTTCCTCGCGCCGATCCTCATCTAGAATTCTGTTTTTGGCTCTGATTTTCTGCTAGAACAAGGCAAGCAAGGCTGCCAACCGAGCGCGAGACTAGGGCCGGCTAGGCGTAGCGTGTGCATCGGCGCCACAATGTTTCCTTGCTGGCCAACGGCGGGACAGGCCGGCGGCGGCAGTGAAGGCAGGAAACAACCATCTCACCGGCTTGGATCTGAGCACTGGTGCAATCTCGGGCGTTCTGCGCAGATCGAGGCTGGGAGCGGGAGTGCTTGTTATAAAACAGCCGTCCAGAGTCGAGGGAGACAGTCGGATTTGGTATCATCAGCATCAGCATTCACTCCATTCAGCTCGCATTCACAGCAGGTCTTGCACAAAAGCCACCACACTCGTTTACCACATTCATTACCTACACCCTCCACGCCATCTCACCACCACAATGAAGGTCTCTGCCGTCTCCGTCCTGGTCTTTGGCGCCGCCACCCTGGCCACGCCGACCTTTGGCTTCGAGAAGGACGTCATCGACTGGGCCAAGGACCAGCTCGGCGGCAAATCCAGCCAGGTTCCCGCCCCCGCCCCCGGCACCACTGAGGACTACTTCAGCAACGCCCCCGTCGCTACGGCCACGGCCAAGCCGGTTACGACCGCGCCGCCCCCGCCGCCCCCACCAGCCACGACTGCGGCCCCGGTCACGAGCTCCGTGGCCCCTGTCACGAGCTCTGCGGCTCCCCTGACGTCTGCGGTCCCGCCCCCGGCGCCCGACTGCAACGTCAAGCCCGGCGTCAAGATGCCCGTCGGCTGCCCGGATTCCTGCAGCAACGTCAAGCCTGGCCATCCCGTCCCGGATGGCTGTCCCGCCAGTGCCCCGGCGGTCAGCAGCGCCCCGGTGGAGGCGACCTCGTCGCTCATCGTGGCCACGTCGTCCAAGCCGCTCATCGTTGACAACAAGCCGACCCCGGCGCCCAACGGCACCTACAAGCCCACGACCCCGCCGGTCCTGGCCGGTGCGTCGACCATTGCGCAGGGTCTTGGTGTTGGGTTTGCTGTTGCCGCTCTTCTTGGGTTTGCGTTTGCCCTGTAAGCGAGCCGGGTGAATGAGCCTGACGCAGTAGCTCCCGGAAGAGTAGAAGAGTGAGAGGCAACATGAAGAGAAGTGAGAGTCACAAGGAGAGAAGCGCGAGATGGAGACAGATAGACAGAGAATAGCACTCATAGACTACATCAGGTGCACCCCACCCGCGTCGAGCTGACCACAATGTCGTCGTACCAAAACGTGTTTGTGTCCCCTCCGTACGACTCCCAGCCAAAGTAGATGGCCGACACCTTGGGCTTGATGCTGCTCCGCTGCCACTGCGCCGCGTTGGGGTTGGCCACGCCCGCCTTGCTCGTCAGCCCCGCCACGGCCTTGCCGTTGAGCCACGTCTCGAGCGTGCCGTCGGGCCCCAGGTGGTACTCGACGCACTGCCACGAGTTAGCCGGCAGCGGCGCCGACGTCGCGATGCCCTGCGGCGACAGGTCCGGCAGCGTCGCGTCGTCCGACTCGCGGTTGAACATGAGGATCCGGCTCTGCCCGCCCATGCGCAGGTGCTTCTTGGCGCCCTGGGCCGCGTCGGGCATGGTGATGAAGGTGACGTGCGAGTCGGTGAAGGCCTTGGATGTTTTGCTGGGGGGTGTGTTAGGGGCGGAAGGGGAACGTGGCACAGGGCATGGGGCATGGGGCATGGGGTACGGGACACTGGTCATACTCACAGCCACGTGCGTACGTAGACGTCGCCGCTCGGCACCTTAGTCGTGCCCACAAAGATGTGCCCGCAGTAGCCGCCGGCGCCGTTGACGCGGATTGAGTTCTTGCCGCTGTGCGCAGTCGTCGAGTCCAGGCTGACGCTGCCGCCCTGGCTGCAGTCCGGTGCATACGTCGGCCACGCCGTCTTGTCCCACCCGCTCTCGAAGCCCTCGCTGACCTGGCCGAGCGCGAGGGGGAGGGCCGCGAGGGCCAGTGCAGTGTGGGCGATCATACTGTTTGGTGGTGGAACGATGTGTCTGGTGCATTTCCCGTTCTATTCATCAGCTTTCGTGTGCTTCCGTGAGCTTTATACGTGAGCTTTGTTTATTCCTACCCGGCTGTATAGTTTCGCTCGGAACCTCCGCGCCCGCGGGCCGACATCCCTTTTGGACCGGATCGCTACTCGGACCATGCTATGTAGTAAATTCACTGTCCTCGCACATCTGGCGGACTAGTCTTGGCGGGGCGGTCCGGAGACAAGCGTTCTTGGAAAGCTTGTCCGCCGGAATAGGCTCGGAGGTTCGTGCACGCATATAGCCTAAACAGGGCACTACGTCGATGGATACTTTTTGCGTTGGTCAAAGTACCGGCTCATCCAGTCGTCCAGGTCGTCCAGGTCGTCCAGATCGTCCAGATCGTCCGTCAGGAGAGCGGTCCACACCTCGTCTAGATGTGCTTCCTCTCCCGCCGCCCCATGTCGCTCTTGAAATCCGGATGCGCCTGGCAGAGAGAATCCACCAAATCTAGCGCACGCTCGGTCGCCTCGTGCTTCTGCGCGGCGACTTCGGTCAGCGCTTTTTCCGTCTTCAGCACACGAGGCTCCCGCCTGGCGACGGCAGCCTCCCATTCGGGAATGTGTCCCTCACGCATGCGACGTTCTAACCTCCACACTTCCTCCTGCTCCTCGCCGGCGCTCACCATCGCCGCCTCGGCCAGGGCCAACGTCGACTTCCACTCGGCCATGTTGACGCTCTCGTGGATCTCGGCAGGCGCCAAGGCCAGGTTGCGCAGCGTGATGTCTAGAGAGTCTCGCCTGTCGCGCAGCTGCTCGAGCAGCCTTTCCGACTCCTGTACCTCCTCGCGCAGCCGTTTGTGCGCCGTCTGCAGGCCGCCGTAGATTTTCACGGCTTTGCCGAGGGCAAGGGAGGCACGCAACGCCCGCTGATGGGCTGTGTTGTGCTTGCGGAAGAGCTCGCACGTGTTTTGAACGGCCTCCTTTGCCTCTTGCATCTGTCCGTGGGACCAAGCCATTGGAAGTCACCGTGTGAGACCGCCCCTGTAATTAGGGGAAACTTTACCTGCTGATCGGGCCGCATTTTTGGGAGACATTGCCTGCCGATCGGAACTCAAGTATGTCGGGTTCCGATAAACTTATGGCCGCCTGCGCCTTTGACGCCACATCGCGGATTCTAGGCCTTTTTGCCACCCGCGGTGCTGCCGCGGCGACAAGGTTTGACTACAGCTTTCCAAGCTCTGGCTAAGCTCGCTAGCACAATGACGATGGCAGTCCCGCACGCGATGAAAGACAAAAGGGCCTCGTTCGCTGATCTAATTGTTCGTTGCTGTTGCGATTGTTTGTTGCTGCTGCGACCATCACAGGCAAAAATGAGGCCACACGCAGCTGCCGCACTGGTGCTCGCCCTGTCTCGCGGCGTGGAGAGCAGTGAGGACTTTTCGACAACAACCGGGATCCCCCAATGCGCTGTAGGTAGCATCAAAGATGCGCCGTAAGCGGGATCAAAGGACAGGCCGGATGGCTGCTGACAGCTGCTGACGAGCTAGATCAATTGCGTGCTGCAAACACTGGCCGACCCATGCCTCGGGTTTGACCTGAGGAACAGGACGTGCTCCTGCTTCCATGAAGCCGAGGCGAGAACATGGGACACCTGCCTGAGGCGGTCATGCTCCTTTGCAGACGAGCTGAGTGCGTCTTGCCCGTCCCGTCTCGCATCTCCTGGCTAACGGAAACAGCAACCACGAGGCTCTTCAAGCTCGCCTGCGACTACCCCGTCAGAAACGTGGGCCGCCAGTACACGGTCCAGCAGTACGTCCTCACGGCCGTCTCGGGCGTCGCCGTCGTCCTGCGCCTGCTGCCCAAGACGCTGCCCGGCGGTACCGCCGACCGCGTGGCGCTGGGCCTCGACGACCTGTGCGTCGGGTTGGCCTACGTCTTGCTGCTGCCCATGATCTACGTCGCCGCGACCTTGATGGTCGACGTCGGGCTCGGCCGCGACGTCTGGATGCTCAACGTGGAGCAGATCCGCCTTTGCTACTATGTAGGTTTCGTGTCGCCCCCCCCCCCGCCCGTGTGTGGCTGCTGACGCCCGCAGTACTTTTACCTCGTCGAGCCGCTGTACTTTGTCATTGCCGCCCTGGTCCGCGTGGCTTTTCTGTTGTTTTTCCTCCGCGCGTTCGCGACGGCAGGGGCGCAGTCTAAGGTCTTTAAGCGCTGGGGGTTCAGGGCAACCATCAAGACCACCATCGCGCTCAACCTTTTGGGCGCCGTGGCATTCAGCTTTGCGGCCGTGTTCCAGTGCTGGCCCATCAGTTACTTCTGGGACGGCTTCGATAGGGAGCATGCCGGCAGCTGCATGAACAACGGCGTCATGATGTTGCTCAACTCCCTGCTCGGCATCGCCATGGACTCGTGGATTTTGTATTTGCCATTGTCGCAGATCACGCTCCTCACCATGTCGCGGCCGAGGAAGCTGCAGCTGGCGTGCATGTTCTCGCTGGGATTCATGTAAGGCACCCCGACCCCCAAGGCGACGGCGCTGACAGCAACAGCGTCACTATCATCGGCATCTTGCGCATTCAAGCATTCGACGCCCTCAAGGACTCGGGAAACCCGACGTGGTCCTCGTATCCTCTAGTGGCATGGTCCACGCTGGAGATACACGCCGGCATCATATGCGCGTGCATCCCGGGGCTGCGCGTCTTTTTCGTGCGAACCGTGCCCGAGAACTTTGGACGCCTGCGCGACTGGCGCGCATCGCCTGCCCATGGCCAGGAGACGGGCACTCTGTCTACCCGCGGGACCAGGATAGAGGACGAAGGCACGGCGGGTGCTAGGGAGATGCATGCCCCTATCGAGGCGGACCCGCCTCTGTGTCCGGGCTCTCTGCGCAGTCAACGGGGGAGCAAAAATATCTCTGGGACCTCCACCGAGAGACCTGGCTTGGACCGGCGGACGACTCCGGATTTCTTTCTTGTAACTAAGCGCTCTATCAGTCGACCGCCTTGTGCCGGGCACTCCATGCCACGAAAGTCAGTCAGGCCGTCATGGAAAAGCTAAATCAACAGCCCAGCTCCAGTTACAGCAATGCCTAAACCGTGTGGCCTGCGTCATGGGAACCGGCCCTGATCCAGGCGCTGAGGTCGCCAACCGGCAGCTTGAATGAAAAGTCGAGCGTCTCGAACAGGATCGAGGCCAGGAGATACCAGGCGGCCAGGGACGCGATGAGGGCACAGACCCCGGCGCCGACCGAGAACGAGGCCGCCTGGGCCTTGCTAGCAGCGGCAGCGGCCGTCAAGATAACGGTGCCGCCCTCACGGATGGGCGCGGCGGCTAAGAGCAGAAAGTAAGACGCCGTCAGCGCGCTCAGCGTGGCCGTCAGGGCTGCAAATACCACGACAAAAACGGCGTTTGTCCGCAGCGAGCAGACGAGGAAGAGGAGCGTGAGGATGGTCATCCACAGGAAGATGAAGGCTGTCTAGTTAGTGACGTATGAGACCTGTGGCGAGGCGAGCACCTACCCGTGTTTGCATTAAAATTCTTAGACTCTAGCCCGAGAGCTGGGTCGGCGCCCGCAGGGGCGTACGGCGCAAATGCGGCAAGCCCGGGGGTCAGGCTCGCCCCAAACACGAGGAAGAAGGAGCCATAGGTCGCAAATACGACGGACGGGAACGTGCTGCCCAGGAACCACTCCATGAGGGCCGTAAAAATCTGGAGCATGCCGCCGAAGAAGTAAAAGGTTCCACTGCTGGCGTTAGCGCGTGTCGGTGACAGGCCAGGGGCAGCTTACATTCCAGCGGATGGCGATCCCCCGGCGCCCGCAACGCCCATCAGCGTAAAGGACAGAGGGGTTACGGTGATGACGATGCCGACGACGCCGCTGCAACTGTCAGTATCAGAAATCCATGTCGGATCGGGATGACCCACATCGGCGAGGGATTCCCAAACCGCTTCCTCGGCTCGGCAGCCTTCTCCGGCACACGCATCTTCTCAAACAACTCGGTCGATATTGTGACGGTCCTGGCATTCCGCAGATGCTGCATGGGGTCGTCAAAGGTCATCGGCTTTTCGACGAGGGGCTTCATGTCGGTTGGTCGTATGCCCCGGCTCAGCCTGGGGGTTAGTCTATAGCCCGACATGATCTATGTGGGCTAAAGAAGTGCATGTGGATCCGCAAGGTTACAAAAGTTGCGAGTGGAAGAGTTGGGCTCTTTTATCATCGGCTGCTTCCACCGTCCGGGCATCAGCCCGATTGCGCCGATCAGGGTGGTCCCGTTTGATGCCGTGTAAGCGAGGTGCGGCCAGGCTAGCCATGTCAGCGAGGGCTGGGCCGAGTTTTGTTTCCAAGCTCGAGCTCTGCAAGAGCTACCGAGATATTGGATCTCTGTCTGCACACATGATTACTCCAGGACGGCGCTGCCGGGTTTCAGACGGACCTCTGCGCACGGCCTGGGAGTGCTGAGCCGTGTCAAAGACTCAACTTCATCCCTGAAGCGTGCAGAGGCTGCGTGCAGACGCTGCGGGCAAGGCCCCTGCGAGAGCGCAAGTTGGCTCGGGTTGGCACGATTCCCAGACAAAGCTTGCGCTGGAAGGGTGCCAGGAGGATGGTTAGGTATGGACTCGGACAAGTCGAGGCCGAGGAGAGTTCAGGGATGAAAACGGTCGTTCTGGGCAACGGCTGCGAGGCCATGGGATGAGTTTGCGAGCCGAGGAGAGTGCATGCTTCGGGCGAGAACGAACTGGCATGAGATGACACGGATGCAATTTTACGGGCACAGGGAGGGTGCTGTCGGTCGCAGGCGTGTCTCGGGGTGGTGGTGGTGGGTGGTGGTGGTGTGGCACACGGGTGATGGCACATAATTTTTGTGCAGTAATTGCACAGTCACAGTGACAACACAGTAATTGAACAATCTTGACACCGTGATCGCACAGTGGTGGTTGGGACGCGGGGCAGTTCACGTGCTCCTCCTTCGCTGCTTCCCTTGAGTGCTCCTCATCAACGACGCCAGCGGCAATTAAACCTCAATGGCGCCAGAGCAAACGCTCAGATACCACCGACCGCGGCCAAGGAAGGGGCGATAAAGCTCAGGATGGCTGCTACATGGAGCCGGCTGCTTCCTGCAGCTTCTTGGCACCTGGATGCAACCCGGAGTCAGTCGCCTCCCACTGCCGTTCCCCGCCTCTCGACGCTACCCAAGCCGGCTATTCGCGTCCAGGCCAGACGCTGTCTTGGCGCAGAGTCGTGCAAGCTGCCGTCGAGTAGCGCACCCAGCCTAACCTCGGTGACGCGACCACCTGTCAGCGATGGAGCCTTTAAAACCCATGCTGTCGGCTGGCCCTGCGCGCTCCTGGCCTCGCCGTCACAAGCGCACTCTCTTCGCCATGGCTTTTGCTGCCCTGGCTGCTCTGGTCATCGGCCTGGCCGTGGGCCTCACCAGGTCTGCCACCGGGCCCGTCACTGCCGTCCCCGGCGCTGCCATCGCAACGAACCGCGGCCAGGCTGCAGTCATCGGGTCATGGTCGCTGCAGTCGACTGCGCAGGCCGGCAACGACATGGCCAAGCTGTCGCACGCCGGCGCGGACGTGTCGACCTGGCATCGCATCGCCATCTCCAAGTGCACGCTAATGGCCTGTCTGATGCACAAGGGCATGTTTGACGACAAGGTCTTTTACTCGGAGAACCTCAAAAAGGTCGACGCCTCGCAGTTCCGCGTCCCGTGGGTCTACCGACACGAATTTACACTCAACTCGGCGCCCAGCACGCACTACTTCCTCGAGACAAACGGCATCAGCTCGCGCGCCGACGTGTGGCTCAACGGGCAGCAGCTGGCCAGCAAGGACCAGCACGCCGGCTCGTACGTGGGCATGCGCCTCGACATTTCAAAGTACGCCGCCGCCCACAACGTGCTCGCCATCCGCGTCTACCCGACCAACTACAACTACGACTTTGCCCTCGGCTTCGTAGACTGGAACCCCTACCCCGCAGACAACGGCACCGGCGTGTGGCGCGACGTGACGCTGAGGCAGACGGGCCCAGTTGCCGTGTCCGACTTTCGCGCCGCCACGAGCATGGCAGATCTGTCGAGCGCCAACGTGACGCTCAAGGCCACGGTGGTAAACCTAGAAAACCGGCCCGTTACCATCAACGTCCGAGGCCGCATTTCCGGAAACAGCGAGTACGCAGCCGGCGAGCAGAATAGCCAGCAAACGCTCGAGCTTGCGCCCCTGCGGTCTCGCGAGATTGCCCTCACCATCGCCGTCGACAGGCCGCAGATCTGGTGGCCCAAGCTTTGGGGCGCCCAGCCGCTGTACTCGGGCCGGCTCGACGTGGTGGTCAACGGGACGCTCTCGGATGCGGCGGAGCGCCAGTTTGGCATCCGCACCGTCACGTCGCAGGTCAACTCGCACAACGACACCATCTTCTCGGTCAACGGCCAGCCGTTCCAGGTCGTCGGCGGCGGCTACAGCGCCGACATGTTCCTCCGCTGGGACCCGGCCCGGTTCGAGGCCCAGGCCCGCTACATGCTGGACCTCGGCCACAACACGGTGCGCCTCGAGGGCAAGCAGGAGCACCCCGAGCTGTACGACATGGCCGACCGCCTGGGCCTGATGGTCATAGCCGGCTGGGAGTGCTGCGACAAGTGGGAGGCGTGGAGCTACAACAATGACCTGGCCATCCAGCCCCCGCCCGTCTACAGCGACGCCGACTACGCCATCGCCGCCGCCAGCATGCGCCACGAGGCCCTGATGATGCAGAGCCACCCCAGCATGCTGGCCTTTCTCGTCGGCAGCGACTACTGGCCCGACGACCGCGCCACCCAGCTCTACGTCGACGCCCTGCGCGCCGCCGACTGGAACCTGCCCGTCGTCGCCTCGGCGTCCAAGCGCGGATACCCGCAGCTGCTGGGACCGTCGGGCATGAAGATGGACGGGCCTTATGACTGGGTGCCTCCAAACTACTGGTACGACACGGAGGGTGCCGAGGACCGCAAGGGTGCTGCCTTTGGCTTCGGGTCCGAGCTGGGCGCCGGCGTCGGCACTCCAGAGCTGGGCAGCCTGCGCAAGTTTCTGTCGTCTTCGGACATGGACGATCTCTGGCGCGCCCCCAACAAGGGTCTGTACCACATGTCCAACGAGGGCTCGCAGTTTTTTACGCGGCAGATCTACAACGAGGCGCTTTTTGAGCGATTCGGGCCTCCCAATACCAGCGCTGGGTCTCCGCTAGACGACTACCTGCTCAAGGCGCAAATGATGGACTACGAGGCGACCCGGGCGCAGTTCGAGGGCTTTGCCGCCCGCTGGAACGCCGCCCGGCCTGCTACGGGTCTGATATACTGGATGCTGAACAACGCGTGGCCCAGCCTGCACTGGAACCTGTTTGACTACTACCTGCGCCCGGCAGGCTCGTATTTCGGCGCCAAGATGGGCGCACGCACCGAGCACGTGGCCTACGACTACGTGCAGCGCGCCGTCTACATGATCAACCGGTCGCTGGACCGCCGGGGGCAGCGCACTATCGAGGCGCAGTTCATGTCGCTCGACGGCAGGGTCCTCTCGACGCAGCGGGCCACGGGCGAGACGGAGCCCAATACCAGCAAGCGCATTCCCACGGCCATGTCTGCTGTGCCGTCGGACGGTGTGATCCTGCTGCGCCTGGTGCTGTCGGACGGCAACGCCACGCTCAGTCGCAACGTGTACTGGCTGTCGCGCACGACCGACTCGCTGGACTGGGACAACTCGACGTGGTACCACACACCCGTCACCAACTTTGCCGACTTTACGGCGCTCAACGCGATGCAGAGCGCGACCGTGTCGGTGACCGTCTCGGGCCGAAGAATCACGCTCGAGAACAAGTCGACGGTTCCGGCTGTCTTTGTGCGGCTGAACCTTGTCGACGAGCGCGGCGCCGACGTGGTGCCCGTTTTCTGGTCGGACAACTACGTCACGCTGTGGCCGGGTGAGAAGATGGACCTCGACATGGAGGGCAAGGGGCGGGCCATTGAGATTAGCGGCAAGAATGTGGCGGCGGCCACCATACGGTTCCAGTAGACGTAATAGTATCGGTCTGTATTTGAGCATACATGTCATTGACGAGTTGCCGTTCAGTTCCGGGCTTGCCGTTCAGTTCCGAGCCGTTGCGCTCCGGCAGCTGCCCTTCACCAGCGCTCATCGCCCAGCACAGGCCACCGACGCTTTCTATAATTACGCCGCTTGGACGCCGCTAGCCTAAGCCCAAACGGCCAACGTGCAGACGGCGCGAACCCCTAGACCCACCAAGGAGCGCGTGAGGCGGGTTAGCCATCGTTGAACCGGCGTCAGGGAAAAGCACACGACTTCCAACAGCTCTGACCTGAGAAATTGCACCTCGTTCCCGGCCAAGTCGGCACTTGCTGGGTCCAAGCTGAGCCGCGCGTTTTGGTCGGCGTTTTGACAGTAGGGTATATAACGTCGGGGCCGTCTTGACAGGTCCGCGTCTTGGCATCTCGGCATCAGCTCTTAATATTAGTCCTCATCGCCCGCTCGTTACTCACGTCACTCTTTATCCGGCTTCTGCCGTCACTCGCTCTATCCGCTCTTTATCGCTCTTTACCATGGCCCGCATGCTGTCCGTCGTCATGTTTGCGGCCACTGTGGCCGCAAACATTAACTTTACCTGGGTCCAGCCGTCATGCAGCCCTGACGACACGTTCAACAAGTGTCTGAGGGGGCAGCACTGCGAGAACGTCACCTGCATGCCCAACTACCACCCCCAGAGGGTTGTGGCCCATGCCGAGAAGCGGGCCAACCTGATGCTCGGTAGGGTCCGCCACCGCAGCCAAGTCGGGATCACCACGGACGGCAGCTGCGGCGCGGCCAACGGTGGGACCATGTGTGGCTCCTGGCCTCAGGGCGGCTGCTGCTCGCAGTACGGCTGGTGTGGAAACACGTGCGTTCCCTGGCGTCTGCTGACCAAGGTGCTGCTAACCAAGGTGCTGCTAAAACGTGCTGACCAAACAGGCCTGCCTACTGCGGTGCCGGCTGCCAGAGCGGCCCCTGCTCGGCCTCGAGCCGGGTCTCGACGCCGGCCGTGACCAGCAGCGCGACCCCGAAGCTTTCTGCGAAGCTGACTACCGACGGGACCTGCGGCTCTGCAAACGGCGGGACCGTGTGCGGCAGCTGGCCTCAGGGGGGATGCTGCTCGCAGTACGGCTGGTGTGGCAAGTCGTAAGTACCGTCTGCCCCACGGATTCGCAGCTGCTAACCTGTTAGGCCGGTTCACTGCGGTGCTGGATGCCAGAGTGGGCCTTGCTTTGGGCAGAGCTCCGTATCTAGGTCTGCGACGTCCTCTCGTGTGTCAGGCAGCTCTAGTTCTGCCTCTTCCACGTCCAGCACGCCGTCCAGCATGCCGTCCAACACTTCCTCCGGCACTTCCTCCAGCCCGACTCCCTCTGGAGCCCAGACCACCGACGGCACCTGCGGGGTCGCAAACGGCGGGACCGTCTGCGGCAACTGGCCCCAGGGTGGCTGCTGCTCGCAGTACGGCTGGTGCGGTAGCTCGTAAGTACACCCTGATCCACGGATTCGCAGTTGCTGACCAACTAGATCCTTTCACTGCGGCATCAACTGCCAGAGTGGGCCGTGTTCCGGGTCTAGCTCCGTGATCAGCACCGGATCCATGAGCTTGACGATGTCCATCGGCTCCAGCACATCCACAGGCTCTACGGCCTCCTCGGCCTCCTCTGCATCATCCACAGCCTCATCCACAGCCTCATCCACATCCTCCGCACCCACACACTCCCCTCAGACTACCGACGGCACATGCGGTGCCACCTACGACAACACCATCTGCGGCTCCTGGCCCGAGGGCAGCTGTTGCTCCATGTACGGCTACTGCGGCACCAGGGCAACCCACTGCGGTGCCGGCTGCCAGAGCGGCAACTGCACCGGACCCCCGGTTCAGCGAGCCCCCGGCCCCCAGCCCGCGCCGGCGAACCCCAACCCCGGCCGGTTCGACATCATCGGCTCGTCGGGCGTCCCGGCCATGCACGCCGGCCTACTACCCAACGGCAAGGTGGTGTTCCTGGACAAGGTCGAGAATTACACGCAGCTGCGGCTAGGCAACGGCCAGTTTGCCTACTCGTCCGAGTTCGACCCCGTCTCGTGCACGAGTAAGCCGCTGGCCTACAAGACTAATGCCTTTTGCTCGGGCGGCGCGCCCCTAGCTGACGGCCGCTTCATGAGCATCGGCGGCAACGCACCCCTCGACTTTGTCGACCCCACCGTCGGCGACGGCTTCGAGGGTATCCGCATCTTGAAGCGCTCGCCCGCGGACGCCTCGCTCGACGGCACCGCCTGGGCCGAGGGGACCAACAGGCTGTCGAGCGCGCGCTGGTACCCGACGGCGCAGCTGATGCCTGACGGCCGCGTCTTTGTGGCGTCGGGAAGCCTCAACGGGCTCGACCCCAACGTGCCGGCCAACAACAACCCGACGTACGAGATGCTGGACCGCAACGGCGTGTCGTCTGGCGTCTCGGTGCCCATGGCCATCCTGCAGAGCACGCAGCCCTATTACATGTACCCGTTTGTGCACCTGCTGCCCGACGGCAATCTCTTTGTGTTTGCGGCCAAGTCGAGCCAGATCTTCAACGTCGGCGACAGCACCAATACGGGTCGCGTGGTGCGCCAGCTGCCCGACCTGGCCGGCGACTACCGTACGTACCCCAACACGGGCGGCTCGGTAATGCTGCCGCTGTCGGCCGCGACCGGCTACCGGCCCGACGTGGTCATCTGTGGCGGCGGGCCGTACCAGGACCTGTCGGCGCCGACCGAGGCGTCGTGCGGCCGCATCCAGCCGTCGGCCGCGTCGCCCGACTGGGAGCTCGAGTCCATGCCCGAGGGCCGGTGCATGGTCGAGGGCGTGCTGTTGCTGGACGGCACCGTGCTCTTCCTCAACGGCGGTGGCCGCGGCGGCCAGGGCTTTGGCGAGGCCGAGGACCCGACGCTCACGGCGCTCATCTACGACCCGGCCGCGCCCAAGGGCCAGCGCTTCTCGACGGCCGCCACCAGCACCGTGCCACGCCTGTACCACTCGGTGTCGCTGCTGCTGCCCGACGGCACGGTCCTGGTGGCCGGCAGCAACCCGGTCCAGCAGCCGGTGCTCGAGGCCTCGCCCGAGAACCCGTTCCCGACCGAGTTCCGCGTCGAGCGCTACACGCCGCCGTACCTGTCGGGCGGGCGCGCCGCCTACCGGCCCGCCAACGTGACCATCGGGGGGCCAGCCGTGCTGACACCAGGGTCCGGGCCGGTCGGTCTGGGGCTCGGGAACGGCACGACCGTCGGCAGCAACACCATGGCGCTGCGCTTCAACCTGGCGCGGCCGGCCAAGGAAGTCAAGGTGGTGCTGTACAACAACGGCTACGTGACGCACTCGGTTCACATGGGACACCGCATGGTCTACTGCGAGTACACGGGGCTGGCCGCGGGGTTGCCGGCGCAGTCCATCACGGTTCAGGCGCCGCCGAGCTACAGCATCGTGCCGCCGGGCTACTACCTGCTGTTTGTGGTGGCCGACGGGGTGCCGAGCCAGGGGCAGCAGGTGTTGGTGAAGTAGGTTGATGAGCGGGCTGATGAAGGGGCTTATGGACCAACGGACCCAACTGTAATGTGTGAATGGCATTTTTATGCAAATATTACTAAACCTAAGGCTGGGGCAGTCTGGTCCTCCCCTAATGTCCAGTGGTTGAATTGAAGCCGACAAGTTCCTCTCCTCCGTTTCTTGCCCTTCACTCAAGACCGCTTGCACTCGGTCACAGCAACCTCAAAGTCGGTCGGGCCCGTGTAGCGCTGCGTCTGCACCGCCCCGTTGTCGTCAATGACGAGCTGGTCGGCCGGGATGTGGTGGCAGTAGTCCTGGTCGGTGCGCGAGTTGGCGCGCAGCCAGACGGTCAGGTCGAGCCCGCCGCCCTCGGCCTTCTTGACGCCGAAGCGGTAGCTCTGCTCGCAGGCCGTCATGTTGACATCGGGCAGCATGTCGGGCCCGTTGAGCGTGATCTCGCACTTGGTGGGCTCCCAGCCGGGGATGGGCTGGCTCTCGATGCCGAACGAGTACTGGCAGCGCACGCTGTGGGCGATGCAGGCGGCGTGGAAGTCGGACACGTGGAGAAGGAGGTACTGGCGGGCCTGCAGGGTGGAAGCGGAGGCCGAGGCGGCGAAGAGGATGGTGTTGAGGAGCTGCATGTTGGGAGGCTGAGGCTGAAGTTGGCTGAGATGCTGGGTGATTTGAGAGATGCTGAGCGATTGAGAGCTGGGGTTGAGAGATGAGCGGCCGAGATGTTGAGCTGAGCTGAAGAGCAAGACAAACAGCACCACATGTGCTCCTCGGCCCCCTTATATACTCATAACTCGTTGCCGTCTCTCACCGTCATGCCAGCCCCTTCAGGCACTGCCAATCGCTACCATGGCCCATGGCCCATGGCAGGACAGCTCCACCTGCTAGCACTGCAACGGCGGGGGCCGATACGAGCCATGTCGTCACCTTTTGGGGGGAGCCCTCACGGACGACGGTGGCGAGCAGGGTTCAGGCTGGTGATCATGGCTCGTTACAGCGCGGCCCCACATGGCAACCTTTTGCTCCTCGCGCCCGAGTGCCGGCTGCTCTAGGGTTCCCGGCTCGGCGCCCGTGCGATTCGGTCCATGTAACGTCGCCATCATTTTGACATTTTGACCGCGGGGTTCGTATTTGAAGCTCATCTCCGCCATTTCACCTGCCGTCACACCCACCACCAATAAAATGGCAGTTGCACCCAAGGAACTTGAGGGATTGGGGCTGGAACCGGAACTGGAGCTGCCGGTTTTTCTGGTCTGACCGGGCTGGGCTTCTTCTGCAGTCGGTTTCGCGGCCGTCGCCAGAAACACAGCCAGTCGCTGGTGAGGGTGCGGACTCCCTCGGAGATGCCCCCGACGATGCCCCCGACGATCCCGACGACGCTCCCGACGCTCCCGACGACGCTCCCGACGACGCTTCCGACGGCGTACCCGACGACGTACCCGACGGAGCGCGTGCGCGGCTCCACGGGCGGCGGCAGAGCACGCGGCGGAGTAGGCGGTAGAGCAGGCGGCGGGGGAGGCGGCGGCGGAGGAGGCGGTAGAGCAGGCAGTGGGCGGTTCTCGTCCGGCAGGCTGTCCTCGTCTAGCGAGTAGTCCTCATCTAGCGAGCAGCCCGAGCATTCCGAGCAGTCCTCTGGGTAGTCCTCGTCATGGTGTCCCGTGAAGCGCGGGCACTCGGCCAGGTGCTCGATGAAGCGAGAAGTGTGCGGCTTGAGGGGAGAGACCATGTACCGGCGCTTTATGGGCGGTGATTTGGGGGTTGCGGCGAGCAACGGTGTATACGCATCGGGATAGCTGAGTTTGATCTCGGGGCAGTCGGAAAAGACGCACCACGAGTCGGACATGAGTGTTTGCTGCGAGTCACTGGCCTGCGCATCAGAGGTGCCTGACGTGGGATATCGGGTGCTTGCCATGGTGAAGTCTCAGGGCCGAGTTGATGTCGATAGTTGGTGTATCGGTAGTTGGGTTGCATGTGGCGGCCAGATGCTATTTATTTGGTGGCTCTTGGCCAGTCTTTGTCGTCTGCGGATATTTTTGGACATCAGACAAACAACCGGCCTTTAGATGGCGGGTCTAGATGCCAGGTAAAGACCGTTTTCTGGCAGCTTCCAGCGCATGACAACCCTTTGTCTTTGCCATGCGGGTATCGATGCATGACACTTGCTACCACGATTTGATAGAAGCAAGGTCTAAACTGGTTCGGCTACCGTGGGCGGTTCACGTTGGATGTCGACACCTCCAAGGGAATAATATATCGACGGGTTAAGCAGCTCATCGAGCACCACGTGAGCCTTGTCCGGTCCAGCGGCGGGGGAGGGGTCACAAATGGTTTAAAAACCCTGGTCAGGACATGTTTATAGGTATGAATCCTCAGGCTGCCCTGTGGAGCACATTCACAAACCCAGCTAACGACGAGCTAACTGCAGCAGTTGACGAATACCAGAGACGAAGACCAGAGGCGAATGCTAGGACGAATGCCAAGGCACACGGCTACTGGTCAAACCGTTGGGCAGATGTGCAGTGATGTGCGTTGTGCAGCTGTTGTGCATCATCACGTTATGGATTTTTACAGCCAATCGGACAGTTCCGAGCGGGGCGGCGGATACGTGGCAGGCCAAAAGGGGCTGGAGTTGCTGTGGTAATTTTGCTCCGTGGCAGACATGCGGTGAGCCGTTGGGCTCCAACTGCACGCGCTTTACCCCGGCCGAGGAGCTGCATGGCAATGGAGTACATAAGAGCTGGCCGGTTCTTCAGAGAAGCGAGAGGACGAATCATTAGACCACAAGTAAGTGAGTAGCGAGTAGCAGCGAGCCAGCAGTGAGCCACAAGACGTGAGCCAGAGACGTGAGCCTGCGAGACAGCGAGACAGCCAGCCAGAGACTGCGAGCCAGAGACCGCGAGCCAGAGACAAACGAGGCGGTCAGGCCCATGGACAGCCCAGCCACCCCCGCCACTCCCACCAGCACGGCATCGCCCATGCTGCACCCCTTCGCCACGCCGACGCCGTGCAAGGCCGACGGCTGCGAGGCATCGTGCCACGCCCCCTACTGCCCCGACCACGCCTGCCAGGGCCTGGCGGCCGACGCGCCATGTAGCGAGCCCGCCCAGCCCGGCAGGACACACTGCGCCCGCCACGTGTGCAAGCTGCCCGGGTGCCGGGACCTGTGCGAGGACCCGGCCCTGGCCGCGCGCGGGCGCGAGGCCTGCCACCGCCACCGCTGCGTCGACCCGGTCTGCGCCAGCCTGCGCGACGCCGCGTCCGGGAGCCGCTACCACTGCCTGCGCCATGTGTGCTGCGTGCCGCGCTGCTGCGAGCCCGTCGACGGGCCGGGGGGCGTCGAGAAGTACACGACGGCCTGCCGCGACCACACGTGCGTGTTTGCCGACTGCCACGCCGGCGTGGCCGACGAGTTTGACCGCCATGGTGATGGCCACGACAGACACGACGAAGACGGCGGCAGCCCGCAACTGTGTCCCAAGCACCGTTGCCGCTTTTTATCCACAGCCGACGACTGCGACGCCGACGATCGCGGCAGCTACCGCAACATGCAACTGCAACTACGCCGCCACCCTTCCCAGCCGCGCCAGGCCCTGCCGGAAACGCAGTGCCACCACCCCGTGGCCGACGCGCGCGCCAGCTTCTGCGCGTCCCACGCGTGCGCCCACGAGGGCTGCCTGCGCATGGCGTCGCCCGGGGCCGGCGACCGGCGCTTCTGCAACCTGCACGGCTGCAAACGCTGCGGCGGCGCCATCCCGGCCTGCACGCCGGCCCAGCCGCGGCGGTCGGCCCAGTACTGCGAGGTGTGCCTGTGCCGCAACAAAAAGTGCCGCTCGCCCCGCCTCGTGCTGCCGCGCCGCTACCACGACCCGGCCCCGGCCTGCCCGCCCGAGTACTGCGCCTGGCACGACACGTACTGGCGCTGGTGGCGCGCCGCCTGGGACCAGGGCTTGGCCGCGGCGCGCCTGAGCAGCGACTCGGCCGACTCGGCGTCGTCCGAGGCCCGCGCCCGCCGCATAGCCGAGGAGATGACGAGCGGCGGCGGCGACGGCAGGGACTGGACGGCGACCGAGTGCGGCCGGTCCGGCTGGGACGCGGGATGGCGGGCGGGATGGGCCTACGGGCGCGAGTGCGAGGTGCCCGACTGCGGCGCCGAACGCAACCGCGGCAGGGGGCCGTACTGCGGCTCCCACGCGTGCGAGGTGTTTGGCTGCCGGGCGCAGCGCGCCGGAGACGGGTACCGCTTCTGCATCGCGCACGAGGCGGCGGCCGAGTGCGACGACCACGCGCACGACGAGTACGTCGACGACGACATGGTGGCCGTGTGCGACGGCGACGCCAGGGAACAGGCGCGGGCCCGGGAGTCGATGGACGGGCTGCCTGGGGACATGGGCGGAGGAGTGACGATATCGGTGCGATGATGATTACGAGTTTGGATTTATAGCGATATACCACCACTCCACTGGGAATACCACTGGAAGACGACTTGTACGGACTGTATGAAATAACTGATATCTGCATGCAATACCACTACTAATTCACGATACCCTTTCCCTACACCTACACCCATCAACTACACGGCCGTCTTCTCCGTAACGGCCGTCTTCCTCACAAGGTCGTCCTCGTGCTCGGCCGCGTTGATCTCCTTCTCGATCTGGTGCATGTCTGTGTGCGGGATGGCCGAGTCGCCGTCAAAGATCTTGGCAATCTCCTCCAGGGTCGGGCCCTTGGTCTCGACGTAGAAGAACCACACAAAGATGAGCTCGACCGTGTCCCAGAGGGTGTAGAAGAGCATAAAGTGCCAGTGCTCGGGGAGGTTGTTCCAGGCCATGCGGTTGGTTTGGCTGGGAGCAAGGCAGGTTAAGGTTAGCAAGGCTCGGAACGGGGGACAGGAGAGAAATACGTACTTTCCAAGAGCCAGGATGGCCTGCACCGTAATGTTCATAATCATCATGCCCTTGGCCCGCAGGTGGAAGGGCAGCACCTCGAGCGCGTAGGCGACCAGCAGGCCCGAGAAGCCAATGTCGTAAAAGATGCCAAACATCCAGATGAAGACCAGCTGCGCGTAGCCCGAGGCCTCGTTGGTGCCGCCCGAGTTGCCGTATATGGCGCCCGTGATGGTCCAGAAGACAAACGACGCCACCATGCCGAAGACGGAGGTCAGGAACAGCGGCCGGCGGCCGAAGCGGTCGACCTGCATGGCGGCGATGATGGTGACGGACAGATCCAAGATGGTCTTGCCCGTCGAGATGCCCAGCTTCTGGTTCTGGTCCTTGATGCCGGCGCCCTCGTAGATGGTGTCCATGTAGTTGGAGAAGAGCGCGTTGCCCGAGTACTGCGAGATGATACCGAGCGATACGATGATGGCCAGGCGCCAGCGGTTGCCCTTGGTGCGGAAGAAGTCGAGGTAGCTCGTGGCCCTGTCGGCGTCGCGCTCCGTCTGGATGACGTCGCGGATCTCGCGGTACTCGAACTGCACCGTGGCGTTGTTGACGTCGCCGCCGGCGTGCCACTTGGCCAGGATGGCCAGCGCCTCCTCGTTGCGGTCCTTGTTCACCAGGAAGCGCGGCGACTCGGGGATCCACCAGATGCCGGCCAGCTGGATCACCGACGGCACGATCTGGATAAAGGTGATGGAGCGCCACGACCACTCGCCGGCCACGTGCGAGGTGCCCCAGCCGATGCACGACACGATGAGCGCGCCCAGGTTCCACAGGCAGTTGTAGATGGCCGTGACGGGCCCGCGGTGCTGCGGGTGGCAGATCTCGGTGAGCAGGAGCGGCGACGCCATTTGCGCGAGCGAGTTGCCGAACCCGAGCACGAAGCGGCCGCCCAGGTACATGCCAAAGTTTGGCGTAAAGGCCGTCAGGCAGCCGCCCAGGCACATGAGCAGGCAGCCGGTGATGATGGCGATGCGGCGGCCGTACGTGTCGGCCACGTAGGGCGTGATGAAGAAGGAGATGATGGAGCCGATGTTGAACATGTTGATGAGCACGCCGAGCTTGTTGTCGTCGTCCACGGCCTCCTTGAAGAAGATCTTCCAGTTGTCCATCTGCTGCGACGTGTTGACCAGCATGCCGTCGTAGCCCGTCGTGGCCGAGGCCACCATGAGGACGACGGTGCAGGCGTAGAGCTTGCGCAGGTGAGGCTCCTTGGTCCACTCGACATGCTCGAACCTGGGGGCCTCGGCCTGGGCGACCTCGACCTCTGACTTGACGGCGCGAGCGCCGACGCTGATGTTGGGAGCCATGATGTTGGATGGGGCGGGTGGCGGGATGGCTTTGGGATGGGGAGGAGATGAGAAGCGTGGTGGGAGGCCAAGGGCGACTTATACTCGGGACGCAGGATGGGTGTCTGAACAGTCTGAACGCTATCTGAGCCCGTCCCACGGTACGTACCAAGATGGGGCGCCAATAGACTTCGGGTCAAGCTTGCGGAGTGCCTGGCCGGTCGAGGTCGACGAACAGGGGACACGAGCATCGAGGCCCACCCCATCCGGGGTCGGTAGAATGGATAATGGCAAAAAGGATGAGGGATCATCTCGCGAGGGGCTGGACGCACCCGACAGACTGGTAGTACGTCCTCCAGGTCATGCCAAACGAAGGCTCGCTTGGGTCCAATCGCCGAGGCGGCACGGATGGAGCTCCAAGAAGAAAAGGGCTGTCAAGCATTGAGTGCCATACCACCCTCTCGGCCCCTGCAACGGCGGCCAATCGGCTGCTTCGTCTGGGGGGGTCTGCTCTCGTAGACGGTCCGGTTTGCCCTGGCGTGAACGTGAGCGTGGGGACCCCAGTGCGGCCAGGGGTCCAAGACAAGCAAGTCAAGCAAGTCAAGCAAGACCAAGACGCAAGCGAGAAGGACGAGCAAACCAGCCCAGAGATCTTGTCGTGGACAAGCATGCCCGCAAGCGTGCCCAGCGTGACAAGCATGTCCAGGTTAGGCGTGCCCAGCGTCTTCCGTGGCCAAGGACGTACCGTTCGAGCCTATAACCAGAGTACAACGACATGCCCGCAGAAGCCAAAAACATGCTCGACGCAACGGCGGTCAACTGGTGGGGTTGCGTTACAGTTACAGCAATGAAGCGCTGGCGAATGAGCAAACCCAAAGGAAAAGGGCCGGATGGAGAATTGCCTTGGAATTAGGCCGCCAATCACAGGTGGGAAACGACGGGGGTGTCCTGGGGTGGCGAGACTTGGACTGGAAGCCTCGGGCAGCGTCCCTGTGAAGGATTCAATACTGACAGCCGCTGGATATGGCGTCCGTCCTGCCGTGAGAAAAGGTCCAGGCCTGGATATGGCTTCCGTCCTGCCGTGAGAAAAGAAAAGGCCAGACCCTCGCCTGTGGCGCCAATAGCGCGCTGGCTCTCGGTCTTCGGCACGCAAGCGACTCCACGAGACCAGAGGGAGGCTTCTACCCGATATTCGTTGGCGCCGGACCCCTGTCCCTCCACGCATCCCTGGCGAGAAAGCTTCATTCACCCGCTGGGTCGGGCGCCACCGCTGCGTGCCATCGCATATCCACCCTGCGCGCCCGCGGCGTGGTCGTCTGCCGCGATTCTCGCCCGGGGGGCAGGCAGGGACTTTTGGTCTGCCCGAGCAACCATACGAGCTGGCCAAGGGAGCCGCGCTGATCGCCTCGCCTGTAGCCCACGCGTCCGGTGGCTTATTGCCTCGTGGTTCGCGCCGTGGCAATATAATATACAGGCCGCGATCCGCGTGGCTCGTTTATACTTACTTATGAGGCGGATCTGCATGCAACTTTGGCGAGGACGGCGAAGCGAGCTGATCCTCGACGGGTGAATGCTCAGCTCGGCCAGTCCGTTTCTGGCAGCCAGGCCGACTTTTGGCTGCCATGCCGGCCTTTTGCTGCCACATATGGCCATTCCTGACTGCCATCTCCGGCCATTTGCGCGTCAATGCCACGGCCTCTGCCGCCATGCGGAGACACATGATGCCCCGGAGCTAACGACCCCAGCCGGGACTGTGGGGGAGGCTAGGGTGGCGGGGTGGGAGGGGTGGGAGGGGTGGGAGGGGTATCCTCCGGCAAAATGGGATGGGTTCCGAAAGTCAGCTCATTCTGGCAGCCGTGTCGTTTCACGTTTCGTTTGTACGCTCCGTTTATGCATTTTGTTTGTACGTTCCTTTTGTGCGTTCCGTTTATACACGTCCCGTGTGTTTCCATGCGCTTTCTGTCGGGTTTTCACTGTTTTAGACTGATAAATCTTAACAAACACGTATTCCGCCGGATTCGCACTTTCGTTGCAGTATTACGGTTCGAGCTCGCAGTTTCCGTGCCTCCCTCAGTCAGCAGTGGTCCGAAGGAACCGAGCCTGCAGGTATTCAGCCTAAATCCCGCTCGAATCATGTTGGTCCGTCTAAATAGCTCAACCGGGAATTTAGCCGGCGCCGCCTAGACTCCACGCTGCCATCAGCTAGAGTCTGTCGTACCGGCTGCGGGTTGGCAGGCAGTTGGCTCGCATCGGCCCCCAATATTGCCACGAGAGCAACGGTCTAGAAGCGCCACAATCTCATACGCGAAGTCGGCCGTGGAAGTCGGCGCGGGTTTCCGCGTGGCTGTTGGTGTTGACGGCTGAGTCCAGGTCTGGACCAACAGACGGGACGCAAGCTTCCTGACCTCAGAGCAAGCTAGATATTTGACCCGGACCCAGACCCAGACCAAGCCAGGCGCAAAGCTTGTCCAGACTTTACCAGAGGCCCGGAGATCCGCATCCAAAAGATCCGCATCCAAGAACCGACTCTTGGCGAGACCCTTGTCACAGGCGGCATGAGGCGTGGTCACCAACAAAGCAATAAAACATCAACTCGTAAATGACATAACTACTCAATATTTACAAAGAAATCCACCCATCTAGCACACTCCTGTCGGCAAGGTAAAGCTCTCAGTCCGTCTGCTCGACGAGTAGACGGCGCCGCTGCCCAGTCCGCGCCTGGCAAAGCCGGTCCAGATGGCGCACAGGTTCTGCCCCCCGGTCAGGGCGCGGTCGGCGTCCAGGATGGCGTCGCGGGCCTGGACAAAGTTGGGGCTGCAGGGCTGCAGGGCCATGCCGTCAATGACCAGCTTCTGGGTCAGGAACTTGCCGTCGGTGGGCACGCCGCGAGCGTCCAGCTTGGGGTAGATGTCGGTGTTCTTGCCGTGCTTGGCGATGAGCTGCCACATGACCTCGTACAGCATGGTGGCCCAGACGGTGCCGATGGGGTGCACGGTACTGAGCGAGTTGACGCTCGCGTACGTGAGCGGGTTGACGGTGCGCGACGTGCTGTAGGGGTAGGCGCGGATTCCCTTGACGTCGTTGTACACCCACGAGCCCATGGGGTAGTCGGTCGCCGCCGTGTCGGCCGGCTTGAGCCGCGCCGCCGTGGCCATGAAGTCGCCCCAGCCCTCGCCCATGCCGCCCGACTCGAGCGCGCTCAGGCAGCCCGTGTTGGCCGGCCCGCCGGTGAGGCGGTTGGACAAGCCGTGCGTGTACTCGTGGATCACGACGCCGGCCTCGAACGAGCAGTCGCGCTGCGGCGAGCTGTACGTCCACATGTACATGTACATGCGCCCCGCTTGCCCGTCGGGCGGCGTGCTGAACTGCGCGTTGTCGGTCCCGCCCCCGTCCTGCGAGTTGAGGATGACGGCGTCGCCCCCGCGCCCGCCCTTGCCGTTGTTGCTGGTCTGGAAGTTGCCCGCCGCCTCGTTGAAGCCGAGCTGGTAGAGCAGGTCGTGGTAGGTGTTGGCCGTGTAGAAGAGCTGCGCCACCGACGCGTCGCGGTACGACGACGCCGGCGACATGGCGGTCGTGTAGGGGAAAGTAAAGTTGAGCGCCGAGCTGACGGGCCGGTAGTTGTTGATGTAGGCGCTGCCGCCGTTGGGGTTGACCTGCGCGATGCCGTTGTTGCCGCGCGTCGTCTCGTAGCTGCTGGTGCCGTCGTTGTGCCACTGGAACGGCGACGACGGCTTGTCCCACGGGTCCGTCACCTTGATGCGCGAGCCCTCGGTCGGGTCGTTGACGCCGTACGGGTACACCTGGTAGGTGGCGTCGGCCACGTAGTCGACCACGTTGTGCACCTTGGTCTTGTCGGCCGCGTCGACGTAGCTGAGCAGCCAGTTGGTTTTAACGTCGGTCTCGACACGCCACGTCAGCGCGAGCGAGCCGTCCGCCTGCACCAGGTACACCAGCCGCGCCTCGGGGTCCGACACGGCGCCCGACGTGCCCTTGAGCGTGTACGTCTCGACGCCCTCCTTGGCCTCGGCCTTGGCCTGGCCCTCGATGGGGAGCTGGAGCACCGTCTTGGCGCCGTCGAGCGCGACCGTGGGGTCGTCGAAGTCGCGCTTCTTGAGCGGGTTCTGCTCGGGGATCTTGCCGGTGAAGAAGCTGTTGCCGTACGAGAAGACTTTGCCATCGAGGATCTGGAGGGCGTTAGCGGAATCAGGCATCAGGGGACCACTGGACCACTGGACCACTGGACCACTGGACCACTGGACCACTCGGACTTACGTTGATGTTGATATCGGCATTGTCGATATCAATACCGTGAGCCTGCTGCTTCAGGTTCACGTGCGCCACGCCGTTGGTGCCGACGTAGTGGTCACCGACGATGCGGAACTCGGCGCCCGGGACCACCTTGGCCGCCAGGTCCTTGGCCACTTCGAGGTAGTCGGCACGGCGCGCTACCGAAGCGGCCGGCGAGCTGCCAACCTCCTCGGCCTTGACGTACTTGGCCGTGGCCTTGAGGCGGAAGGCGTTGAGGTCGACGGCGCGGCGCGAGACGCCGGCCTTGGTCGACGGATGGGGGTGGGCCGCCACGGTGGCAGCCGCGCCCATGAGGCCGAGCGAGAGGAGGGACTTCATCAACATCTTGGTGGTCAGGCGAGCAGTCAGGCGAGCGGTGCAGCTTGTCCGGTAAGACGAACATGTCTACGGAGACACCGTCGCCTCTTTATAGGTCCCTGACGCCATCCAGTGATCCTCCAGCTTGATCCCTCAACCCACCAGCATCCCTCCCACCAGCTTTATCTCCCAGCTTCCTCTTCCGACAGCCAAGGCCGCTATCAGAGCCATCTCTCCACTCGCCGTCGGCTGGATGTAGAAGGACCTCGGGACTTGATGGATGCCGAGTAGGATCCGACGCGGTCAAGAAGGAAGGTGACGGCGACATGGGGAGAATCGCACACGGGCCGTGCCAAGACGTTGCGATGGTTGTCTCCATAAGCCCTGAATCAGGCGTGGCGGAGAGGCGGGGAGATGGGGATATCCCATGGCGGGGATAGGATATCCCGTGCCGCAGGCTCCCATGACTGATCAACATACTCGTCTCATGGAGGATACTCTGAGGCACAGCTTCCGCGTTGGGAAGCTCAACTCTGGTCCAACGCTGGGCTGTCATCAATATCCGATAGACGCTGACTGACACCGCCCGGCCAAGAACAGAAGGACACAGCGGCCTCTGATGGCAGGGTGATGCGGGGCGGGTATAAAGACCTTCCCAATGCGGCAAGTGAAGTGGTCTAGGTTCAGGGGCCGGCAGTCGGTCGCGCAATGCCAAGCGGCTTTACGTGCTTCACGGCAGTCGGAGGCATGGCTATATTGCGGGCAGGATTGTTGCAGGCCCAGTGAGGCCGTGTGGCCGTCACCCCAACCTGATTCCAAGCACGAGGGTTGGCTTTGGGACATCTGGGCGGACGTTCTGGGCAGTTCCGGGAAGTGCTCGGCAGTGGATTCGCACGGCCCAGAGGCACAGAGGCAGTGTGGCAGTCTCGCCTGTGCGTGCCAGGATCGCTTCCTACGTCGGCTGATCTGTGGCTGTGCTTCAGGGGCTAGGGGGTCTCAGCGCAGCTTGCGCATCTCCAGGATGCCTTGTCTGTCTTCACAAATGCCTTGCCGCCGCCAACGACAGATCCAACCAAATCACCAGACGCGTCGGGCTCTGTCATCCACTCGTTGGTCCAACATGCAGCCTGGCCTCGACCAACCCCGCGGACACGCAGACGCACGCAAAGCAGACGCACGCAGAGCAGACACAGCAGAGACGCACGCAGACGCCGGCCCACACTCCATCGGGTAAGCGTGCCGTAGCCAAACCACTCAAGACCCTTGAATCCCCAGCGCCAGTTGGCCTGCATGTCTCGACCCGCTGCCGGCCTCGTTGGCTGCAAACCCCGGCCGCTGGCTCGTGCCCACGAAAATGGCTCGCTCGAGGCGTTTTTTTTTTTCAGCCTCAGCCCCTACGCTTGGCGGCAGCCGTCGAGATGCCATCAGTTGTTGGCAGTGGCATTGTGCCTTTACAACTACTACAGATCGGTAGACAACAGATAGACGACAGATCGATAGACGACCTCGGTACCACAGATCGATAGACCGATAGACCGACACATCACCGATCGAACCCAGACATTACCGACCGATAGATGGTTACTCGCCCATCATGTCCAGCAACGACAGCGGCGGCGGCAACGACAAGCCCGATGCCGAGCTCTACGTGGCCGTCGTCTCGCTCGTCATCGCCCTGATAGCCCTCCTCGGGACCGTCATGCAGGTGCTCCAGCAGTACTACGCATCCGCCACGGGCTTTTCCAACTGCGATCGCCGCGTCATCGGCAAGTGGCACAACTACAAGGAACGCAGGTTCAAGTGGAAGGAGCTGCGGTTCGAGGTGCGGTTCAAGGCCCCAGTCGTCTTTGTGTGCCCGGCCGACAACAAAAAGGGGCCCGTGCCAGACGTGGTCTGGATCATCGACGGCTCGCCCAAGAGCCAGGAGGACACCATGACCGACTCGATAGGCGCCCAGCCGCCGCCCGTGCCCGTCGACGGCACCTCGACCCTTCCTCGCTTCACGTTGCGGCAGCGGCCGACCAACAGCAGCCTCAAGCAAAAGATCACCCGCACCGTCGACCGGGACCACGAGAAGCGGATACACACGGCTGACAACGAGCGGGCCACCTGGCTGACCATGCTCACCGAGTTCCAGCGCATGGAGATGGAGTCTTCGAGCTGGCAGGATACCGAGTACGGCTGGCACTCGGGCCGGCCGGGCCAGCCGCGGATCGACCCGCCCGTCTTTGCGGACCGCAAGCTGGCCATCGCGGTGCAGGCCAAGCCGCGCAGCTGGGACACGATGCCGCCCAACATCAAGAAGCCCTACGCCACCACCACCATGTGCCACCTGGTCGAGATGGCGGCCATGCTGGGGCTGCACTGGAAGGAGTTTGACCGCTCGAGCGACAAGTACCGCGCCGAGGGCAACGGCTACGTGCTGACGGGCTCGCACGTGCCGGACCTGGGTGTCGTTTTCAACTTTCAGATCTCGGGCAAGTGCAAGTTTGGCGACAACCGCGTGGTGCCGTCGACCCACGTCAAGGAGTTTGCCTTTGGCCTGGTGCCGACCGTTTTCAGGACCCAGGACGACGACCGCCGCCTGGGGTCGATAGCCGAGGACCCGCGCGACCGGGGGCTGCTGCTGCTAGGGAGCACCAACGAGGTGGCCGAGACGGTGGCCTGGTTTGGCTGTAATACGAGGACGGCGGATATTCTGCGGGACGACAGCAAGAAGCACGGGCACCTGTTTCCCAGTAAGTCCCTGACTGCACGCCACTGCCACTGACTGCCACTGACTGCCACTGACTGCCACTAACACCCACAGTCGCCTTTGAGATCCTCGGCATGCTCTCCAAGCCCCTCTACATCCCCAACATGTCCTTCCGCATGGTCCCGAATCCCACCGTCTACACGTGGGACACCAAGTTCTTCAACCTACGCAGGATGCTCGACGGCTTTAGGAGCCAGCTCGAGAACTCCGAGGCCGTCACCGAGTCGTATTCGAACGTGGCCACGAACGAGACGGCACCGCACCTGCAGCCGCTCCGCAACAAGGCCGAGACGGTGTGCGACGCGCTCGAGAAGCAAAAGGCGGACCGCGGCGAGAACGAGTTCTCGCTCGGGCTGTGCCATGCCCTCTTCCACTCCATCGAGTTCTGTGACAAGTACCTGGCCGGCGTGCGCCCCAAGCTCGTGCAGGTCGTGCTGCGGGAGCACATCCAGGAGATCCTGCGCATGGTCAACAGCGAGGGCGAGGCCGAGAAGTCGGCCATCGGCCAGCTCATGGACGCGGCGCCCGAGCAGCGCCACGCCGTCTTTATGCGCGTCTACTTTGACCACGTGCTGCCCCATGTTATCAAGACGTGCATCCAGAGCATCCGCCGCCGCGATACGCCCATGATGGGGTTGAACTCGCCGCCCGGGTCGCCACTCGCCTCGCCGCCCGTTTCGCCTGAATCCCGCCAGCGCGGCGGGAACCGCAACCTGACCACCGAGATGGTGACGGTGCAGGTGACCGAGATCTGGTGCACGCTTGTATTCCGGATGATGTGCTGGCTGTTGCTGCACGACTTTCACAAGAATGACCGGCAGATATCGAGCAAGAGCGAGGTGTGGGGGAGCCGGCTGCCGGTATATATTTGCTAGGTGCGGATACTGCTGGATACTGCTGGATACTGGTGTTGGATGTCGGATCTTGGGTATTGGGACGGGTGCTACTATATCGACGCCGGCTGCATGGGACATGTGTATGATTTACGACGGGTATAATGGACATGATCAAAACGGCCTGATCGGCCTCAACAGGTGTCTGATGACAACATCGTGAACCCATCGCTTGGGCTCCTCCTCCTCCTCCTCCTCCCCGTCATGCTCAACCTCGAGCTCGACCTCTAGCACGCCATCCCTCCAGCTCGCCGCCTGCACCCTGCACCCCACGCGTCGACTTACCACCCGCAGCATCTCCTCCTGCCCCGGCGGCAGGCCCAGCAGCCGCACGACGCGCAGCCGCGGCCACCGCCCCCGCAGCCCACCCAGCAGCCCGCCCAGCAGCCCGTCGTCCACCACCGCAGCGCCGTCGGCCGCCGTTGTCCGCCGCAGCTCCAGCACCTCGACGTCGGGGCAGGCCGCCGCCGCCG